ACTAATAAATCAAATAAATTAGATAAACCAATCGAAACTGCTGAAAGCCCTTCCTTAGTTGAATGAAACATGCTATTTACCAACAACAACATCGGCCGATCGCTCCTTGTTGATGCGAGTCTCCGTTGAGTTAATGAAAATGTGAGGAGGTTTCGAAGAAGACTTAACACAAGCATGACTCAAACTGTTCGAATCCGTAGAAAGAGGTGGAATAACTGCCGAAGCACGATTCGAGTCCATAATAAGGGGTCGCGAAGCATGATTCAAGGCATGACACACAGGCCGAGCTCTTATTTATGCAGTCAGCCCTCCATTTTTTTCGATAAATTCTGTTAACTCGATCGCGACCTCTGCTGTTGTCTCCGATCGGATGAGGCACGGCTTTGCCGGTGAGAGTAACAGGAGAGGTGGCAACAATAACAATAGCAGTAGCAGTACAGTAGTAGTACCGGTATGTGTCTGCTTGCACCGATCGATTGATCGTAACGGATAATAGGATCCTCATTGAGGTTACGACCGTCAACAGGATGAAATGGGAGATTGCTTGCGAGCGAATACAAGAGATCCTCATCACGATTTCGATAGACGACAGGAAATGAGAGTGGATTGCTTGCGAGCGAAACAAAGGTATCGACAAAGGGAACATATGGAACCAATCGACAGATTGAGTTGCAATAAGGGGAAGGACTACCAATGAAGAATGCAAGAGGAAACTCAGGAGCAATCTGCATCAAGGAGTAGTGAAATCCATTGACAACCATAAGAGATAGACATATAAGAATAAGAATGAGTAACATCTCATAACCTCGCATGCTACCATGCGACAATACCATTGTGCATTGATTCATCTAAGGATCTAAGAGATGTAAAGTTTGTATTTCCAAATAAGTGAGCAGTTATTGATTATTTTCTAGAATAAGCCTGCTAATTGTAAAGCTGTAAAGCTGAATTGTAAGCTGTATCCCGTCGCATGAGAAAGGATCTATTATTGGTAATTTGGTTGCATCAAATTGTATTAGTAAAATTACAATTGACTCAAGTAAATTGGGTGAGTTGTTTGTTCGACAACAGAAGCCTGCCTCAAAGTTGCTGCAATTGATGAGGACTGTGGCAGAAAATCCTGAGCAGGCTACATTGGAAAAGCCTGGAAAAGGTTCTGGCAAGGTAGTGTTTGAGGACAAAATCAACAACACCTTGGAGAACTTGGAACAATTGGCGAAGTGGAAGGTGGAGGAAGAAGATTCCGAGGGAGGAAAGTTTGATGATGAAGAGTCATCTTCAAGTGAAAGAAATGATGAGCTCCCTATTGTGATAACAGTTGCTGTGCCCAGAAAAGGAATCACTGACCAGGTTGAAAACGAGAAAGAAGACAAGGACTCTGATGATGAGGAAGATATTAATCTGCAACCAAGTGATAGTACTTGCAGCATTGTGAATCCTTTTGATTTGTCATTGTCTGATTATCCAGAGGCCAAAAGCCTGGTTTGGGCCAATGTCCTGCACATCAATTCACGTTTCACAAAGAAAAAGGATATTTGGGAGAGAATTGTTGATGTAGCTAATGAAGGTGGGGATGGTGCAGAACCAACTAGTTTGACTAGTGGTTTATTAGCAGAGGTGTATGGGGAGAATGTAATCATTGCAATGATTGGCGAATGGTTGGATGAAACTGTTTTGCCTGTACTGAAGGCTGAAGCAACCAAATTGATCAGAGCCATTGTTGAGCTTGATCTGGTATGATGTTGTTGAATCTGGTGCACATTGGGCATGAAATTCAAAGCTTGAATTCTCACTACTTGTGTTTGTTTTATTCTTAGGAGATTAAAGTACCAAAGGCAACAGCTGTGTTGCAATCACCTCCAGACATTGCAGCTGTTGAGGAGTTCAAAAAGGAAGTTCGAAAAGTCATTGCTGAGGTGGAAGCAGGTCTGGCTTTAGATGAAATGAACAACTTGACAGAGCATGACAGTGATGAAAAAAGTGACAGAAAAGGCAATGGTCAGGATGATGATAGTGAAGATGAAGTCAATCCCAGAACAAAGGAAAACACAGTCATGGTAGAAAGCACAAAAACACCACAAAAACAAAGGAATGTGAAGAAGCCAAGAACCTCTGAACGACCAAGCACAAAAACACCCCAAAAACAAAGCAATGTGATGAAGCCAAGAACCTCGGAACGACGCAAGAATTTCATTCAACTTCCAAGAAAAGCAAACCCAAACCGAATCCAAAATCTTACACAAGTCATGCAAGTTGTTGGTGATTACAAAGCAGCAAGAGAACAATTGAACAATGGTTGTAAGGGTCCAAGACATGCTGCAATGGAGATTGAGGAGGAGTTACCAAAATGGGAAGCACAATTGGCCAAATTGTGGACGAAAAAGAATGAAAAGTTAGGCCTGTCAGGCCTGATGAATGATGGCAAACGTCCAAGGAGCAATAGTGAAGGAAGTGATGAGCTAATTAGTTCTTTTGCTAAGAAACCACGAGAAGGTGAAGCCCAAGAGGAAGAAGAAGACAAAACAAAAGAAAACCAAGAAGAAGAAAAGGAGGCCAGGGAAGGTAGTGAAGTTTCGGAGAAGAATGACCAGCCTGCAGATATGATGCAGGTTGATGGCAATGACAATATTGAATGAGTCATCAAGGTACCTGAGGTGTTCACTTTACTGATGTCATGGTAATGGAGGAAAAACAAAGTAGAAGGTTGTTGCTGATAGTCATAATTTGATATTGTGAAATATAATATGCAGCTATGAACCCAAAGAAAGAAAAATTGAAACAAAGAGCTAAAGATAGGGCAAAATCTAGGGCGGTTGCTAAAGCTGTAAAGGTTGCTAAGGCAAAAGTTGCAAAGAATGAGAAGGAATCCAATAGAAAGAGGAAGCATGAAAATTTGAAGGAGAAAAATGAAAATGAAGCAAGGTATGTGCTCTGCATGAATTTGGTGCACAACGGGCATGAATTCATTTTTGATTGCCACATAGAGGGTTGAGTCTGGTGCCCATTGGGCATGATAATCAGTAATTGAACAAAACCATGTTCATTGTTTCAACTTTGTTATAGAGTGAAGGAATTAGAGGGTTTATTGGCTCCTGTTTATCCCACCAAGGAAAGTATTCATGTTTCAGGGCGTTTGAAAAAAAGTGCATTGAAATTAAGCATAACAAATGTGAATGTTGTAAACGGGTTGTAATGATTGGAGAACAAGACTTATTGCTCACAGTGCAAAAAGCTGAAATCCAAGTCATTTTATAAAGATGGTAATTCATTGCCTTTGTGGTACAATGAAAACAATGTGCCTCAATTCTTTGTCCTGAATGCTTGTTGAATTTGACATAGCAGAGAAAATGTTATTCAGCTTGCTTCACCTTTTGTGCTCTGAAGCATATCAAAAATGGAATTATGGGTTTAACAGGTCATGTTTGTGCCTTTGAGCAAGATATAGAAGCTTTGCAACAGAACTGCCCAAATTCCCTCGCATGTTACTAGTCTACAGATAATCAAAGTTGTTCAGGCTGAGATAGGGAGTGAGGCTTGCAGAGATGAACATTTCAAAGTCAGAAGAAAGAATGTATGGGATGCATTGAAATGGTTGAAGAAATATAATGTTGAATACAAGGATATATTACTGAAGGAGGAAAATCTGAGCTGGATTGAAGGTGAAGAGGGCCATTTGGAGAGCACAAACATCCCTACTGGAGAAGATTTAGAAACAGATGAGTTGAAGGCTTTTGATGTGAATCATGATCATGGTCCTGTTCCTAAATTGACACATCACTGCCGAGATCATGGTGGAATTCCTATTTTCGGGGTAAGAGATGAATCAAGTCGTGTTCACTTGTCCCAGGAAGACCAAATTATACATGATGGAGTTGAAGAATCTATTGCTAAATCAGCAAAGAAGAAAAGTATTTCTTTGGCACATCCCAAGATTGCCAAGAATCCTATATCTGAACATGGGGATACAAAGATATTTGCAAGAGCTTTTCCATGGCTATTTCCAGGTGAATTGGTGATGTAAAGGATTTTGTCATGATTTTTCAAAATGGGAGAGTATATGTTATTCTACAGGATGGAAGATTTGCCAGAGACAAATTATTTAGTTTTTATGCTGGGAACTACATTACAAGGAATCGAATGCTTCCAGTGGGAGTTGGTTTATGAAAGAGTTCAACAAAGGTGGTCATGTTCATTGGACGAGTTACAAGAAGCAATTGCTGAGGAGACAATCAATTTGTCAATCGACTCACTTATTTCACACGGAATGTAAAGGGTTCTACAGCTTTTTGGTTCCAAAAAAGGAGTGAGCTGTACACTTGGATTAATCATCATGTTGAGCAAGGGCATTGGGGCACCAAATTTTTTCATAACACTGTCCTGTGCAGAGCACTTTTGCCTGATATCATTCGATTATAAAGGATCGAATGGAGTTGGCAGGATTGGACTCAGCAAATGTGAACAAGGGGCACCTGGATTGAGTACATATCTGAATGACTACTCTATTGTGATTCAGGAGTATTTTCAAGAAAGAGTGAAGATCTGGCTGAGACAGTGGGGAAAGAAGTTTTTGGCATAGAGCATTACTGGGTCAGGTATGAATTTGCTCCAGTAGAGGTCAAATTCATGCACATTTACTGCTATCACAAAGGATCAAACATTCAGGAGCTGTGTCATGCCCATTTACAATGTGAGAATGGGAAGAACAGAAGAGATGAGTGTTTGTCAAATTGGGCAGAAACAGGCTAGGACTTACTGCAATGTGGATGATTCTTTTGAAACAAGAAACTGTGGTAAATCAGATTCCCATGTTCAATAAGATTACAGATGTGGAGAGTACCATGGAAGATGATGATGCCATGAACTTGATGAACTATTGCCAAGTCCATGACTGTAGTGGGTTTTGTATGCGTGGGAAGCCTGGGTAAGATCAGTCAAATCCCTGTTGAATGTAATGCCCATTGGGCACAGATCTCACAAATCTTTTAGCAAAAGTCGCAAATGCAGGTGTGGTGCAGGTGAAGAAAAAACAAAGGGGAAATGTGATACACCGGATTTCCCTTGAGAGAATCAGCTGAAATCAGCCGGGAAGATAACAAAGCATTCAAATTACATATGCAAGAAATCATGGCAGAGTAAATCAAACTTCAAAGACATGCTGCAAAGTTGGAGAGGCAACTGTGATATACAATTGTTGATTTACAGTTCATCACCAAAAAAACCAAATATACGTGAAATCAGTAGAGTGACTGATTATGTTGTGGCATACAATTGCAAAGGTAATGCCACCCTTTTCCAAGAAAAACAAGCTAACCGAGAATTATTGCAGAGTCTTGATACTGTTACAGGTGATACTGCAGATTTGAAAAGAGGTGTAAAAAGAATCTTGAATCGTTCTGCTACGCAACGATTGATCTCAAAACAAGAGGCATGTGTTTTACTTGGAAACCTCCCTTGACTTTGTGTTCTGAACTGATGGAGACAGTCAGTATTTCAAGAAGTGCTAAAGTGAAAGTTGACTCTTCAAATGCTGCAGATGGTAGATTCATGGCAAGGTATAAGAACAGAGATGCCCAGTATCATCACATGACCTTGCATTATTTCTTTTCTTTCGAAAGAAAGTACTTCAACGAAAAAAGGCTGCAATACCACATTTTGTTGGTGTAAGTGGATATCCAACATTTCCAGTGACAAAAAGTTATGCTATGCATGTGTTGACAGTATATAAACCTTGGCATGGAAGTTTTCCAGTGGACACTATTGGAAAGCGGATTTTGACAACTTCATCAAATCCAAAAATTGTCCCTCAATGCACGATTGCAGTATGATCGTGTTGTACAACGATATTTTGATCGGACAGTCTTTGCAGAGCCTACAAGCAAAAGGCTGATCATTCCAAGAACAAAATAATTGAGGGTGATGAAATGTTGATTCTGTTGTGTGGTATGGGTGCATCTGGAAAACCGAATTTGATGATACCACGTTTGCCAACATACAAAAAGGACTTGATTTTGAATGGGATAAGAACCCAATAGTAAGTTCTGCCTTTCTGATTTTGTGCCCATTGGGCATGGGATTCATGCAAACATGTTTGTATTCTCATGTCAATACAGTCAAGGGATTTTGAAGACACAGATATTGAGCCAGAGGAATGGCTAAACCAAAAAGTGCAAGAATCCATTCAGATTGAAAATGATACATTGATTGTTCCAAAAAAGTCAGATGGATCTGATTTCAGAATTGAAGACCTTTTTGAAGAACAGCAATACTTTGCCTTAATTGTTCTTACAAAGATTATGGAATGGTTGTACTGTGAAACTTTTCTACATTTGAACCTTTGCGAACAACTTTGAATGGACAAGCTGGTACTGGGAAATCAGTGCTTTTGAATACAATTACAGCATGTATTCATCCATGTTTGAATACACCAACACATGTGCTGTGACTGCACCTACAGGAGTGGCAGCATTCAATATTGGCGGAAAGACATTACATGGGTTTTCAGCCCAGAGATCAGTAAGAGGTGAATATGCTGCGGGTACCATGTCCAAAAAAGATAAAGAATTCCTCAACAAGCAGTTGAAGCACCTATTATGTGTCATTATTGATGAACGCAGTTTGTTGACATCCAAGCTATTGGGTACTACTGAGTGTCGTGTGATGGAAACAATTTACGAAGGTGGTGGGAGTGATAATGAAGATTGGGGGGTGTTCCCATTGTGATTATGGCAGGAGATGACTATCAATTACCTGGAATTCATCAAGGCGCCTTCGAATGCTTGTATCGAAAAGATGGTGGTAAAATGACACAAAGGGGACGAAATTGTTTTGCTGCTGTGCACAAAAAGTGTTCCAATTGTGCCAAATCAGAAGAGTTAATGACAAGAATCAACGAGACAGAGATTTACTTTCACGTTTAAGAATTGGGACTAATGTTACTGATGAAGATGTTGCTAAATTGAAGTCACTACATCTAAATGAAATCAAGAGAAAGCATGGTCAGGAAGTTGTTGAAAAAATTTGCGAAAATGCTATCAACCTTTTCTGGACAAATGATAAACGAATTCGCATGAACATCCAATGTCTATCAAGTTTGAACAGTTCATCTAATCCAACAGCAATTGTGCAGCCAAAGACATCGGGTACTAAATTCTCCAAAGGTGTTGCAAGGCATTTCCAAGAAGAAACTCCGGGTACTTCCATGTTATGTGTGGGTGCCAAAGTTTCCTTGAATGGAAAAAATTTCAAGCCTGGATGGGGTCTCCATAATGGTGCCTGTGGTATTGTGAGAGAAATTGTTTTTGCAAAAGGAACTAATCCAAACATTGGTAATGCACCAAAGTATGTTGTGGTTGAATTCCCATTGTATATTGGTCCCACCTGGGATAAAACAATCCAATGGTATGTATTTAATATTTGGGTGAATTGCATGCACAATGGGCACAGATATCATTATTCAATTTCACGTTCTTCTGCATTCAGTTGTTCCTATACCCATGGTGACAGTTCCTTGTGATTTTCACTGTTGTTCGCGAACATACCTCCCTTTGGATCTTGCCTTTGCTCGAACAATTCACAAATTCCAGGGCCTCACTGCAGGTCCAGTGGATGAAGGAAAAATACCAAATATGTTTTCGTGCATTATTTGTGATCCGGATGCAAAACAAGCAGAAGGTCGCAGTACAGGCCTGTTTTATACTGCTGCTTCAAGAGGCACTACCTTAGGTGATGATGAAGGCCTTGGTTCTGCAATATATTTCCGTGAGAAAATATCACTACTGAACGCATTCAAGAACTCACCTTAAAAACAGCCACAAATATTGAATATGTTCAGGTCAAACGCAGAAGGGATTGGGTTCAGCACTTAACAAAAACACAGTACCCACTGGTGCATGCAATTCAACACAACTTCAAAACACATTGGCTTGGGTGAATCAAACAATGGAAACCAAGATACCTTATGAGGTCTTGTATCAGCAAACAAAAAAATACTCTCAGTATTTGTCACAGGGCAAGGCAAAGCACACCAGCAAACCTAGCCCAAAGAAAAGAAGGAAAAAACATTGACAGCTGCGCAACCTAACTACAAAGCTAAATATCTCATGAATCTAGTGCCCAATGGGAATGGTATTCAATAAGCTTAAGGTAAATTCATCCTCTTATTGCCTCTTATTGTGCTAAATATTGAATCTGGTGCCCGATGGGAATGGTATTCAATAACCTTAACCCTATTACTTCAATGTACCTTAAATCCAAATTTCTATGCAGTCATAGTTTGTCTTAATTACTTGTTGCCACCATCTACTTGAAGGTAACTTACCATAAATCTATAAAAAGCCTCACTTTGACCAGTAACTGTTTTCCAATGGCATGCTCTTATTATTATATCATCATGTATATCATATATACCTAAGTAAAGAACATGCTTGCATAAGTAAATATCCAAGATTTGCCTATGTCACATTTTAGATAAAATGTATCTATACCTGAGGGTTTTTATGCATTAAATAGGACACTTTCCTTTTTGGCTTGCTTTCTGCATTACATTTCTCTAGCTATTAAGATATGACTAATGCTCAATTCAGCTGAAATGCCAGAATGCTACAAAATTAGCTGTATACTCAACATGATAATTCTAGGCGCCACAACACCAGACAGACCCACACGGGGTTGATAATATAATATATATATGTTGTTTTCCGATTGATACATACGAAGTACATTGTGGAAATGCGACTCAGTCATCCTCTTTATGTAACTACAGTACTACCCAGGACCAATTAATTAATAACCAATTACCACTGATTTCTACTACTGTGGTACGACTGTACGCGAGTACTCGAGTAGTGTGATAGTATGTACTGGAGTAGTAAGTACCCGGGAGGAGCAATCGGTAATTGCCCTCTTCAAGTCGGAAATAGTGGGTTTGTTGTTCTCTTGGTGTCAAACTATAGCCCTTTAGAAAACGCTAATGATTGTAGTAAACAAAAAGAGGAACAGATGGCTGGATAGAGAGGAACAAATGCCAGGCTTGATACCCATCTGCCAATCGAGATCAAAATCGTTGATGGCTCCTGCCTTTCGGTACTGTAGCCTGAAACCTTCTCTGGCCGCACAGTGGCTCTCTAAAACCCATGAAAACGTTTCGTTTCGTGCCCACCAAGTAAGTTAAAACTATCTTTCGCTTTTGCTGCTCGAAATGTGGTGGGGAGTGGGCATTCTCGAACATAAGCATTCAGGTGCCAAGGAGTCACTCCAAGATGTGCAACCATTCACACCGCGGAGCTCCTTGGCGTGGAAGGCGGGAACAGGTTGGTACCATACCCATTCATGCACAGGATCCTACTCGTTTTGTACCTCCACCGTTTGGCAAGAGTAGCGGGCGTCCAGTGGATACGTCTGCGAAGGTAAATATTGACTTCACTTGGGCATGTAGGCTATCTTTTTTGTGACAGTCTTACGTCAGCTCGTTTTGCGTGAATGGTGCTTGTACCCTATGCTCGCTCTTTGGACCTGCCCGGGATCACCTGTGCATGTGTACCGGTACCGTCAAATTCCTTGAAACTCTACAAAGAGTATACCGCACCGGGCTTGATTTTGTTCATGCACGGTCTCCAAGTATCCTGGTTGAAAGCCTGCATGGAGGCTGGTTGGCCACTTTTCAAAACGATCTCTGTCACCAATCTCAATGCAACTTGTGTTGTAATGGTACTAGCTAAACGTGGCACACACATGTATGCCGAAGAAGCTAAATTATTTTATCACTGATCCCAGATCTGTTTCACTACAACAGAGGACCCAGCCAGTGGACACCAGGCATTTCAATCTTGAGCAGGGGGCTCAAGTCTTCCACCGACAAGCAAATACATTCCAGGTGGGCCTGTCAGATTTCCCAGTGCCGTAATCTCCTGCTTGTAAATCTTTCCATCCTTCATGGTAAACCACAGCCTTTCAGGATCCAAGAGAACATGCTTGTTGGTCCTGGGGATGACAGGGAAGTTTGCAAACTGAAAGTCCTGTGTGTGGGTACCTGTCACAACCAAGTCTTCTACCAAGACTTGGCCAGGCTTGACTTCTTTGATGGATTCATAGTTGAACTTGAGATCACCAAAGCCAAGGTAGCAGTTGCGAATTTCAGTGACTAGTCCCAGAGCTGTCATCGAAGGGCTATCATCAAATTTTATTTTGGCATTCTCTGAAGTAAATAATTTGAGCATTTCATCCACTGACCCATGTCTGTTCAAACACGCCATGTAATTCTCAACAGCTTCTGCATTCTCAGTCTTCAATACCTGAGAGTAGAGGATGTTGGAATGAGACGACTCTGAGGTATGATACTGAGAGACTCTGGCTTTCTTACCCGTTTAGTCTTCTGCTTCTTTTCCTTGACATCCACATTGTCCTTCTTGTCCTTAATTTTGGCTGTTGCCTTCTTGCTCTTGCCAGCAAGGAATGTCAAAAATCCCATCTTGAGCTTAGGTGCGGCTTCGGTTTTATCTCTGATTGGCTTTTGTGGCAAGTGCTGTGTTATAAAGTGGGGCAACAGACAGCCCAAGCAAGGTATTTGTTGTGGGTACTAGTACCGCTACATGTACATGTACCGGTCAAGGCTTTTTGAAGACTTGGTCCAAACGAATCTCAAATGATTTATCAGCAAAGCAGATTTAGAGAGATCGTCATGTCACTGGTATTGGGACTCCAATAGAGTCCTCCAGATTCCCTAATGCTTCCTCTTAGCCTTGGGACGGTTTATGCTGGAGTTGTTCAAGAGCTGTTCAACGAGCTTCAAGGCATACTAGCTAGATCTAGTACATCCGACACTCAAGACATCAAACAAGGAAACCCTCAGGCGTCACCGGCATCAAGAATCCAAAGGAGCTCTCCGGATTCTCTAATGCTTCCTCTTAGCTTTGGGAGCGTGAACATGTTCAAGGTTCAAGAGCTGCTGTTAACGTTCAAGGAGCTTTCAAGGCATCAACATCGGACACTCTAGACAGCAAAGAAGAGATAATATTATATACCCCGGGGCACGAGCCCACGAGCTACACGCACATGCACTAGCAAGTTCCGTGGGATCAGGCCGGTGGCTATCGCCAAAGAGCCACTGCCATACCGTACTGACTCTCCATGATGCGATAGACGATACATTCTTCGGGTTTGTTCAGGTTTTTTCTGCTTGCAGTTTGTGTTCCTTGGTCCCAGCAAAGGCAGCAACACACCATATTGCCGTGGTGTGATCTGTGATAGGCTATGCGCATTCGCTTCTTTGTCACCGTTGACTTTCTCCACTTCCCCCTCAACCAATCAGCTCATGTACGGTAGCAAAAGCCAAAAAGCAAACAAACGTGGGGGTGAACCAGATTCCTCGAAAGGCTCTTACTTGTTGGAGCGAATGAGTGAATGACGATTGATCATTCGAGTCGTGGATAGATCGAGTCCTAATCCATTTTTGGGAGCGTTTTCAAAAATTCATTAGGGCTCTTTTTTGAGCTCTAATGAATTTTTGAAAACGCTCCCAAAAATTCATTAGGATGCCTGACACACACTCGCTCACACACAACTTTCTCCTACCATATGGTACCACAAGCAACAAAGAGATCGCTCGTTACGTTCTCACCCACCACAGAGATCGTTCGGTGCGATCGGAAGCAGCGAACAGAATAATCCGATTCCATCAAGAAACCAGCCAACGACACAGGTACAGTCTCGAGTGACAGTCGAGAGCGCACGTGCCACTTTCCCTCCTCTTCCTTCATTCCTGGGCTTGACATGGTGGACACTCATACGAAGCAGCATCAACAAGCATGACGACCGCTTAGGATAGAATTGAACAGGGTTTTCGCAACTACCTGGCAAAGTTAGGATACAACGCTGAAGAGTACCGTCCGAATCAGCTAAGGACCGAACAACCTTATTCGACGGCTACGAGCGATACCAGAAGCAGCAGCAGCAGCAGCAAGCAGATGGTGAGAAGTGTGTTGGATTTGTTCGTGAGGCCAGCATCAATATTCTCATCAAACATTCTGCGGAGCAGTACGCTCTCTATGGGCAAGAGGGGGGAGTTCCGGAACGCCAAATCCAATGGGCTGCTTGTTCGGGTGCTCCAGGGTTAGGAAAAACGACTTTTTGTCGCAAAGCCTTCACAAAGTCCATTCACAGTCTCCAAGGAGAATTAAGATGGCGATGCGCTATGGACGGATGTGCCAACGAAGAAGGAGTTTCTCCCAGTGGCTGGTCCAAGCGTGTGTTGAAGCAAACAGGTCGACAATACCAAATCAGTTTTGGTGGCAGTGTCCCTGGGGATCGACCGAGAGCTCCGTGATCCTGAAAAGAGCTTTTCCTATCGCCTGTTGAAGTGTCTCACAAAAGGAAACAAGGCGAAGAAGGTATCTTTTGAGCATGCACCTACGCTCCGGGGGGTTCTCTCCACTTTGACCAAAGGCAAAAAAGAATCTCTGATTGCGTTGTTAACTTTGATGAAACTAACAAGGTGCTTGAGATGGAAGGGACAGGAAAGACATACTTGATGAATCTTTTGGCAGCAGTTGCGGACTTCAACGCTCATTTTAAAAGAAGGTTTCGTGCTCTGCATTATGAGTGGTACCAATGTTCGGGATCTCCATGATACATTGAAGGCTGCGTCACACGGAAGTCCCCCCCTTGAGATCCCATTGCCATTATTGAGCAATGAACACATGGTGGAGATTCTGGAAGACTTGGCGAACAGGGCTAACAATTCCAGTGCCCAAAGTTACTTGACAGTGGAGAAGGAATTGAACTTTGTCGTGACCGTACTTGGTGGGGTTCCACACTATGTTGAGGCACTCGCGTTCCGCTTGGGCGCAAATGATAATCCGAACTTCGATCCATCCGTGTATGTCCTTCACGTAAAGAAGCCGCCAAATCCTCTCCAACTGCAATGTTGACCGACGTCCGAAACAGTATTTCCAACCAATAGGGGGATATTTTCCAAGACATCATGACCACCGCGACAAGACAAGTGTGGGAGGCTCTTGGTGCTTCTTTGTTTGGATGGCAAGTCAGTCGCGAAACCCTTTTCGGGAAACATAGCGTTCAAGAGTTGGAAAGCAGAGGAGTTCTCTTTGTGGAAACGACTCAAGACGCAACCACCCGCGCTAATGTCTTGACGATTGTGTTTCCTTTAATTTTTCTGACCTATATTCTCCAAAAAACTTTGGATTGTCCAATGCTGTTGCGGCACTTTGACGTGCCGTCGAGCTCTGATGAAAACGAACGAAACACGCTGGCGGTTCTTCTCTTAAAGTGCAACGGTCTCCGTACGCTGGGCATTCCTATTACAGTCGACGCACTGCTCCCCGGCTACGCTCCAAATCTCTCCTGGCGAGCAACTCCATTGGAGTTTGATAACCGGTACTTGCGGGCAATGGAAAATCAGATTACCTTGAAAACATGGCATGATTTTGAGCTTCAAATGCACACGGGCGAGGACGGATTTTTTGTCAACGCCAAAGGCGCCACGTTTTCTGATGGGCTCATTATTCCCAAGAAAGCCGAGAATGTGATACTGGTTCAGGAGAAGCAGGTAGAAGTTGCGAAGAAGAAGGCAATCGACGATACCACTGTGCCTAGCTTCGGGTATGACTCGGTGAAAGAGGAGCACAATAAGTGTGATGTCGAGACATCTCATTTGTTTATCATGGTGTCCGACAAAGATTTCAAAGCCACGGATCGCGGCCAGATCCAGAGCAATGAGATTATTCTGCCGAGGAACGAGCGTGAAAAAGCTCTTGGTCCTCTCTTGGCGCTTTTGCGCCGGCACAATCATGGTATCGTCCCAAAAGCGGCAGTAAAAGAAAACATGCAAACTCATAAATACCGTTCATCGTATCGTCCATCGTTGTGTATTGTGTATGCATGTGTTCATCGTTATCGTCCATCGTTGTGTATGCATGTGTTCATCGTAATCTTCCATCGTAATCATCGTCTATTTTGTGTGTGATCACGGTTTGTTTGCACATAGCACCTCGTATTGAAAAGCCTCGCGGCGAATGAGCGCCGTAACTGCAGTCATGTGTTCGTCGTAATTGCACCGCAAACCCCAGACAAAAGTTAGTTTCCAACGGCGAAACCACTAACTGCAATGAAGCACCAATGCAGATGCCATCTGGTTGCCGACACTGGGCATTTACCTGCAACAATTTCACCGAAGATGACCTCGACGCCATTGCACGGTCTTTAGAATCCTCAAGGGTTGAATATTCCATAGTGGCAAGGAAATTGGCAAGCGTGGTACACCGCTTTTCCAAACAAACCTCAATGAAGAAAGCCCTGAAAGTCCTCGGTATCCAAGCTCACCTATCAACCACGAAATGGATTTCAAAGTCAATACTGCAAGAAGGAAGGGGACTTCTATGAGTTCGGAACACCCCCACTGTGACGAACGCCCCTGGGACCCGTACTGGTAGTGACCCCAATCCCTTCAAGGAAGCCGTAAAATCAGGTATTCTCGACAAGAAAACCCTCGGTTCAGCCGACCGCCACGTCCACCGCACCCGCAAAGAGCATCGTTTGTTCGGCTCCTGACATTGGGCTCGATGATGTCGATTGTCACTGATGACGATGACGATGAAAATGACGAGCTGGGATTCGAGGGCAAGGCCCCGGTTTATGTCTATTGCTTACTTTCTATGCTCTCGCTCCTGACGGCCGAGGAGGACACGGGAATTGTGTTGTCTTTGTGTGCTGGAGACGACCTGGGAGGCCTCGGAATCAGCATTATTAATCCTGTCTTCTGATTCGATTTCCTCGAATCAAAGCGGTCAATCTGTCATTCACGTTTTTCGCATCTGCACCAATCGCCGCGAGTAAAGCAGTTTGATCGTTCCTGTTGGATGCCCCGGCTTGAGTAACATCCACCGCGAAGTGGCGAATTTCATCAAGTGCCCTCTCTTCGGCTACCCGTATCTGAGTGCTCTCCTCTTGTCGTGCACCTTGTTCCAGAATGGCTTTTTGACTCCAGCTGTCGCAGGCTCGGTCAAACTTCAGCCACAAGTTTACCACGGCGCAGGACAAGACAAACATCGCGACCAACCCCATGGCCGTGTCACTCCAAACGGCATTGTTTCTGCTGATGTTGCCAAAAAATTCCAACGTGATGGAGCCCAGCAACAGCCCCGCTGGGACCAGAATAAAACTGGCAAAGATGGCCAAGACAGCCTTGCCAATGTATTTGAGCCTGTCAAGGAACGAACTGGATGACGATGATGCACATGTAGCTGACGCATGGAACATTACCACAATAGTGGCCATCACTGCCGCAAGGGGCCCCGCCACCGTCAATGACATGACTAGACCCACAGGAGCCCACAGCGAAAGCCCCAACGCATGGTAAACCCCGCACGCCACGATTCCCAAGATGGTCAGAACGTGTGCTTTGGCATCATCCATGCCAGAAGTCGCCTCTTGGAGGCGGATCTTGAGCTGTGATTGTCGTTTTTGATAAGCTTCCATTTGCCGCTTCTGCAAATCAGCATCTTGTCGTTGTACAGTGCGCAAGTACGTTTCATCTCCACAAATGGTGATTGGTATCTGAAATTTGAGTGCCAGCAAGGCTTCAAAACAACACCAAAGTCGGGTATGAATGGGTGTGTTTTGGGTAGCCAACATGACAAATTGCCTCGTGTTTGGATTCTTCATTGCCATGGCAAAGGGACTTCGTTCCAGACCAAATCTGCTGGTACCCGCAATAGTATCACTCATGTCCAAGTTTTGTGGATTGGAGAGGAAGCAAATATAGGCTGCCTCGCAGTCATCTGGCCACACCGCCAAGAGATGATTTGCCATCTCATAGATTCCTGCGTCCCAGGCATGAGACACAAACAGCTGGACAGGGGGCGAACCATTGGGGTTCTTCATGAGAGCCCAACTCGTCTTTTTGACGGCACCGCCACCAGCCAGTTTACTCCAGGCAAATTCAGACTTTGTGGGGTGGAGGGCCTGCCGGGAGGACCCCTTGGTGAGCGGCTTGATGATTTGTGCGTTGACTTGATGGATATTAGGGCCAATGTTGGGATCTCTAAACTTTTCGTTGCTGTAATAGGACGAGTTCTGCCGAGTGCTGATTCTACAGGCTTCGCTTTGGATGGTTACGGTGGTTTGTTGGTGCAATCTTGGCTGTCGCTTGGTTTTCTTCGTCTTCGTTGTTGTTTTCCGAGGAGTGGGACAAAAGACATCGCTCCAATAAAGCTTGTACTTGCCGTTGCATCCGGTACAGATGGGGTCTCTGCCACAGCGAGTCAAGCCTAAACACAGGGCACCCCAAAAGCAACACACAGGCAGCATCACAGCAAAGTCCACCGCAAGACAACATAGCTCAGACGCCAGATCACACGCCCGACGGCTGTCACTTCTCTCCATTATTCTGTCCCCGCTATGCGTAGTTTCTCTTTCCGTGCTGCGAGCTATTTCGACAGTTGTATCTTCGTCGTCGTCATCGTTTGCGTTCTTGTCGGACCTGGGATCTACATTTTGAATCAAACCCAGCTCTTGGTGTCTCCGTACAATGGCAATGAATTCTTGAAACTGTTCCTTCGTGACTCCCCACTGAGAGGCAGGGATGGACTCGACTCGTTTGCGTGCGATGGTGCGCTGTCTCATGTCTTTTTATATTGGTTTTTTGTGTTCGTTGCTTGCTTGTGAGATCCTGGACCAACAGCGCGCAAAGAAACCAAGAAATCAGACGTGGATTGACATTGCAAAACGAGCGCAAAACGAAAAGTTTTCAGTCGGGGATAGAGTCAAAGATATGAGGCCACATCATTGCAAATTCAAAGAGCACTGCGCAGGGGACGTTACTATGGGTTACTAGCTAGTAGAGTGGACTATGGGCGAGGATGGGTTCCAGAGGAGGAGGGCAGGATACTAAGAGTTAAGAGTTGGTTCATTAACTTGCCTCCAGTTTTGGCAGGTTGGGTACCAAAGGATGCCGAAACAGAGCCCACCCATTGCCTTGCCGCCACCTAGGACCGGCTACTACTGATAGCTAAGTGATTATGCTGCGCTAAAACGAGGTCCTCGGGTTGGAGCTACTACACTGGGAGGACGAGGACGATTACGATGATGAGGCATCAGATGAGTGCTCTGTGTCCTACTGAGGTTGGGCCCCCCAACGGATACGAGAGGTGGAGCCTGGGGCTGGTTGTACCGTTCGCAAAGCCGGAGGATGGGTCTGGTTGTGATGTTTTGTGCGATGTGGTTCTGTTGTTGACGGATGTACTCATTGATGGAATGCAGGCAGGCCTGGTGGATTGGGGGATAAGCCCAACTCGAATGGCTGATGCAAGAGTGCGAGCGGAAGAACCGGATGAGCAGTAAGTACGAAGGGCAAGATAGCGATGTTTTGGTAAAGGCACTATTATTAGACAATCCCGCTGAATGGTGGCCTAACAAACCGGCATACCTCCTCAAGACCATACTCGAGTAGGCCATAGGCTTCTGTTCTACCGTTTGCCCCTGAGGGCTGAGAGTAACAGAGGATTTAAACAATTGGCGTCGATAGGTCATACGCCGTCATAGCGAATTAGAGGAACGATTGGAATATGTTCAAGAAGCCAACATGACATTGTGAAAGCCTTCTGATTCGATTCTGCTCAACCTCAGAAGAACAAATAAGACTTAGTTCGCATTAATTTTTGTAACTGTGGCACTGTGACTGGTTTTTATGAAATACGTAGGAACTCATCGGATCACAATGTCATGTACAGTGAGAGTAACGGAGGTAACAGAGGATTTAAACAATTGGCGCCAATAGGTCATACCTAGTCATCAAACGATGTAGAGAATTAAAGGAAATGTTCAAGAATCAAGAAGCCAACATACATGTGTAAACCTTCTGATTCTGCTCACTCAGAAGAACAAATAAGAATTAGGTCGCATCATTGTAACTGTGACTGGCTTCTATGAAATACACAGGATCACAATGTCATGTACAGTATTCTGGACTACTGGAGTACTCAGAGTCATCAGTAATCAGTACCGGCGGTACTGTAAGAAGAGCCGGTACCATACTTGGAAAACTTCGGAACCAGTCTTTTGTCATTAGCTAAAATTGTCTGGAGTAACGTTAATTCAATAATTCTCTTCCAACTTATTGTAGTCATAGTTCGCTTCTGGTGACTACTTCAGAACCTGTACCTTTTAAATCCCTGCTTTCTTCTTCTACGGTCATGTCCCTCGGAGATCGAGGTCCGCGCATCAGCAACCTCCAGCAACCCTCAATCAATTTTGGCACCTCTGTGATGTGCGTGGTGCCACCAACACCACAGAGGTGCGTGGTGCGTGCCACCAACACCCTCACAAGTTCCAAAACTGGAAAGCAAAAACAAGAAAAGGAAGAAAAAATGAGCAAGTTGTTCAAGTTGTTTTCTGTTTCTGGGAAAAAGTCCAGCAAGGAAGATGGAGTTTCTATGGCCAAAGACAATCAAGATGCGTCGGAAAGCACAGGCAGAAGGAGCAGTACTAGCAGTAAGAGCAGTGCTAAGAGTGCTAAGAGTGCTAAGAGCAACACCAAGAAGTCCAGGCACAGCAACACTGGCCTGAAGGATGCTTCCAAAGTTGGAAAAATCGTTGACACGAGGACTGAAAACGAAAGAATGATTGAAGAATACTTTGCTGTTTTGAACTCTCATCCCTCTGCTGATGAAATTGTCAAGCACTTCACCTCCAGTGAAGCCCCGGTCCTGTTTGAAGACAGCAATGGAATGAATGCCATGGTGATGGCAACAGAAATGCAGAAGATGTATGCAGGATTCAACGATTTTCGGTTCAACTATGCTTCCATCAAAGAAATCAAGCCAGGTGTGGTGCTTGTGGATGACGTGAATGTCACCGGAACGCACACAGGTCCCTACCAGTTTGCCAACTTTCCTCCTGTGGAAGCAACCCAGAAGCATGTTGTGCTGGATGATGAAAGACTTTGGTATTACGTGAAAGATGGTAAGATTGCAAAGTTGGAGCTTACTGCCTTGGGGAACCTTACGGGGCCACCTGGACTCTACATTTCTGTTGGAGGCAAGATGGATATGCCAGCTGGAGAATAAGTTGGTACCAGGGAATAACCGGTTCAACCTGGTTACACACCTGCCTGGGCGCAGATGAATCTGATTCAGCCAGGAAAAGAGACAGTCTGAAGAGTCAAGTAGTATATTAGGATGTGAATGTGTTTGATGAATAAGATATTCTATATTAGGACGAGCTAGCTAGCTAGGAACGCAAGATGGCTGTGGGGAGAGAGAATTGTCATAATATTGTCATGTACCGCACTCCACCGATGAACGCCCGCCCGTGACGTCAAGTTCATGAACGCCATGATCGCAGCGAGCCAGCACTCTCAACCCTACCGGTATGGATGCAGGGATGCAGCGATGCAGCGTCAAAAAATCAGAAGGCAGGATCCAGGCTACCAGCTCTACATGTAGCTAGCTAGGAACCAACAGGACTTCCCAAGGGCCAAGCCAATTGTCGCGACGTCACTCAGGCTTCCTAGAGCTCAACTAACTGCAACCAAAACTAACTTTGGCCAACGGAGAGGGAAGCGTCCAACTTCACTGCGGGGTGTGGGAAGAAGTTGCAGCTGTCTGTGGCATACTAGTACGTACTGGGAAACGTGCAGGAATTACCTCCGGTACCGGTACATGTACCGGTAGTATATGTATGTCTTCGAGAGTCGTCACTGAATTCGCTTCCTTCAATATCTTGTTAAATAATAGGACACGTCAGTACCTAATGTCTCTTTTCTAGAATTCTGTTGCGAAAGGAAAAGAAACCTTGAAGGTAATAACTTGCAGTCAATTATTTAAATAAGGAGAGCATTCCGGTTTTCTGAGAACCCTAAACCGCGTTAGGATCGCATGCCACTTTCTTTGGGTTCCACAGAAAGCTGTATTAGGAGAGAGAAGCAGAAGGTCATTTTCTCAAACTCTGAAGCCTGCAACGAAGCCAGCACCCAAACTTCTTGTATTTGAAAGTTTGATTCTTCATCATGCATTGATGTTGTCGCACAGAAATAACCTATGCACCAACACCAGGACGGATCCACAGCCATCCTTCTGGGAAAGTGCTGCATCCGATCTAAGAATCAACCCTCCAGAGCTCCAGTCGAACGGCGAAGTGGTACCATGTTATCCCATGAAAGCCCTTCCTGGTGCTCTCTTATTCTCGTCCTGTCCTGTTCAGCTTCAATCGATTCGATTCGATGGTGTTGAGCTTCTTGGAGAGAATCTCGCCGCAACTTCTAACGCCATAGCGATAAGATCAGGATGGACATTGTCACCGAAACCATGCTGCCCACCACCAATGTTGGGAAAGACCTGGAACAGGCCATGGAGCTGGCTAAGGAGCAAGCAAGAGCCATGGAAATAGCGCAGCCAAAAGACCGAGCAAGTTTCCCACAAGAAAATTCTGCCTTTCCCAAGAGCCCAACTTCTGAAGGCAACGCCCTTTCCAAGGAGATCCAGATCCAACAGGGAGCAACGCTACCTTCAGGGAAAGACGCTTCAGTCATGACAAACGAAACAACTGCGGGGGATGAAGGACATCCCAGCTCTCCCTTTGCATTCATCACTCCTAATAGACCTGATCAGAGCGAGTCCAGCAAGACCAAAGGAGTCTCCAATCCAGCAATCGATGAGTTTTTGGCGAGTGCTTTGATTGATATGGAAGAAATGCCCACACAACCAGGCTCCACCGCTACAAGCAACCAAAGAAACCCCTCCAAACCTGGGGCGTACGCCATTGCTCCAACCGGGGGGTCATCCAGTCATGAAACACAGGAAGCAGTCAACCCGTCACCCGACACTGTTGTGTCTCTGAACGATGCCGAGTCAGGTCTAGCGGTTGCCAACCCAGTGTCTTTCCATGAAATGTCCCAGGACTTTTTGCCCCCTGCAAAAGAACTGAAAGAACGAGAAACCAACCTGCCAACCACTGAGCACGGGACAAACCTTCCAGTTCTCTTGGGGTGTGTTTTGATGCTCTTTGCAACGATTGTGGTAGGTGTTGTCATGGGGATCGCCACTCAAGAAAACTCAGGAGTACCCTACCCGCAAGCTGGCAGCGAACCTAAGGAACTGTTTCCACTATCCGAGTATCCCTCGGGTGCACCCACAACGCTTGCTGATGCCTGGGCAGGGCTTCCAGAAAGCACAATCCTTGCCCTAGAAGACCCAATGACTCCACAATCAAGAGCCTATGAATGGATCATGAATGATCCCAACAGAACATCCTACCCTGACTGGAAAGTACTTCAAAGATTTGCTCTAGCTGTCTTCTACTACAGCACTGGTGGGGAAGAATGGAATCTACAGAAGGACTGGCTCAGCTACACTGTGGATGAATGCTCTTGGTATTGCAGAGGCCTAGCAGGTGGAGTAGAACACTTCTTCTTGCATGAGGGAATTGCAGAGTTGGCATCAGAACAGGAGTTGGTCGACTCTGCCTGCAACGATGACGAGAAGTACTCGAACTTGGTGTTTACAGAGAACAACATGTATGGAACTCTTCCACCTGAGCTTTCATTGTTGAGTGACTCATTACTTTATTTGGAAGTTGGAGCAAATGAGAACATCTATGGCTTGATTCCCTCTGAGATTGGCCTCATGACAAGCCTGAAGAGGTTCTATACAGACCGAAACCAACACACTGGCCAGATCCCAACTGAAATAGGTCAGCTTTGTCAGCTTGAAGAACTCGATCTGGGAAGCAATCTCTTCACTGGATTTATCCCAAGTGAAATTGGCAACATGGAAGCCTTGAGCTTTCTAAGCTTGCGGTATAACTCTGACATGACAGGCACACTTCCAACGGAGCTCTACGGATTGACCAACATGGTCACCTTCCAAGTTCAAAAATTGGAGAAGCTTATTGGTGGGAACATCCTTCCCGAGATTGGCCGAATGACCAAGTTGGATTACTTCAATGTCCATCACATCACATTCAATAGCTCACTTCCCACAGAGATTGGCTTGCTCTCAAATAGCCTACGTCGGCTGAATGTGTGGAACTGCAGCATCACAGGAACTCTCCCGAGTGAGTTGTTCCAGCTAACCAACATGGTGCGTCCAGACTAGGGTACATGTAGTTGGTTGATTCCATGATCTTTCATCTCACATCTTGCGCGAATGTTTTGCGGAGCAGTGGAGGATAGACATTGATGACAATGAAATCACGGGAACAATCCCAACAGAATTTGGGCGATTCACCAGTAAGTTTTCTGGCAGGCCATGTGTGTTGCTTGTCCACAGAAGCAGAAACAGCAACAGAACCATCTCTCACACTCCTGCTGTACCTTCAGATTTGACCATGGCTTGGATGAATGGAAACAGCTTCTCCGGGACACTTCCTGCCTCCATCTTTGACAGCTGGGGACAGCTTTCTTACCTCAAGATCCACAACAACAATTTGGAAGGCCCACTGCCATCAGAGCTTGGTCAGTTGACCAATCTGAGACTGCTCTGGTTGTCTCATAATCAATTTTTTGGGACCATCCCATCACAGCTAGGGCTGCTCAACAATGTGACAGAGCTGTTCCTCCATGATACCAACCTGGTTGGTACCATCCCTGAAAGCTTGACAGATATGGCTGAGTTGGAGATGCTGACTGTATCCAATACATCACTGACTGGGTCCATTCCAAATCCCCTTTGTGACCAAATCTGGGACATGACCCATACTTGCAATGTCTACTTTGGGGGGATGTGGACACTTTGCTATGACGTGGAGAGGGTCAACTTTACCTGCTCGTCCTCCAATCTTTGTGGCTGTGATGTCTGTGGAGCTTGCAACAGTTCAACAATTGGCAGTTAGTGCCAGCAATTTTGGATGATACTACATCTATAATGTATAAATGTATATAGCTTTTCTCTTTCAGCAAATGCTCTGTGAAATAATCAGCCACCGTTTTCTAGTTGCACGACTGCACTGAGTTGGACTGTGGGAGGCCTTCCTTGGATTGGAGCAAAGGGAATCAATCCCTTGAGATTGCCTTGAGGGCTCGTGGGCCATGCCATACAGTATGAAAGAAGAATGCAAAGAATGGCTGCTCTTGACGCCGTTTTCCGAGGGCCATAGTATATCGAACATGCTGCTGTGGTTTCGGTGGGACCTAGCTAGTGGATAGCTACCGGTACTGTAGTATTCTTATGCTCGTGGTCTGGTGGCGCCCTGGTGTCCTACTCTAATCTCACCGGAGAGGTTGGCTTTTCTAGAGGTTGGTACATGGTGAAAGGTGATGGTACGGTAAAGGTACCATCTTTGTGCTTCGTGGTGCCGAGCCGCAATTCGACCTTTTGCCAAAACTTCCGTTCCGTGCTTCATCTTTTACGCGAGTTGTGCGTTAGAGCTCTGCATAGTTCTCCCTCACCAGAAAGCATTATGATAGCACACGATTCTGGCACTTTAAGTGCAGGCCTTCGTTACCTAATACTGACAACTCTTGTGGCATACGGTAGCTTTCTTTTTACGGTAGCTGTCAAAACGATCTTTTACGGTATTAATACGTGTCAAAACGAAATAAGTGATGGCTCACATATCTTACGAACTTACGAATGCTTCAAGGACAAATAAATAAGTCAGCCTTTCTTGAAGTGAAGTAAGCAAGGCGGTGTGTGAGATGACCGCGATCCCTCTCCTTCCTTCGATCCCACGGCAAAATCGATCGCCATGCACATGCTTGGTAGATCTTGTCCCTATTGCGAATCTCTGCCTGCTGCGGTCCGAGCTGCATGGAAGCTTTCCTCCTTCTAAAGGTAAAGAATGCAATAGTAGGTTCGTCTCTCCCTGTTCCAGAGCGAGGCAAAGAGTGAAAGATGGAGGCCAAGAGGAAGCCCAGCCCCCAAGGGGCAAGTTCCTTACCAATCATGTCGACAGGAGAATCCCCTGCGAAAGGCGAGGACTCAAGCTTGCCGTCTGCGGCTGTCCCTCCTCCTGTTGCTGTAGCGATGGATTGTGATTCTCCGTCAAAAAATGGGGCGAATCGGGATATAGAAATCCAAAAAGGCGAAGATGCCGCCATGCCAAAGGCGGACGGTGATCCAATCTTGCCACCTATGACTAATACCGGTAATTCTCGTGTAGTTGATCCGACTGGGGCCTTGTTGGCGTCATTCATTCAAAAGACGGCCCCATCAAGTACTGAAATCGCCCATCGAGCAATCGATGAAATTGTGGCGGGTGCTTTGTCCGCAGTTCAAGATTTGCCCACTGAACTAGATCCTACAAACCACCACCACCAAAACAGCAACAATAACATCCCCTCCGAGCCAGGGGCATATGCCATGGCTCCTATTGCAGGGGACAATGGGACACCCACTACCAACATGAATGCTGCCAGGCCGAATTTATCACAAGAGGCAGCAGTCCCTGAAGACACCGATACAACTTCGCCGTTGCATGATGCTGAGTCAGGTCTAGCCGTTGCCAAGCCAGTGCGATTTCACGAGATGTCTGAAGACTTCTTGCCCCATGCAGAAGAACTGGAAGAAAGCGAAAGGCAGACATCAACAGACGAGAATTCAAATAGGAAGAAGCTTCAAATCGTTGGAGGCGTGTTCCTACTCGCCGTGTTAGTAGCTATGATTGGTGTTGTGGCAATGGCCAGCCAGCAAAGCTCACGATTCGACATTGCGACAGGCAATGAATCTGAAGAGTTGATTCCATCCACAGAAACCCCTTCGACTGCACCCACAATGGTTGCTGATGCCTGGGCAGGGCTTCCGGAAAGCACAATCCTTGCCCTAGAAGACCCAATGACTCCACAATCAAGAGCCTATGAATGGATCATGAATGATCCCAACAGATCATCCTACCCTGACTGGAAAGTACTACAAAGATTTGCCTTGGCTGCTATTTACTATAGTACTGGTGGGGAAGAATGGAATCTACAGAAGGACTGGCTCAGCTACACTGTGGATGAATGCTCTTGGTATTTCAGAAGTCTCGTAGGTGGTGTTGAGGACTTTTTCCTCTTTGAAGAAACTGCAGAAATGACCTCAGAGGTTGAACATGTGCACTCTGCCTGCAGCGATGATGGGCAGTACCTTCATTTAGTCTTTACGGAGAACAACATGTATGGAACTCTTCCACCAGAGCTCTCTATGTTGGACTCTCTGAAGATTCTGGAAGTTGGAGCTAACGAGAACCTCTATGGCTCGGTGCCATCAGAGATTGGCCTCATGACAAGCCTGAAGAGGTTCTATACAGACCGCAACCAGCACACTGGTCAGATCCCAACTGAACTTGGTCGACTTTCTCAGCTTGAGGAGCTTGACCTCAGCAATAACCTCTTCACTGGATTTATCCCAAGTGAAATTGGTAATATGGAAGCCCTGAGCTTCCTAAACTTACGATATTGCTATGACATGACAGGCACCCTTCCGACGGAGCTCTACAAGTTGACCAACATGGTCACCTTCCAAGTTCAGCATTTGGAGAAGCTTATTGGTGGGGAACTGCTCCCTGCGATTGGACTGATGACAAACTTGGAATACTTCAATGTCCATCATGTTCCGTTCAAGAGCTCTATTCCGACAGAAATTGGCTTGCTCTCTAGCCTACGTCGACTAAATCTGTGGAAATGCAGCATCACAGGAACTCTCCCGAGTGAGTTGTTCCAACTAACCAACATGGTGAGTCCAGACCCGGGGCGGGATGGGGAACATGCAGTAGGATGATTCCATTTATACCAATCCCGTGATCTTTCATCTCACACCTTGTGTGCCATGGCTGTCTTGGTGAGCAGTGGAGGCTAGACATTGATGACAATGAAATCACTGGAACTATCCCAACAGAATTTGGACTATTTACAGGTAAGTGTGCCCACAGGAAACGTTTTTGATAGTCCAGATAACCCTCTCACCCACTAGGACTGTTTCTATTACAGATTTGACCATGGCATGGATGAATGGGAACAGCTTCTCTGGGACACTTCCTGCCTCCATTTTGGATAGCTGGGGACAGCTGTCATTTCTCAAGATTCACAACAACAATCTAGATGGTTCACTGCCGTCCGAGCTTGGTCAGTTGACCTCTCTGAAACTCCTGTGGCTGTCTCATAATCAATTTTTTGGGACTATCCCATCACAGCTAGGGCTGCTGAACAATGTGACAGAGCTGTTCCTCCATGGTACCAATATCAGTGGTACCATCCCCGAAACCTTAACAAAGATGGACGGCTTGGAGATGCTAACGGTATCCAATACCTCACTGACTGGGTCCATTCCCAATGGCCTCTGTGACCGAATCTGGGACATGACCCATACATGCAACGTTTACTTTGGTGGTATGTGGATATTCTGCGAAGATGTGGAGAGGGCCAACTTTACCTGCTCATCTACAAGTCTTTGTGGCTGTGATGCATGTGGACCTTGCAACACTTCAACGATTGGCAGCTAGTGCCAGCATTTTTATAACTTTTCATTTTTGTATAGATGATTTTGAATGCCGCAATGCATCCTTATTGCCAAGATTCTGGCTCTTCAGTACGAACCCCCTCCTCGCTCCCTCGTGGAAGGTTCCCCTGTTTGGCTTTTTCCAACAATCGCGTGGCATCTTGTCGGGCGGCTTTGACCCACTCCAGCCGTTCCTTGGGCTGCGACGGCGGTGGCAATCGTTTGGCTTGCCAGTCTTGGTGGTTGGACTCAGACTCTACTAGTTGTTGAAGGGCAAAGGAATTGGCAACCATAGTTTCAATGACCATGAAATGATAGGGCTTGAGTTCCAAAATGCGCTGGCACATTTCGGTGGAGTCTTGAAAGCGTCCTTGGAGACAGTAGAGTTTGGACAGCAGAGCAAATGGTTGGATATAAGTGGGATCTTGACGACACAGCGCTACCAAATTCCGTTCGGCCGTGGGCCAATGATCGGGATGTCCCAGATCCTTCCACGCTTGGAGCATTTTGGCTTGCACGTCGTCCCCCCACTCTCCGTACCACAAATCGCGAAATCTGTGCTTGTGAATGTTGTCGTCGCCATTTCGCAAATCGGCAAGCAGTTCCATTTCGGCCTCACGGATCGCTTGCTCGTGGGCTGTAAGGGGCCATGCAGCAACGGGTAGTGGAAGGTGGCTCGTAGCATTGGTGTTGCTGTCAGGAGTGTGCTCGCTGGAAGAGCTACTACGCGTACCGTAAAGTGGAATTCCCGTCCTCCCAGGAAATCGGAGGGGATCTATTATTACGGCGCCATGCGAGAAAGACACAACTTGCTTCAGAGGCAGCAAGATTGGAGCAACCAAGAAGAGGGATGTCGTACAAATCAACATGCTGGACATATATAGCGATACAGCTTCTCTTAGAAACAAAGAAGAGCCGAGTGTCAGTCGAGTCAATACAGGCAATGTGTCCGCTGTCATTGTCTGCTTCAATTGAAAAGTTCCCAAGACACCGGATCCAAAGATCGCTTTGGAGCGCTGACGTGGCTTTCAGAGAAAATTCCAAATTTGCTTTTAAATTGGGTGGAATTGAATCAGCAAATGTATTTTGCACTTTTTAATTCGATTCAAAAGTTTCATTTCGGACACCACGGTTGGATCCAAGCGTCTCCACAACACACGGGCACCAGCCTCGATCCGTTTAGAGTAGGGAAATTATCTACGGAAGCAAGCCAGGGCCAAGCTTTTAAAAGCAAAGAACAGTCGAAATTCAGGACTAGGTTCTCTGGGATCAGGGGCAAGAAACTGAAAAGCTAATGGGTCCCTGCCATCTCCCTCCCCTGGCTCTGTTTACTCTTTGTCCTTACCTGCCTGTCATCTCCTTCTGTTGGCCTGCTCATTCATTGTCATTCCCTGCCCGCTCATCGTTTGCTCGCGATTGACGACAGTGATTCACCCATCCATGTAGACCCTTCTAACACATTGATGAAAAGCTATCAAAGATTTCTGGCACTAATGCCAACTGTTGAGCTGTTGCAAGCTCCACAGACGTCACAGCCGCAAAGACTGGAGGACGAGCAGGTAAAGTTGACCCTCTCCACATCATGTCCCAGATTTGGTCACAAACGTGATTGGGATGGACCCAGACAGTGAGGTATTGGATACAGTCAGCATCTTCAACTAAGCCATACTGCATCTGCCAAGCTTTCAGGATATATAGTGATGGTGCCTGCACGAGGGACGTACCTAGGAGCTACTACACAACAATCACAATCATGTACGGTACGTACCGGTGCTTCACATGTATCTACCGTATCTTTCAGAAACTATTGCACATAGTACTTGTTAGAAGGTACTACTCGGCTCCAGGAAGCTCCAGTCCAAATACTAACAACAACAATCCCACAAAGAAGAACGTAATGGCATTAGCATATTCGGGGGAAACTTCCAGGTTTCCCACATGAAATCTCACGGGAGCCTGGAGAAAAGTCAACCCCAGGACCTGCAGCTGCTGGGTTGACTCTGTGCTGGTTTGTGATGCCGCCAACATCAACAACTTTGGGCCAATGTACTCGGTGCATTCCGTGACGAGATAGGCCATGGACTGAAAGACAATCAAGCATTGGCGCAAAATGCCAGGACCACAAAGAGCTCCTGCGTCGCGGTCAATTCGTGTTCCTTTTCTTTCCAAACTCCGGCTATAATGGTGGTGGTGTCAATGGCAAAGACCAAGAGGGACAAGAGTAACTGGACACCAAAACTGTGCGACAAACTGTGCAAGTCGTGACGGACAGTTTGATAGACTTGGAGCCACCGGTTGGATTGTTGCGGCTGTGGCTGCGACTGCGGATCCTTCGCCAAGGCCGTAATTTCTTGTTCCGCGACGTAGAGACGTGTCAGCAAGGCTCGCATGGCCAAGGTGATGAGCAGAATGGCCCCGGCAAATGTGACGTTATTGATCACATCGGCCAGTATCAGCAGCAACACACTGTTGGCTCCAGTGCTGTAAACTATCGTGGAAGCCAGGTCCACTGTTAAAATGAGGCCAAAGGCGGCCAGACAAACGTTTATGATTTGGCAAGTCGTGGGATCTGATTTCATGACTTGCAAGTGATTGTTGGAACGAGCATGATGCTGATGCTGATCATGAATCCCCAAACCAAGCCCCGTATGGAGCGGAGCTGCAAATGGGAAAAAGAGCAACAATAGAGTTGCCAACAAATCGATGGTCCATTGGGTTTGGACAATCCCACCGCCGTGTACTCGTCCGCTACTGTCAATGGTGACGTCATCCTCCGTATCCTTGAGCTGCACCACTTTGAACCAAAAGTACGGAAGTTCCACAAGAACCAACAGAGAGCCTACCAAACAAGTAGCCACTCGACCTCCTGAAGAAGCTCAACTAGAAACAGTGCCATGGCGGTCCGTTAGGAGTGAGGATTGTTCTGTGGGAATGGCAATGGCATCATCGTCTTTCGCTTCTGGCAACGCAAAGTGGCCTTGTTTGCCCTGAACTTGCAGCAATATCCTTTCAATGAACAGCAGGGAATGGATAATCAGATTGTGGAGATAGCCCATAGTAGACATACATGCACGTAGACAGAGCACTTGTGTTGTCCCCAAAGTTCCTCCGTGACAAGTGCAGCCCTTCAGCTGCTGCTGCAAAGATCGCTGCAGGGCTGACAGGCGTTTAGAGAAAACTCCAAATACAGTTTCAAATAGATTGGAATTGAGACAAAAAGAGTCATTTGCACTTTTCGCGCATCAAAAATCTCATTTTGGTTGACTATTTCGACAGTTCAGGCATGTCTCCAGATCCTATAGCCGAGCAGCTCCCACGAGATCATTGGTCTACCTCACGAGTACCTTCAGTAGCTTAGTCAAAATCATCTATACAAAATTCATGGCATGAATAGTTATCAAACATGCTGGCACTAGCTGCCATTTGTAGAAGTGCTGAAAGGTCCACATGCATCATGCACAACCACAAAGACTTCTAGATGAGCAGGTACATGTAGAATTGACTCTTCCAAATCTTCACAGAATATCCACATTCGTACCTAGAAAGGACAGAAGCTTGGTTTTCCTCCAGTCATGATTAGTTTGCATTCCGGACCCTTACATTGGCTTTTTGTGGCGAAGGATGCTTCCCTCCGTTGCTTTGCGGATCAGGCCCGTGGCCATGAATGAGTCCAGGGGTATACCGGTGCCTGCCTTGTAGGAGAAGGTCTTGGAGCTCATTCTGACTTGTACATTAGAACGGGAGATATGTTTTTTCGAATGAGCCTGAGTGGTCATCGAATCGAATGGGGATCCTTTGTTGATCGAGCTGGAATAGAAATGCAAGGTGTCGAGAGATAGAGACCCTCCATTGTTTTGGTCGAGCTCCTGGACTCACCACGGATCATTTGAGACTCCTACCGAGTGCCATCCTAAACCTTTCTTAGCTCCGCTGGAGTTCCGCGCAATCTCCGTTGCGAACGCACAATACCAGTACCAAGGACGCCAAGCATACACTCTATGTCGTTCGAGGGCTTGGCGGAAGAGGTGCTCGAAAGTCGAGTCGAGTGACTCAGTCGCCGCGATTCGATTCGACTTTTACTTGTGGGACAACGTGACGCTGGAAAAGACACGACGAGCGGCATTCAGTTTGGTGCGTGCCGAGAATGACTTGAAACCGGGCATTACGGATTTCGATCCAACCACACAACACGCGGGCCTGGCGAGAGAGGGCCACTGTGTGGCACGTGATCACAACCAAGATATCAAGGGGTTGGAAACGTATGAATAGGTACATCAGACTTCCTGCTGTACGGTGCTTGGCCTTCCTGTTCTCTTATACAATCGTACAAGAATCGGATCGCATCAAGGAACGCGACGAATTCCTCCAAAGATGCACTATCAAGTAAGACGAATGGTTGTCCGGACCTGACTTGACCTGCAACTTTCTGCTTGGTGCATGGCATTTCCAGTTTGCCGTCCTGTTTGGTGCTGTTGGACTTGAAGGCTCCCTCGAGCATCATTGGTACTTTGCTTCTGTTAGTGAAGATTTCGGAAGCATCTTAGAGGGGAATCGTGACATTCGCGTCATTCAATTGGCAGATTGCTGTTGACGGCATTCAGTCCAATTTCTTATTGGCACTCGTGTAGGCTTGGCCTTGGCAGCCATGGCGACATCGACAATTCGTATTTTGACCGAGGCTCTGAGGAACTGCTGGCGCATCGATTCCGTGTTGGCATTAGCCTTAAATTACCACGAACTGAAGTCTTGTCCTTGGACACCTTCGTTTGCCTTTGGCCGTGCTCGGTTGTCTGGGTTGGACCCCGTACCCGTCAAGTAAACTGATGCAGAGCAGGCACATGGCATGCTGTACGTACCGGCACCAGACGATAGCAGTAACGGTGCAAGGGTAAGACAAGATCGTACCACAGGTCAACAGAAGAGGAGCATCGTCAGTTTGGTCCTGCGGAAACCCCACCCCCCTGCAAGCTGAAGTACCAACATAGCAACACTCACTCTCTTTCTTGTTGCTGCCAGTTTAGTAAAGTATCGTTTGAAGGGATGCCTGTTTCCTTAGATGGACGTTCACGTTCCTCCTGATCCGTTATGGTGCTGTTATGACCCCCCTCTTATAATCTCTAAGTTAGTTGTACATGCAGGTATGCATAGCTATGGGGTTAGAGGTGACCAGAGGCAGAGGGAGGGATGCAAGAGCGCGAGTCCGACAAACCAGACAGTAGGCCCACTGCACAACCAAAGGAGGAAATGGTGGCAACGTCCCAATGCTGGGAGCTCATCGTAGAAGCAGGAACACAAGCACCACACAGGCACACCCTGTAGCTCTACGTGCAAGGGCAATACTCAATCAGGGCGGAAGGAGTGAATCACATAGTAGGGCTTGGACCACTTCATATCCAAAAGCTGGGAGAGCTATTGGAGAACAGCGGTAGCTTCTGGAGCAAAGAGGCCAGCAGAAACAATCTACGAACATAAAATTTGAAAAATGGAAAAGGGCAAAAGTTCCATTCGGGGAGCACGGGTTAGACCAAATTTTTCTTTTTGTCTCTCGTGAGGTTCAAGTGGACAATAAGGCTTATTTGTGCTAGGAAGTCACGATGCTTTAACTCTTTGGTGTCTTTACTTTCAGCATGTCTCAGTTTCACATTTCACTACCAGTAGTCATCAGAGAGCCCCTGAAACGCACGCGGTTGTATTATACGTATAACATTTTCACTATGTATTCTACAGATCATACGTATTACACATATAACCTTTTTAATATGTATTAGACAAGTCATACGTACAACACAGGTAACACAAGTGGAAAAATATTATACGTATTACATGTATTATGTGTTGTACGTATTTTACGTATAATACATAGTGACGAATTTTTGCTAAGTTTTTTTGCCAGGTGTTTTGCTAGGTGTTTGGGAGGCAGAGAGGAAGATGCACTGTTGCAGGCCATAATACCTGACAGCTTATCAAGTAAAATGGACTCTTACCTATCTGAACTCTCCCATGTTGCTAGATACAATATCAATGATGAAGAATGGACTCCTGCTTCAATCATTGTGAATGTAGCAACCTCACTAACTGATGATACACCAAAGGAGATAAACATTATAGATACTCTGGGGTTCGATAATTATCGAATGGAGAAATCGACGGTGTATTGGCTACCTTCGATGTATCAATCTTGTGATTCGGCGCATATTAAAGAAGTTTTGATGCCATACTTTGTACTTTCTTGCAAGACTACTGGATTCCGTATCAAAAACAAGGGATTCGATAAGAGGCGGAATCACATTACCATATGTTGTCCAAGGAGTCGTTTTTACAAACAAAGGTCCCAAAAGGAGAGCAGCAAAACCACCCAGACTCAGCTTCCTGTTGAGGGGGAGGGTGTCAAATGTCCATTCTCTTTCAATGTTCTATATAGCCAGGAACACAGACGATGGTATCTACCCAAGTTCCAGACAGTATCTACCCAAGTTCCAGACAGGCAACAAGCTTCATCGTGGCCATGTACAACTGGAAGAGGCACAAGTGAAAGTGTTAAGTACTCATCTTGGCACAGAAGCCGTTACACTAGCTGATCAATGCCTAAAGAACCTGTAACACGTGTTACACGCTAGATACGTATAACACGGGTGATACATATAATACACGTTACATGCATAGCACGTGTTACACCATAACACGTGTTACACCATAACACGTGTTACACGCGTAACACGCGTAACACGTGTTGCGCGCTGAGGTACTTACATGGGTTCAGTACTGGTCCCTACAGAAAGTGGTTGACAATGGTAGAATTCAAGGCCAGGTCTTCCACAGGCTTTGTCAGTGAGCCTTCAGAAGTATATGAATGCAAAGAGAATGGTCCTGAAGGCTGTACAGGGCCTGAGGAAGAGAGTGGAGGCAGAAAAATGGAGAATGAGTTGAATGAAGAGAAATCATTCTATCTTTCCACAGGAACAGTCTTCTTGGCTTCAACAAAGCCATACCACATTGCCTACTTACCCACAATGATGGTGCTATCTTCAAATAACAAGAGAAACCTTTGTATCCTTCAAACAAACAAGAGAAGAGAGGTTGTTGTCATGGTGGTTCTTTGTGGTGGAGAAGTTGGAGTTGAAGTCAAGTCATTTTGCGAAACTCGAACCGTCACGGTGGCTGGCTGGCGCGCGTGTTATACGTGTTATACGTATTCCACACATAAGACGTGTTACACCTGTTATACGAGTTATACGTGTAACATCGCGTGCGTTTCAGGGTCTCTCGTTAATAAAAGCTCATGTTATAAGACATCGCTGGACTCTCTGAGATCATTGAGGCATTCTAAAACAGAAGACGGAGTGAAGACATCAAAAAGTGACATCCTTGTCGTAAACATCTTTCTCAAGTGTGCCCCCCTCTTCGTTTTGGCCATTTTGTTTCTATGGCATGACTCGTCGTTGGTTTTGTCGCCAGTGGATGTACCTGCTGCACTCCTGACAGAGTGTTGGGTTCTTTGACCAAGAGATTGCAAGCCCTTGTTCCCACAGAAAAGCAAACCGAAAGCTTTGCTACCGGTAGCAGAAGCTTTACTACGACTTTTCTAAAGGGATTGAACAATCCGTCATATACAACTAAAATGCATCATTAGTCATACTACGGTGTAGCCAACATAGTTCAGGCCTATGTCCCTCAATTCCAATCTGACTGAGTCGAGGCAATTTATCACTGCATCTCTGACAAAGGCTTTGTCCAACGTGCCTCCAACAGACTTCACATGACAAGTGGATCATGCCAATTCCCAAACTCCAAACAGTCCCTAAAGCTCACAGGAGCCGATGCAGGTGGGGTCCTCAGGTGCTGTGTATGATATGGGCGCATCAATGAATTTTAAAAGGATCGACCTATAGCTTTATAAAACTTGTAATATACATGTAGCCAGCTACTGCTTGCTACTGAGGTTGTGAGGGCGATCTCATCAAACCACTCCAGGTTGCATTCGCCCAAATCATATCATACATCATACATCATGCACCTCTGGATGATACCTTTTTACTTTGATCAATCCCTGATCTTGAGACTCTTTTATTGTTTGTGTATCGCACTGGCGTACCCATGAATTCCATAAGAATCTGTTCGTTGGTCTTGGCCCCAATCAGCATTGCCACTTCTGCAGAGGACACACCTCCCTTGGACCATGAATCGGAACTCCCATCTTGTTTGCTGCTGTTGGACTTGGAAGATTTGCCAGACATCTTCTTGTTGGTGATACTCTTCATGAAACCCATGTTGACTGCTGCTGTGAGATTCTTTGAAAGTTGAAAGGAATTGTAAGTGGAAGCTTTGTTGAGTCTTTCTTTCCAAACAGAGGATTGTGAGCATATTCTGAAAACGGAGGAGATCGAAACTGTTTCGAATCTGATGAGGACAGAGCCCCAATTGCCAAACGAAATGGTCAGTTCCAGCCATGGATGACTGGAACTTTTATTGATCTTGGACTGCGGCCTAAAGGATACTCAGCACTAGTAAAGTGTTTTGATTTTCTATCTACCGAGAAAGATTGTTGATGAAGCGCCTGAGTACCTGGTACACAGTTATTGCGGACTTCAAGCCGGATATACTATCCATCCAGATCCATCCACCAGCAATCCACTGCGCTGAGCATCATATACAAGGACGACGTACACACTTACTTCTAATACCGAGTTCTCTTTGTTGCTTTCCAGTCATAGTTTAACTATCAAAGGTCATTCTAAAGCTGAAAGAAATAGGAACATATTTATCGGCTCGTAGAGAATGCTCCTCTTCTTCTTCAGACCATGTACTGCTACAGTACTCAGTACAGTGTACTGTACAGCTACTGTATATACAGTGCTTCTTACAGTAAAAGCTGAGATTTTTCCGAACAGCGAGCATACAATCACTTGACGGCTGAAGACATAGGAAAGAAAAGAATAGATAGAGTCCCTTGCCTCTTTTAAGAGGATTGAAACTGGCTGTAACTTCAAGCCCCACTGATACTAGCGACGACCCACGAGCTGCTGCTTTCTTCCTTGCTTTAACACTGTATATCTGCCTACTCACAAATACAGAAGAGGTCAGATGATTTGCTCTGTGTCCTAGAGTACGGGTGCATGTAGCTCTTTTGGCAAGGTCCTTTATTGACTTATTGGCTTTTGCAAGGTACATTGACTTATTGGCATACCTGTACTGGGCAAGCCAATCCAGCAGTCATTCCTCAGCCTTCTTTGTCTTCATGGTCAACTTTCTGTATGAAAAAGTCTGAAGGTGTGTGGCTTGACACCACGATTATTCCAGCCGACACGACTATTGATGCTCCATAATAGCAGCCACGTGGTGCAAGTGATCCTAATATCAAGCATGGCTAATCTAACTGAAAACGTGTGGATCCGATTTCGATGTCTTGAAAGCTCGTCCAAGGCTACTCGTACGGTATGACTCGACTCCTGTAACTCCATTTTCCACTGACATACATACTTCTTGCATACCAATTGCAAAAGTCACCGGTCTGTCCCCTTGGCCGAGCCCGAGTATACGAAGAATCTGGGTTCGATGCCTGCAGACCACATTTATACTTATACCGGTGGCATTCATACCGGTGACAACCTCCTCGTTCATCAATCGAGAACAAAATTTCTTTGGGGCCTTCGTCAGCGATTTTCAGGCGCAGACTTGCAAAAAAACCGCTTAAGGGAATGGGATCCTCTTGCTGAGCCAGCGAGAAGGACTGGATGAGCTGATATTCTATTTACCTGGAAGCATCCCGAACCTTGGTGGTTTCTCTACGGTACCACGGGCTGTTGAAACAGCTTTACAGGCTGAATAGAATAGAATCAATCGCTTGGTTCCCTGCTGCTTGCTCCGTTCTTGTCTTGCTAGATCTCCAAAGCTGTGAGAGTTTGCTGCCGCAGTTCAGCGCCGCGAGACCATAGGTTTCGTTGTCTTGCTAGCGGGCTTGTACAACGTGCCACGCGACTATCGTTCTCGGACGTTGCTATCGTGGTTCCGAGACCAGAGGCCCGGAGGCAGTGGAGGGACGACTGCGTCGGTACGAAATACAAATATGCTCGACATAGCTCTTAAAAAGGTTAAAGCACCACTGAGTGGAGGTGGGTGGTCAGCTTTCCGCCTACAGAAAGATAAAATCCTGGGGGCCCCGTCAAGTTTCCCAATGCTACCGGTGCAACTCCCTGTGGTCAACAATCTTTCGATCCTTCATTGTATAGCCAGCCAGACTCGCCCTGGATCCAACTGGACCTGCATATCGGGGCTTGGAAATGGAGGAAAGTTGGCAAATTGGCATGGTGCGCCGGTATGGGTCCCCGTCTCACACATTTCTTCAACTAGAATCTCATTGGGGCGCATTTCCTTGATGGACGCATAGTAGCTAGTTGAACCTGAGATCTTCAAAACCAAGGTAGACCTTTCGTATTCTGTCACCAACGCAGCCCAGAGATTCCGTCTTCCACCTTGATTACAACATCAGGAGATGAATAGAACTGGAGTATTTCTCCACTGGATCCATAGACACTACATGTGTTCCGGTATGCACTCAGCGGCCGCGCGTTTGATCTTCTTCTCCTTCTTGCTCTTGGAACCACCAACATTTCTGTTGACCTGGTCATCGTCTGTCGATGCCCTGTCGCTACTCTTGATCTCTCAGCTACTGTTGCCGTTGAGATGCTTTCTCTTCCACTTTGCTGCCAGTGGCCAACCTTTTGACTCCCTTCTTCCTTGAAAAGAGCTTCAGCAAGCCATGTTCTGCCTTCTAAGCCCTGTGCAAGTATGACAACAGGAACGTCGAGAGATATATCTACAAAGTTACGTAGGTGGTTGCGAAGGCGGCTTTGGGTGCTTGGCTGGAAGCTGGATATGAATGGACTCAGGTGGCCGCAGGAAGCAGGAAGCATGGTTTCTAAGAACAACTTTGCACCCTTTCACAACAATGGTTCGAAGACTTGTGCTTCTGATTCCAGCCATGTTTCGGAGGAACTCTAGCTAGCCAAAGAATGCTGATGTATACGGTACGCATCATTATTCGCCTATTCCGCTGTAGTAGTTGCGAGAGCAAAAGCTTTGGCCTGGGTTCTTTGTTGGTGTGGGTCTAGTAGCGGGGGAAGCTATCTAGCTAGAGCCTCCAGCACCGATACGCCCACGGTAAGAAAGAAGCAAAGCCTACCAACAATTCCTGAATATCTTTAATCTACTGTAGTTAGTTCAAACCCCTCCTCCAGCACTCGTTTGCCTAACCCTCTGACGGAGGCATTTCCAACTTGCCTCCAACTGAAACATACATGCCAGGTGGACCTGTCAAGTTTCCAAGGGCAGTGATCTCCTGCTTTTCAATCTTTCCATCCTTCATGGTAAACCACAACCTTTCCTGATCCAGCACAACATGCCTTCCAGTAGGAGGGATCGCAGGGAAGTTTGCAAATGCAAAGTCTTTGGTGTGAGTTCCAGTGACACAGAGGTCTTCCAACAACACTTGTCCTGGTTTGACTTCCTTGATAGAATCATAGTTGAACCTTAGGTCTTCAAAGCCCAGGTACACCTTTCGGATTTCTGCCATGAGCGCTGCTGCTGGCATGACCACCCCGTCTTCAAACACTTGGGGGGCATCTGGAGAAGTGAAGTAATCAACAAGCTCTTCCACGGAACCATGGCGGTTGATGGTGGCCATGTATTCTGTAATAATATCTTCATTGGTCTTGGGCTTTCTTTCTTTTCGCTGCTTGAAACTTGCACTGGAAGAGCTTGTCACAACTGTCATGTTGTCAGTGGAAGACCGCTCGGATTTCCTGCCTTCTTTGGTCTTTGTATTCCCACCTTTGCCATTGGACTTGCTGGAGGCCTTGTCAGACTTCTTGCCAGTGAAAATCTTTTTCATGAAACCCATGGTGCTGTTTGCTGTTGGCTGCTGCTTTGATAGTGCTGTGTTGGAGTTCTTGTTCAAGGGTTTGAGAGATGATTCAAGAAATTATGAAAGAAGTCAAGAAGTCTGGCTACCGGTAGGGCAGAGTGGAGTTTCTTCGCCCGAGCATTCAGGCATTCAGGCGGGAAAATAAATGGTGCCGTGTGACCAGATCGAAGATCGAAGCTGAGGTGTCAAAAATTAATGGTCAATGGCGAGTCGAAATAACGAAATAAGGGTTAAAAGCCAGAAGTTTGTGTCTTGCATTCGTGCTCCACCCTTGATCTACATAAGTCATAGTGGGCACATTGCAAAATTGAAGAATCTCATGGCGAGACTCTTCGTACGAGAAAGAACGTAAGAACTGGAATGACGAATGATCCTATTGCTTTGGGCTGGAAATGACTGAAGGTCTTTTAACCCTTTGAAATTGCCCTGCCCAGATTTGCAGATCCCAAAATGAATCTGATAGCGGTATTGGCTTACGGGGGATGCTGTTATTTAATAGGGTTGGCTTTCTTCAACAGAAGTTTGTCGTTGTGCCAAGAGGGGTTGCTGCCTGGCTGGCTAAATGGCTGGAGTTACTGCCCAAAGGGAAGCTTCTGTGCTCTACGTTCTGCCGTCAGCGACTAGCTACAGGGTTATAGTAGCTCGCTGATGTTGGTGCTGTACTAAAGGAGCTACTAAAAAGGTGTCAACGACGTCTAATAAAGTGGTTGCGTTCTGCTCGTCAAATGAGTGCCCAGTTCCGATGGGTCACTGTGTCTGGAGCTGCCACTGAAACTGCCACTGGAATTGCCACCGGAGTACCAGTTCTCCGCCAAGTTTGATCTGATCCAGACCCCCCCCCCTGTTTGATCTGCTGGTCTCCTCTCTGATCCAGACTTTGCTCCCCCACCTGTTATTCGATCCGGAGAGGGGGGATTTGGCTGGTGGCACTCCTCTCAGCCAACATAGCCGGTGTGCCAATGGCAACCACTGATCCATTGCTGCTTTCAAAGTACTATGTACCTTACTTCTGAAAGCAAAAAGTCTTTAGGAATGTAGTAATGAATTTATAGCTTTAGAAAACGTATGTTGTACATGTAGCCAGCCAGCTTCTGCCTGGCTGCTACTGAGGTTGCGAGAGTAGATCTCGTCCTCAAAATGAATCTTGAGACTCTTTGATCATACCGTACATCATGCTGCAGCATTTCTGGATGATGATGCCTTGCCGGATCTTGGGACTCTTTTATTGTTCGTGTATCGCACTGGCGTACCCATGAACTCCATAAGAATCTGTTCGTTGGTCTTGGCCCCAATCAGCATGGCCACATCTGCAGAGGACATGCCTTCCTTGGACCAGGAATCCGAACTCCCATCTTGTTGTTTGCTGCTGTTGGACTTGGAGGACTTGGAAGATTTGTCAGACATCTTCTTGCCGGTAATGCTCTTGATGAAACCCATGTTGACTGCTGTTGTTGTTTGATGTTAGCTTGCTTTGGTTTTGCTTTGCAAAGTTTCTTTGGAAAGAATTGTGAGAAGAGGAGGGAGCTTGGAATACTTGACGGGGTGGCGGGGTGGCCCAGATCAGTGCTGGTAGTACCGCATTCGGATTGGACGCAATCCTTTGAAACCAGTCAAGCACACAGCGTCCTATCTTGTTTGATGGTGGTCAAACTAACCGATTTTGGAAGTTGGGAAGTCGCGGAGTCTTTTACGGTACCAGGTAGCTGATGGCCAAAACCCAACAACGTAACCTTCCTGGGTAGCTCAATGGTCAAGAGTGAAATGGTCAAACACAATGGTCAAACTGCTCCCCGAATTCGAAGAACGTACTCTTGGGAGATTTACGTTTTTTAGAAGGAATGACTGGAGAATGTGCTGGGTTCGGCTTTCTACTATGACATACTAGTACTAGTTAATATACAGTATTACAAAAGCTATTACGGACTACTGGTACTAGTACAGGCTCTACTAGTACTGAGTTGTACGGAGTGACATTGCTGGCTGGGTAGAGTGGAGTCTTTTATCTACTCGAATAGCTTTACATGTACGTACAATGTCATGAGAATGCTGTAAAAGCGAACACACATTACACAGTCACAGTCAAACAGCCCTGGCATTCTTATTTGCAAATCTCGGACTCTATGCTGGTCAAATAATAAATAAATAATGGTGACATAATTCTCGAACTAAGTCTTGATCGGGTACCGCCATGAGTACCGGTACTGAGCACCCATATACTCAGAGTACTGTTTTGGGGGGTGGAGAAATCCAGATTGACGGTGCTCATGTTTACCACTGGGAGAAGCAGGAAAACGCATTACAAGCATTACACACCTGAGTAGACTGGTTGGTTGTTGACTGTCAATGCTATGGCTAATAGTGAGGCTGCAACTAGTAGAGTAACTACAAACTATTTAATAATCAAAGTCAAACTCATTGTTGACTCTATCATAGTACTCCACCTGCCACATTGGCCGCTCCATAATTTGGAGCTGCACAATGTTGGCCACAGCATGGGCCATCTTACCATGTTTATCAAGGGAATGGCGCCACCTCTGAAGGAGGCAGCTCCATTCCTTGAGTCTCCTATTGACACATTCGTGCCTGGCCCTTGCAAGAGCCTTCCTGCTAGTCTGCTGTTGATTGTCAAGGTGTCGCCATGGGCAGTCAAAGTACTGAGGATACCCCCTGTACCCTTTGTCAGCCACAGCTCTCTCATCTCCCTCAAACATGTGGACCAAAGATGACAAAGAAATGGCAATATCAACCCATTCACCACAAGGGAAGGGTCCATTGATCCACACAATCCATCCAGTCTGAATACAAACACCAATTTCATACCTCAGTCCAGGACCATTGAACTTCTTGGTAAACCAACCAGTTGAGAAAGGACCTGGTTCCCTGATGCGAAAGTCAGTGCCATCAACAGTCACCAGACACCGACTGCCATTGTCATTCATCCGTCGGTACTCCCATCTGATCTGGAGGAGTGGTGTTGGAGTGCAACATGTACATGGTGAGCGCTCTCTGTTGATGAAGACGGCGATTGATAAAAGTGAAGAAGAAAGCTTGCTCATGGCTCACCAAGTCCAAGCTCGCGATCTTCTCAATAAACACCCACACCCAATGGCGAATGGTCTTTTCATCCTTCATGAAGATCATGGCCAGTACAGCGGTGACAGTGTATGTCCTGAGGAACATGAGTGTGGCCAGAAAGTAGGTTACCCATCGAATGTCACTGAGGGGATCTTCATCGTCCAGCATGTTCCACAGTTCTGCCGCAAGATGAGGAGCCACACCAAAACAGCCACGAAATGTCCGCTGATAGCGATAGGCCTCATGGTTGACTGCTCTCGCTGTAAGCCCTTGGTAGATGGAAGCTGTTCTGATAATTGTGTCAGCTGTGATCTGCATTGTTGAAGTCAATTTTGTGAGAATTTCGAAACTCGAAGATGACAGAAAACTCGAAGATAATAGATCCAGTCTAGTCATGTCCGGCTTACCTGTAGCGCTCTGTACAATTCGGTAGGCGGTGTCGACTGGGTGACCATTGTCAACCTTGTAAGACCAAATTGAGATGCCGGTACCAGCAAGAAAAAAGACGCTGTCATGGTGGAAGATGCTTGGAACTGAAAAGTGTCGATTTTCAGCTTGACAAGATTGCTCATTTCGGAATCAGCCCAATCCTGCATGGCTTAAGAGAGGAGCACTGGACGTTTGGTGTTTATGTGCTTCTCATTTGGCGCAATAATTCAAATATGTTTGTTTTTCCTGGCCACATTTCGTTCCAAAATGCTAGGGCTTGCCAATGGCAAGAGGGACCTTGCCTCAGAAGACGAAAATCGCCCCATTACAGCCAGAACGTCCAGGCCACCACCGATATGCAAGTTATGGTCAAAGATGAAAGTGTCTAGCTAATAGAGGCTGCTGTAGTATACTTCTAAGATGTAGATTCAACACCAGCAATGGCTATTTCCAGGGCTGAAGAGTGTACAACGCCCTGGTAAAAAGCGTTCCAGGACGTCCTGAGGGCCTGGATCGCCAATTTCAGGAGGCGATATAGAAACCTGGAAGACCACCTTCCTAGCCAAAGAAGGCTTAGGTGCACTGTCTATTACTAGTAAAAGAAGGGACCGCCCAAGTTGAACAGGCTAGGTCTTTGTAGTGTTCTATATCACTAGCTGGAAAGGGCGATATGTGTGTGGGGCGATTTGTGATGGGTGTTACACACCCATGGCACGCCCTTAGAAATTGGAACCAAATGGAGCCTAGAAATGTGAGCACCAATTGATCCAAATTTGGGACAGAGTGTTGGAAAAGCGCTGGCCGCCCCTTTGCACATGGGCTGAGAGGAAGAAGAAAATCGCGAACCAGTATGAACCAGTATGACCGATAAGCCTTCCGGTGAACCACATGCGTCTGAAATTTTATTCCCGGCAACTCACCTGGCAAGATCGATCTTGCCGGTATTGACAAGCGAACTCCACAAAACTGCACAGGTGTGGCTTTCCAGCACAATCAGTAGTCAACCACCAAGATGGCGATCCTCAAAATGGCGCTCTTCCTATCTTCTCACCTATCTTCTCACAAATCGAAAACACCAGCCAAAGCAACAGCAATTGGCCAAGCAGGAAACAGCAAGCGGCAGATCGACCATGTCATCGAGAAAGAGTCTGGCAAAGAAAGGGGAACCTGTGAAACACATCTTCAAGCAAGATGGAAGCGATTTCAAGTTCCTTCTTCGCTTGTTCCAGACTGGGGCCATTACTGATGAGCTACCTGCTGCTGTGAGAGCCATGCATGAGCGCTTTCAGAAGTACAACACAAACCAGTTTCGCTCTCAGTTCAACAAAGCAAGAGGAATGGCTGCTGGTGTTGCTCTCAGAGGACCACAACCACCACAAGATGATGATGGACCACTACCCATTCTTCCCAGCTTTGTTCCTCGCAACCAAGTCCCTGCCGTGGCAGCCAGGCCTCCTGCAGTTGCGCAGCTTCCCTCCATGGCTGACAATGATGATGAGGAAGCTGATGCCGATGATGATGGCCCCACTACTTGGAAGCCGAAGAGGATGGTCAAGGAATGGGAGAATGAGCATGGAATTCGCCATGTCACTATTATTGTCTGGCTGAGCAGTGGAGCGACTGAAGCCGACATTGAAACTATGGTCTCTGCAAATGGCAAGAAGCTGACTATCAGTGAGAAGTGGCACCAAGACCTGTTGGATATTGGGGAGTTCTATTATCTCTATCAACAACACACAAGGGAGAACCTAGAGGATACCAATGTGAGGCGCCATGCCATGCAGCAGTATGTCAGGTCCATTCTTGATGTCAGAGGTGATGTCATTTCAGAATTCACCATGGAGCTCCCATTTCCAGTTGATCCCTCTACCCTGAATGTGACCTTCCCCAGCTTTGAGTCTGGTGCATTGTTCTGCCATGTCGACTTGGCTGAAAAGAGGAAGAAGAGGGTAGCTCAATCCTTTGTCATGAGGAAGAGGCATGCCAAGGGCAAGAAGAAGGGTGATATTGAATACAACAACCTGACCCCTCATCACTAGACAAACTCAACAACAGCCATGGCTTTGATGTGTGTTAGGCACACTGTAAACACTACAACAACCAACCAATCTAGAGCAACTTGTGAGTGCTCATGTAACCAAAAAGGGTAGCTGTTGAATACCCTTATAAAATAGTACTTCCATGTAGTGTGTAATGGCTTGTGTAGTGGTGTAATGCGTTTTCCTGCTCCTCCCTGTCTGTCTACTGCTGTCTTGATCATGGTATACTGTATACCTTGGTTGCCCTCAACTACCAGCTAGCAAGCTGAGGCCTTTTGAACTTTATCTTGTGTGTGTTGTGGTTGTGTGTGTGTGTTGTGTGTGGTGTGTGTGTCGCGTACATATGGTGCGATTTCCTTGCAAGGTTAAGGCTACTGTACATATGGTGCTGTTTCCCTTGCAAGGTTAAGGCTACCGTAGTGTCGCATACATAAGGTACTGTTTCCCTTACGTACATATGGTTCTGTTTCCCTTGCAAGGTTAAGGCTACCGGTAGTGTCGCATACATATGGTGCGGTTTCCCTTGCGTACATATGGTTCTGTTTCCCAAGGTTAAGGCTACCGATAGCCGTATAGCCGTCAAACCAGAACCCTTGCGTTCCTTGGCTTTTAGAAAAATGCAAGTTGAGGGCACTAGCCTCCGGCTGGCTGTCCTTTGTATTGAATGGCCGGGATTTCTCCACCCCCCTGTGACCTTCGTAAAAGTCGTTGCACTTCTCGTCCTTCGAGATCCACCATTCTCGGTTTGATAATAAACTGTACCGTACTGTGGGCAACTCTGTGGACTCGAGTATCCGATCTGTTCCACATCCGCTCATCCGGCAAGCTTCTGGCGCGGGCTTTGAGTCCAACTCAGAGACCATTTTAAAAGGTATTACATTATTTTTTTTAAGAGACTTTAGAAGAGAACTCTAAGAGTACATCCGCATTCACACTTGGAACATTCTTGAGTTCTTGAGTGTTTTCTAATAGTTCGCACCGTAACTGCGATATGCATCGAAGTGTTGTTGGCATGTACGACGTATCTTGCTTCGAGTTCTCAAAACTGTCTGCTTCGCTTCGGCAGATAAACTCGTCAGAAGCCCAAATCTCCGCAGGAGTAGACTACGAGAAGCTACCAGAACGGTACCGGTACGCATCCGCACACATACATACTTAGTCCTACCGGTATGCATACAGCCATCTAACGGTACGAGTAGTAGCGGTACGGATCTCTTCTTGTGCCGGAAAGCTTGCAATTTCGTCTTCCTATGCATAACTAGCATCAAGAATGCTTGCCTTGTCCGTGCATCCTGTCAGGAAACTGGTTTTGCTCGTCTTCGGATGCTGTGGAATTACATTTTGGTCTCTGGCGGAGGAGGATGACTCTATCAGGCAACACCAAACACAACTCGACCAGAAACACTTCAGGAACACAGAAGGGATTAAAGACTAGACTACTAGTAGAGACCAACTCACCAAGGGTAGACCACAGGTACATCACTGGATAGGCCAGTACAGTAGTAGCCAATCCCCAAGCAACTTCACGAGTACAAGCAGCTAACTTCTCCAGCCAGCATCGCTACCAGACTGCCACTGGTCAGCCAGTATGTGTCCGTACTGCACCGGTGGTCACTGACCGATTGGTGCTGGAAGCCAATAGTTGCGGTAAATAAATAGTCAAGCATAAATAAGGTTTACCATATCTACCTGCATTCCAAAGCTGTCATTCCGTAGTTGAAATGCCTTTTGTGACGAGTCATGAGTTGTCACTTTCCACACGTTGATTATTCTTGAACTCTGTCCATCTCGTAACAAATAATCGTCAAACGGTCAAACCAAACAAAGAGAGAACTGGACTAAATGTACGATGTACCATTGCAACCATGCTAGCATGTTCTTGTCGAAGATGATGGAATGCAAGAAAATACTACGGTACGGTGGTACTCATCTTTGGATGCCTAGCTAGTTGAAGTGGAACACAAAAGGGGCTGCCGTGGAACCTTTCAAGATTGAAGCCCTGCTTCTTCCCCTGCACCACTCTACGAATAGCCAACTTCACTGGTTTGATTACCAGTCACTGCTGTACTAGCTAGTCTACTAGCTACCAGCTACTAGAGCTGGCCACCTACCAGCTACTCTACAGGATGGCTTCGGTTAGCAGCAGCCACGGGGTGGAACAGGTACGTTATGGGCTGGCTGGTGGTGGTCATTGACCGCTTGGTGGGTGCTCGGTCCTCTTTTGGCTCTCCAATTCCGACCGGTTGTCAACAGCAGGTCTTTCACTTCAGTCAGTTTTAAAATTGGAGTGGGCCTGAATGAAGGAGGAACGCAAGTCGTGAGTTGTGTGGGTTTTGGTCACGCAGCCACATCACGGCTGGAAGCAACCTGAGCCTCCTGGAGTACATTCAAGCCCCGCGAAGAGTGCCACAAGAGTGGGCATGATCCTACCGGTACCGGTACTTGGCTGCTGGCTGATGCGGCAAGCTAGCTACTACCTCGTACTAGTGCCTCTCTAGCTGCCGCATCCGAAAACGTTAGAGTCTTCCTCCCTAGCACCTGGCTGCTCCTCTTCCACATCTTTGAAATGGAAACAACCTGGCAGATATTGCAATCTCGCGCATTGCTAGGGCGTTGTCATGATGTACGTATTTGTCTTAGATTCAAACTATACCTACTGTATATCTATTTACAAATGAACATCCGGTGCGAACATGATCGTTTGCTTGCATCGCTCTTGCTCAGCCGGATGTGGGAGGCATTTCCAACTTGCCACCAACAGAGATGTAGATGCCCCGAGGTCCTGTCAAGTTTCCAAGAGCTGTGACATCCATCCTATGAATCTTTCCTTCTTTCATGGTCAACCACAGTCGTTCAGGATCCAATGCCACATACCTTCCTGTGGCAGGGATTACAGGAAAGTTTGCGAATCCAAAGTCTTTGGTGTGAGTTCCAGTGCCCTACTAGCGGTGTGCAACCTCCAAACCCTGAAGCAAAAACGTGCCGATCCTCACAGCTGGCTAGCAGCAACGTGCGGACACAGTTATGAAGAAGGTTGTGGGTTACTTCTTGTCCTTGTCCTTGTCCTTGTCTAGGAAAGCTCTTTGAACCTTCTTCCTCTTCGGTGGTAGCTGTGTTTTTGTAATGGATTGATCCGTTAGAAATGCATAGCGTAACAGCGTACCGTAACCTTGTTTGGTTTTGGTGCGGCAAAGGGAGACTGTACCACCGGTGCACTCTGGTCGGTCGCGAGGACTGTCACGGGACTGTGACTTTGACTTTCCTCGACTCGTCACTCAATTCGACTCGGCTGAATCGAATCGAATCATTCGATTGAATTCAATTGATCCATGCATTCAGTTCGATCGTTATTCGGGCCGGTGCTTCCCAGACTGTTCAAATCGAGAAGTGTGACGTCAAATCACCAACAGCCGGCATGCAGCTAAATATGTGTGTCACTCCTTTCATGTTTGTCACGCGCTGAGACAAGTGGCCTTCACCTGAACACAAATTGGCTCCATCAAAATCAACACTCCAACCACAAATCCATGCTGCCACCGGTATCTCTTCTTGTCCATCTTCCCAACAAAAACTGAAAGTGTTCCGGTGTTGTGGATACTATACTCCTGAAAAGCTGAGATAGCATTGGCGATCAAGACACATTCTGTTGGTACTCCTTCAGTTTGAAATTCTGTGGAGTTGTCAAGTTGTCATTCCAATGAATGAAGGTGGATGCTCCGAGACTAGTAGTAGAGCTGTAGTAGGATAACCCACCGTATGCATAGCTAGCTAGAGGTAGCAGAGTATCATTGAGAGAGACATCGTCCACAACATCCCATTGATACGCCAATCATCTATCTATCCTCCTACTGTAACTAAGAACGAAAGACCATGACGAATCCTTTTGATTCCTTCATCTTACTCTTCCTTCTCATGCTCTTGAGTTGGCTACCCTCCATCCACTCTCAAGCCAGTGAGGTAGTACTGGACGACACTACCATTCACGATGCTGTCAAGCTCTGGCATGGGAATCTACGTGATCAAGCAGTGGTCTTGTCCCTCTATGGTGGACCCATTGAAGAGTGGGACACTTCTCGAGTCACCAACTTTGCTGGACTCTTTCGAGGGCAGAGTCGATTCAATGCCGATATCAGTCAATGGGATACCTCCAAAGTCACTTCCATGAGGGATTGCTTCAGTGGATGTTCCAACTACAATCCCACCGAGCCACTCTTGTGGGACACTTCCAAAGTTACCACCATGGCTCGGATGTTTCGATCTGCTTCCACCTTTGACGGAGACTTGACCAACTTTGATACATCCAGTGTTACGGACATTAGTTTCATGGCTCATGTAAGTTCACACATTCTTTCAAAGCATGCAACAGCAAAGGTTAAATTCTATTTCGTGACTAATCAAGTATCTGTTTGTATCTGACTCTTGTCTTTTTTAATGGATTGCAGAGAGCAACAATGTTCCAAGGACGTGGCTTGGCCAGCTGGGATACCTCCCGCATCCAATTTACAAGTGATGCCTTTAGTCGAGCCACAAACTTTAATGAGCCCATTCAGAGTTGGAATACTTCCTCCATTGTTTCCTTTCAAAATACCTTTCGGCAAGCCGTGTCTTTCAATCAAGACTTGTCCAGCTGGAATGTGGCAAGCGTCATGACCTTTCACAACATGTTCCAGGGAGCACTCAGTCTACATCAAACACTGTGTTGGGACACCTTGGTCACGGCACTCCACAAGGAAATTTCCATTGATCGTTCCGCTGCCTTGGATCCCTTTATCAGTCCTCTCCACAATCTACTCTGTGACTCACCGGTACAGCTCGATCCTTGTTGTGTCGACGCCCAAATCATGCAAGATACGTGTTGCCAACCCAAAGGATGTAGTATGGAATGCAAGGACACTGCAAATTCCACAGTACCACAATCCACCCCTCCCACGGTTGCCCCAACGGTGATGGCGTCTCCTTACCACAACACTACAACCATCACAACAACAAGCTCTCCTGTGGCTGCTGCGATAGATAATGCAACAGCCACGGACGATGATGATGATGCCACGCTCGACAACACGGAGCAAGACGAGGAGGAACTCGACGACATTAAGGAAGGTGACGACGATGACAGCACTCCAAAAATCCTTCCCGAGGGGTTCATGCCTGAGGAGGACGATATTCACGAGACGCAACCACACGACAAGATGACGACGGAGGACACTGCAACCGACAACAGCGGAGCCACTCAATTGACAACATCCCGGGCTTCCGAAACAGAGACCAACGACTTGCGCAACAATGTATGGATATTGACGGGATCCATTGTCGGGGGGGTGCTGCTGGTCCTCCTCATCATTCTGACTGTATCCTGGCTGAGACCATCGTCCTCCATGCACCCGACACAACAATTACGACGAAGTTCGGACGACTACGACGAGGAAACTAATACGCTACATCTCACGGCTCATGATTCGGGATTGATGGTGCCCTTGGAAGGACTAGAGGCTCTCATGGACGACACGCAAAACTTCACCACCGTACATGATTCGGGGGTGGTGGCGCCCTTGGAAGGATTCGATGCTCTCGTGGACACGTCACATCTCACCGCTGATGATTCAGGACACTTGGATCCCTTGGAAGGACAAGAAGCCCTGGTGGATTGGTCGAACGCAAATGACAGCTATTGATTTTTTGCTTTTGGAGAAGGACAGCATCATTGTGTCATTTTTCTTGGGAGCCGGTATAGGAAATGAAACGGTTGAAATAATGGAAGGGGACCCGGGAGGGAAACCACAGGGCTGTCGATACAATGTTCACAGAATAACTCATATCAAGCTAAACAAGCGCTATGCATTACTGTTCCATTACGGGACAATCCTCGACTGGATACCACCAGTAGCACAAGTTGTAGCAATTCGATACTGGAGTTGGTGAGGGGGGTTTGCTTTGTATGTGTGTGTGCGGCTCGGTCAGGACTTCGTCAACGTGAAGGCCCTGTTCCACGAAGCTTTCGCGTCTGGAGAAACAGTATCACAAAGGAAACGCCCTCGGTCGATTCATCATTCGATTCGGTTCCAGAGCTACGAGCCTGATTGCTTCAGTGCATGACGATTGCTCACACGGACGCGAACAAGAGTTTCCAATCCACACAAGCATGCGATCACACACAAAGCCAACGAGCATGTCCTTTGAAATCAAATGATAGTTGCCCGTGTGTGCCAATGAGACGGTTGACTTTAGAGGCTATTCGAACAACGGCTGGGAAGCTCTGTGGGGAGGACCGACATTATTTTTTCTCTGGCACGTAGCGTGAATGCGAGAAAAGACTGCAGATTGCTCAGGCCTTCCACTTGGTAACAAGACAAACCTAACCAGTCCATCTTCTTCCCGAGGTAGCAAGCACTCGAGAAGACGACGACACAATAGCGTGTGAAGAATGCATTGACACCAGAGAGCGGAACGTGCCATGCTTTGTGCCGCGACCCTCGTCAAAGTCCGCTTTATTCCGTTGCTCTTTATCCAAAAGAACCTTTCCTAGCAGATTGTTGTTGTTGATTGATTTAGTAAGTACATAAAAAGTGCATGAAATGAAGTAGTTGAAACAGTAAAACATAAAACCACATAAATCCACAAAACGCTTTTCCCCCGATAGTTCCACCTGCAATCACACGGTTGTCCAAGTTCCGACTTCGTGTCTGCCAGAATCTCACAATGTAGACGCCAGTAACGGCCAGACAGACGTTCTTGTTGTATGTAGCACCGGTGTGATTGTTTGTTTTTCCTTCCCAAAAACCACCAGATCTTGTTTTAAAATAAATTGGAGCCATGATCCCATCATGCATCATCCCTTGCTTGGTTGACATGCTTAGTTGTCTTCGACGGGCATTCCCGGAAAGGGCGTCTTTTGCATTCTCCAAGACCCCGCGGCAAAGGCAATGAGCATGACGAATATAATGACAATAAAAACGACGGTAACGGCAATGGTAGTGGAATCGGCATGCCTGTCTTCTTCGTTAATATCTTCGATTGCCGTCAAGATATTTTCGCCATCGACGTATTCCAACGATACGGTATCGGTTTGTGCTGTTTCCGCGACCACGACCGTTTCTTGTGTTGTTCCGGAGGAATCTTCGACCAGGAATAGATCATCGGCATCTGGTCGTTGCAATACAAAATCGTCTGTATCACTGGTCGGTTCCATGGTGATTGGTAATATTGTCGTATTTGCTCCTGCTTGTTGTTGTTCTTGTTGTTCTTCCGTGGCGGCTGAAATTGTCGTAGTGGTGGGAGTTGTCGTCGTTGTCGTCGTTGGCGCAGGAGCATTGGTCATGTCTGGTGTCGGTGCGGGTGTTTTCGGTGGTTCACTGGCGACGGGTGGTTTGGGTGTCGGAGCAGCTGTCGTCATGACGGGTGTTGTCGTTGGAGATTCCGTTTCGGGTGATGGCGTTGGAGCTCCCGTTTCGGGCGGTGTGATTGTCGGTTCGGGTGTTACGGGTGCAGCGGTTGGCTGTGGTGTTTGCCGTGCGGAAGTGGGACGAAGCGATGGCGGCGTGGTGGGTGTTGCGGTGGGTGCCTCGTCATCGTTGACTTGGTCGTCGTCGTCATTATCATTCTTGTCTTTGTCATCTTTTTGCTGTGGTGCATCATCATCATCATCCTGTTCCGGATCGGATGTTTGCCACTGTGAAATATCGACGTCCACGAGATTAAACGTATCGGCTTCATCGGCTGCTTGAATGACATCGGTACACATGGTGCGACATCCTCCCACACTGGTACTGCAACACGACTCCAACGCCAAAAAGTCTTCCACACAACAGGGATCCAAATGGGCATCTCTGGTTCCACAAAACATATCCATGGCATCAACAATGAGATTGGTATCGAGTGCATCCCAACACAACCGTTGATCGTATTGCAGTGCTCCGGCAAACATGCCTCCCATAGTAATGGCGCTGGTAAGTTTCCAATCTCGTAAATCGCCGTTAAAGGAAACGGCATTGGCAAACATGCGGGAGGTTGAGGCGACCTGCGAGACATCCCACAATTCGAGTCCCCGTCCTTGAAAGGAAGTGGCTCGTTCAAACATTTGATGCATGGCCGTGACTCGTGATACATCCCAGCCACTCAAGTTTCCTCCCGGGAACAGTGTGGCTTCCTTTAAACATTTAAAATATAAAATGGACAAATAAAAATGGGATGAGTATAAATGGAATCATCAGAATACCACTGATTGTTGTTGCTTTGTGATGTATGTATGAACGTACATGAAACATGAGACTCATGTCAACGACCCGTTGGGTATCAAAATTGGCAAGGTCTCCGCGGAACAAGTACGCCGCTTGGAACATTCTTGCCATGGAGGTAACGGATTGTGTGTTCCAATTGGTGAGATCTTGGTTGAATATGGAAGCCCCATTGAACATGTCACTGGTGTCTTGTACTTGAGCGACATTCCAATCGATCAAAGGCGCGTTAAAGGCGGCACATCCCTTGAACATGCGCCGCATATCGGTAACACGGCTCACATCCCACAGACTCAAGTCAGCGGTAAAGTCGTGAAAGCCTTCAAAGAGACGCGCCATGGTGGTAATCCTAGAGGTATCCCAGTCACCAATCGAGTCCACGGCATCATTCATGTTCAAAGTGCCACTGCGAAATCGGTCCTTGTACCACGATAAGGAAACATCCATGGTGGCGTCCGTTACTATATACGAGTTGGCCAACACGGTCATGGCGCTCATGGGCACTGATAGCAGCAGCAAGACCACGAACTGTCTTTTTCGGCTTGGAATGGACATTGTCAAATAAATAGATCTTTCTTCTTCTTCTTCTTCTGCTTCTTCTTGTCTCCTGACAACTGTATAGTCTTGTCTGTCTCTTGTGTCTTGATTGAATGACTGCTCTCTGTTTCGAGCTGAGCTTGGACAGGGGCTTTTCTATCCTTGCTGCTAGAAGTACTGTTGCTGCTGCTACCGTACTGCGGCTCAGTGGATGATAGGGCTGCGGGAGTGTTGTTGAAGGTTGAAGGCCGATGAGAAAATGAGGTGTGACGGTGGTGGCAGGTTCGTACAGATCGGTTTTGTGAGCCCATGTCAGCTAATATTTTCGGCCAACCAGAAGAATGACATCAACCATAAAAACGTCTTTAGACTAGATTTATGACCAATGACTGTCACGCGCGTACTTCTCCGATAAGTACAAAGAAGACTGATGATAAGTTAAAAGAAGACTGATGACCCACACGTCAGAAAATAGGGCAATTGGAACTATTTTGGAGCACTGTTGTTTAAGCGAATGAGAACGACAACGGAAGCTTGCTTTCAGCACGTCATAACTACTTATTAAGGCTTTACGCTGGTTACTGACCGCATCGTTCACCTTCGACTCAAATTAGCTTACGTCAGACCTCAAAAGGAACCTAATAAGATACCTTTGCTACAAGCCGTAGACCTACTAGCTAGTCTACATGTTACATGTATTACATGATCTGAGCAGATCTTGGACAGCAACCATCCCAAGCTCACCATGGTAAAAGAAGCACAACAATAAGAAACAATAAGTTTTGCTCTTGCAATGGCCCGGGCCTTCAACAATGACAGCGTAATCTTGGAGGTTGCGGAACGATACAACGGAATCAGCTTTGCTTCTGTTTTGTTGGTGGGGCTAGCTAGCTAGCTAGTTGGAAAGAAAGCAAGAAGTTCACTTGTTTGCATTGACGTGTGGGTACTAGTAGCTTCCTAAGTTGCTTCTCAACTCACGTTTAGTTAGACAAAGAAGTCAAAAGAGGAGGGCCCAACGACAGGATCCAATTATCTTCGCTCCCTGCCTGAGTGGCTGGCCTGACTTGACATTCTTGTTTCAACAAAGACTTAGTATTGACTACATTAATCGTTTCTTCACCTTCGAGATTTTGAGGCTGATTGTACAGTAGTCGAAGGATACAAAGTTAGGCATGCTGCAAGGTCAATGTGGTGACCTACCACTTTTTGAGGTCCCTCCTCCAAACAAGTCAGTAAATATTCGGTTGAAAATTCGACTGAGAGAATCACATATTCGAAAGAAACGTGGCACCAAACGTGGATCTTTCTGTGGATCTTTCTTGACAATCATCCACAACACCAAAGCAAGTCTTCGCCCTCACAATCGCCATAACCAAACCAAGATGGAAGGAAAAGCTAATCTCCTCAAACAGCTCTCGAAACAACCGTTCATCGACCATGACGATGGGTCGATCTTTTGGCACGGACGTTTGTATGCGCGGCAGCTGTGCAAGAAACTAACTCCTCCCGAAACAACATGGAAGTGTCCTGCAAGACCCAGGGACGACCATGACGATGGCCCCGCATGGCTCACTGCTTCAGAGTATCAAGATCGCGATGATGTTCTTGATAGCAAGCTTGATGGGTTGGTTCAGCTCTTGATGATGTCGTCCAAGACGGTGGTCTACACGGGTGCCGGAATCTCTAGGGCAGCTGGTATCGGACAAGCGGCACGAGGCAAGTACGGGGGGTCAGGAAAGAACAAAACTACGACAGCCGTGCCATCCACAACACACTACGCCTTGGCAGCACTCTTCCAGCATTCACTAGTACATTCCTGGGTTCAACAGAACCATGATGGATTGCCACAAAAGGCAGGTTTTCCACAAGAACACATCAACGAGGTTCACGGCTCTTGGTACGACCCATCGAATCCGGTTGTCGTGTACTCAGGCACCCTCAAGGAACGGGAATGCGAGTGGATGGTTCATGATGCAAAGACTGCAGATCTGGTGCTTGTTCTCGGTACTTCTCTGGGTGGTCTCAATGCGGATCAAATCGTGCACAGCACGGCACGACGCTCGTTGCGTCGCAAATCATTGGGGGCAGTGCTTATTAATTTGCAGCAGACGGAACATGACGGATCTGCGTCTATCCGATTGTTTGGAGAATCAGACGAGATTCTGACAAAGCTCTTGCAGAAACTGGACATTGCGCTACCGGCATCTCCACCGCCCTATCCTGAATTGCCCCGCCGAGTTTTGGTGCCCTACAATGCCGACGGCAAACGCTCGGACACGGCTAAAATGTGGCTCGATCTCTCGACTGGTTCCGCTGTCAAGTTGGCCAAGGGACACAACATTGCAGGCGCAGGACAGCCCGATTATGACCACCTGAACGACATTGCCGAGCCCCAAGGCCATGTTGGGCGATGGGACCGCAAGACAGCGGCCATTCGGCTGCGTATCCGAGACACAGGTTTCTTGCTGGGCCAGTGGTGGATTGAGGCAGCTCAGCGTGGTGGACCCCCGACTATTCCAGTCGTCAATATTTTCCCCGAGTTTGAGATGCACGAGTAATAGGCATGGGTGTGTTTGAACTAACGGAAGCTTCCTTTCTAGCTTTGAGTCAACCGGCGTCTTCTACTTTGGGGGGTATCGTTGGCCCTATCCTTCCCTGTTGCTGCCTGCCAAGGGCGTCCAAACTTTACAAATCAGCTGCAGCAAGCAGTTGCTAGAAGATATAGCCTGACACATTTAGCGTTTAAGGAATTATGAAAAGAAGTAAGCTGTCTGAAACTTTTATGCGTGACCATTTGTTGGTCTATTATTAATGAAACTCATTAATCTTGTACCGTCAGGGTAATCGAACGCGTGTCCTTCAGTTGTCCACCTTTATTGTACAACTCTGCTTTTAGCGTGAATGAACTTGACGAGTACCCCGAGGATCCAAAGTCAGAGGAAGTGCAGGCACTTGGGCAGACAGTATAATCCGCTGCTGTGTCCGTTTCAATTGCCTCGGAGTCGTGATAAAACTCCACATACCAGTCCGAGCTCCCCCCACTTCTTGTGATGAGAATGTTGAAATTGTATCCCAAGCTGGAAGCACTAATAGTTTCCCCTCCAGACAGCGTTTGCTGTACGCTGTTGCCATTGTCGGCATCAACAAGAAAAAAACTACTCAAATAGGTGGAAGTCGGTGCAGTTGGACTGTCCGTTGGAGCTTCAGTTGGTGGATCTGTTGGTGGTACTGTTGGGGCTTTCGTTGGTGAAGAAGTGGGGGGTACTGTAGGCGATGGAGTTGGGGGCTCTGTTGGGACCTTGGAAGGTGATCTACTTGGACTGGAGCTGGGGCTGGTACTAGGGCTGGTACTAGGGGAAACAGTCGGTTGGGGTGTGGGTGGCTTCGTAGGCGCCTCAGTTGGAGCTCTGGTGGGTGATCCGCTTGGACTGGAGCTGGGGTTAAAACTTGGACTGGAGCTGGGGCTGCTACTGACTAGGGGAAACAGTTGGTTGGGGTGTGGGTGGTTTCGTAGGGGCCTTGGTTGGAGCTTGGGTGGGCGATCCGCTTGGACTGGAGCTGGGATTAATACTTGGACTGGAGCTGGGGCTGATACTAGGGGGGACAGTTGGTTGGGGTGTGGGTGGTTTCGTAGGGGCCTTGGTTGGAGCTTTGGTGGGCGATACGCTTGACTGGAGCTGGCGATGGTACTTGGGCTGGAACTGGGGATGTCACTAGGAAACTGGCTTGGGATACTGCTGGGACTTTCTGTTGGTGCCTTCGTTGGGGCTTTTGTTGGAGATCTAGTTGGAGCTTTGGCGGGTGATCCGCTTGGACTGGAGCTGGAGATGGTACTTGGGCTGGAACTGGGGATGTCACTAGGACTGCTATACGGACTTGCTGGTCGCTGGCTTGTTGGAGCTCGTGGGCTGTGGGGACTCACTGGACTGAGCTGGAGATGGTACTTGGGCTGGAACTGGGGATGTCACTAGGAAACTGGCTTGGGATACTGCTGGGACTTTCTGTTGGTGCCTTCGTTGGGGCGTTCGTTGGAGCTCTTGTTGGTGCCCTTCGTTGGGGCTCTTGTTGGTGTCGAAGTTGGAGGCTTGGTGGGAGCTCTAGTGGGGCCTTCTGTAGGTGGCTGGGTGGGAGTACCTGTTGTTGGACTCACACTAGGACTGCCCGTGGTCACTGTAGGGACTAGTGTTGTGGGATTGGAAGTTGTTGGTGCCTTTGTTGTGCCTTCGTTGGGGATCCAGTTGGACCTCTTGTTGGCGTCGTCGTCGGTTCTTTGTTGGTCTTTGTTGAGCTCTTGTGGGTGTCGTTGTTGGTGCCTTCGTTGGAGGCTTGGTGGGAGCTCTAGTAGGGGCTTCTGTAGGTGGCTGGCTGGGTGTACCTGTGTTGGACTCACACTGACTACCCGTGTCACTGTAGGACTAGGTTGTGGATTGGAAGTTGTGCCTTTTGGGCGTTTGTTGGGACCAGTTGGAGCTCTTGTTGTGTGGCTGTTGGCTTTGTTGGGGCTTCGTTGGAGCACTTGTTGGTGTCAAAGTTGGCAGCTTGGTGGGAGCTCTAGTCGGGGCTTCTGTAGGTGGCTGGGTGGGTGTACCCGTGGTCGGACTCACACTAGGACTACCCGTGGTCACTGTAGGGACTAGTGTTGTGGGATTGGAAGTTGTTGGGGCCTTTGTTGGGGCGTTTGTTGGGATCCAGTTGGAGCTTTGTTGGTGTGGCTGTGGCGCTTTGTTGGGGCTTTCGTTGGAGCACTTGTTGGTGTCAAAGTTGGCAGCTTGGTGGGAGCTCTAGTCGGGGCTTCTGTAGGTGGCTGGGTGGGTGTACCCGTGGTCGGACTCACAGTAGGACTACCCGAGGTCACTGTAGGACCTAGTGTTGTGGGACTTGCTGTGGTGGGTGCATTGTGGTTGGTGCTGAAGTTGGCTGCTTGGTCGGAGCCACTGTGGGATCCCTGTTGGCACCTTTGTTGGTGCGAACGTCGGCGGCTTAGTTGGAGCTTTCGTCGGAGCTGCTGTTGTTGGAGCTCTAGTTGGTGCCTGAGAGGGAGTGCTCGTTGTTGGGTTTGCGGTAGTTGGAGAGGCACTAGGGCTTCCAGCAGTCACTGTTGGGCCCAAAGTAGTGGGATTTGCTGTTATGGGGGCTGCGGATGGTGCGCCCGTGGTGGGGCTTTCAGTGGTTGGGATTCCGGTACTAGGACTTGCAGTTGTGGGGCTTGCTGTAGTTGGCGAGACGGTTGTGAGAGTATCTCTCAAGTAAACTGCCAAAGTACCAGTCAATCCGGCATATGCCAAGACAAAATCAGCATTGTCAGCTGTGGTGGACAGAAATGGTGAAGTGCTTGTCTCGTTTGTAGTCACGAGGAACTCAATCTGGGTTGTCCCAGCCTGTAGATGTCTGTTTGTCACCGAGGCATCAATCATTACGGCAGAGCACGTGACTTGCGAGACAAAGTCGTACGCCGTCTTGAAAGCTGTCACTAGTACAGAGTCGCTAAGCATGGAGACGTCACTATCAAATCCCATGAAATAAGTTGCAGTAACTGTAGTCATACCGCAGAAACTTGCTAACGTGGTGGGGCTTCCTGTGGGAGCAGGCGTAGGCTGGCGTGATGGGTTTGAAGAAGGATGCTGTGAAGGATACTTTGATGGGTTGGCACTGGGCAGAGAGCTGGGATGAGATGAGGGAGATCCCGAAGGCTGAGTTGTTGGTGCTCGAGAAGGCATTCGAGTTGGGTTTCGTGTTGTTGGTGTCGCGCTGGGAGCCCCGGCGGTAACAGTTGGGCTGAGAGTCGTTGGGAGCTGAGTGGGACTGGCCGATGGAGCATTTGACGGGCCAGCAGATGGGCTGCTGTTCGGGTTTGTAGAAGGAGCAACTGAAGGGAGAGAAGACGGTTCTGTGCTTGGAACCATTGATGGGCTCTTAGATGGAATATCAGAGGGTGAATTCGTTGTTGGACTGGCGCTTGGCTCTCCTGGGGTAACAGTGGGTGCACTTGTTGTGGGGCTAAGCGTGGTTGGTTCGGCTGTAGTTGGAGTACTTGTTGATGGCGAGATAGTGGTGGGGGTTCCAGTAGAAGGAGCACTGGTTGTGGGGCTATTTGTGGGGGAGCTCGTCGTGGGGCTATTCGTCGGGGGACTTGTCGTGGGGGCTGCGGTAGTAGGACTGGCACTGGGCCTTCCTGGTACTACAGTTGGATTCGCGGTGGAGGGCATTTGAGTGGAAGGGGAAAGAGTTGTTGGAGTGTCGGTGGTGGGAGACAATGTGCTGGGACTTCTTGTAGATGGAGAGCTCGTGGTTGGACGATTAGTCGTTGGGCTAATCGTCGTGGGTCCAGCAGTTGTTGGTGCCGCACTGGGCTTGCCAGATGTGACTGTTGGGGTGCCCGTCGTGGGACCTTGTGTCGAAGGTGACACGCTGGTTGGATTGCCTGTAGTCGGGTTGGCTGTTGTTGGTTTGTCAGCGGCGGGGGCAGCAGCGGGTGGCAACTGCATGGAACTAGCTGTACCATATCCCCGTGTAGGCGATGCCGTGGCGGGAGCAAGCGTCGTCGGCGCAAGCGATGTAGGAGCGATGGTAGTTGGAGAGCTTGTGGTTGGGACAGCAGTGGTTGGTCGTGCTGTTGTCGGCGCGGCACTTGGCTGTCCTGCTGTCACAGTGGGGGTCCCCGTAGATGGACTGGCTGTAGTAGGCGCACTCGTGGGTGAAGTCGTTGTTGGCAAGCCAGTACTTGGAGAAGCAGTGGTCGGGGGCAATGTCGATGGCATTGTGGTGGAGGGAGCTTGCGTGAACGGTGACGTAGGTGTAGGCGCTTGCGTATTAGGTGCTGGTGTGGTCGGAAATCGAGCAGTCGGCGATAACGTGGTGGGACGTGGCATAGAAGGTTCAGGCGAGGTTGGCGCCCTTGTTGGGTATGGAGTTGGTGTCGGTTTGGGTGTTACCAAAAGCTGAAAGCCGGGTGTCGTCAACACAGTCGCCCCAGGAGTAGGCTGTAGCGTTGTTGGACTTGCCGTGGTGGGAGCATTCTGAGCTTGGACCTGTGGATCATACTCCAAAGCCGCTCTGGATTGATCATCGACGGCGGATCCATACACCAGAGTGACAGGCTGCTCTAGCGACGGAAAGAGTGCATTGACTTCGAGGACAAAGAGTTCACAGAAGAGTTCGAAAAAGACAAACTCGTCCATGACTTGATTGAGCCCTCGTCGTACACGCTTTGCAGTCTCTGTACTGATAGCGACCCCATTAGCATCAGCTCCAGCGGTCATATCTTCGGGTCGAACCGTAAAGAACGGTTCTTCGGGTGGGCAATCATGACATGTCAACGAGCCAACCCATTCCGTCCAAGTATAGACAACGGCTTCCTGTGAACCGCCAGGTGCAGCGGCTCGATACACATAGTTGTAATCCGTGAGGGATACGTTCTGTACAATCCGATGATAGGTGCCATTGCAACCATTGGAGAGACCATTGTACGCGGACTTCCACAAGGACGACAGAATGCCGGCATCTTGGAGTATTACCTCTTCCGGCAGGTTTGCCAGTACCATGTTGACCCGTCCTTCTCTGACTTGTCCCGGTTGTCCGTTGACAAGACACGTATCATTGACAAAGACGACATGATCTGGTGGATCGACGACGGCATTCGTTTCATCCAAGAATGGCTGCAGCTCTGGCACGTCAAACGTCACATTTGCCGTGCTGCTGTTGGTCATGTTGAAAGGATCAGAGGTCGCTGTTGATGGGATCAGAAAGTCGGTCAGATTGGTCCCATTGAAAGAGAAGGCACTCGTAAGATTTGTAGTTGCCGTAGCATCTCCAGTAGAGCCAGTAGCGATCGATGCGGCGGCCGCAGTGGCGACGACAACCGCAGTAGCCGTTCCCACTGCGGCTCCCACTTGTACCCCAAAGGATGCCCCTGCCACGGCGGCAACGAACCCCGAAGTCGTCGCTTCAGAAAGTAAGTGGGAACAATGGAGCTATCTGTGAGCGTCATGCCGGTATCGTAGTAGTGACGGGCGTGATTCATTCATTCCTTCATTGACTTACCTGTAGCTACCCCTACTGCCGTGGCGGTCCCGGTCGCTGTTGCAGCGGCGGCCCCTTGTGCTGAGATCGAGATGGCAACGAATATGTAAGTACGTGGCATCGATTGATCGATCGATACGGGCGAGAGACATAAAGCAGTGCTTGCTGTCACTTACCCGCTGCAACGGCAGCTTGCTGTGTGGCAGCCGTCGCCGTCGCTCCATGTGCACCCTGTGCGGCACTGTATAACACGAAATGATGAAAATGAAAAACGAGTGAGTGAGTGAGCTCCATCAAAACTTCAGCTCCAGTAGAGGGCAGTACGATAAGCGATGGATCTGTACCGGTACTTACAATGCCGTGTTATTGACGGCCAGGTTGGACATGGATTGCTGTTGTGCCAAGTTGGACATGGATTGCTGTTGTTGTGTAAAGTGGGCCGACTGGTCGGCTCCCTCTGTGGTTCCATCGGGTCCACCACTGTCTCTTCCCTTGTTGCAGCACTGAACTATTTTGGTAATAAGTTTCAACAAGGCAATGACACCACAGGCCATCAAGATGCCATATAGAAACGACCGTTTGATTTGCTGTTCCTTTTTCTCCGCCAAGTCAACCGTACTGGCTCCTTCACTAACTTCACTGGTGGACATTTCTTCTTCTTGTTGTTGATTGTAAATGTCATCCCCTAAGGATACATCTTCTAGTTCCCCCTCGTTGAGTTCGTTTTTGTTGTTGTCGCCCTTCTTGTCAGTGTCTGGTGGTGGTGGTGGTGGTGGTGGTGTAAGCCTCCCTTCTTCTTGTTCTTCTTCTTGTGACGACATGTATTCATCTTCTGGAACGGTAGAAACATCATCATCTTCTTCTTCTTCATCATCACTGGTGGTGGCATTCGCAGGTGGTGGTCCAGCTGCTGCAGCTGCCGCTGTTCTCCCTAGAAGCAGTTCCATGACACTAAAGCTGGTTTCACTCATTTCCATGGGGTGATTGTTGTTGTGATTGTTGTTGTTGTTGTACCTACTACTACCGCTAGTAGTAGAGGACTTGTAGGTATTGTATGTTGTGATTGACCTGGTAGCATAAGGTAGATCATCGTATTCCGTGAGAGCCTCTTCAAATTGGTCGACATCCACTTCATCTTCTTTTCCTTCTTCTTCTTCAGGATGATACAGGTAGGACGAGTAGCTGCACACGGATTGGCCCCTATTATGAGAAAGGGTAGCATGGGGGTAGCATAATAAGGGTAGCATCCGATAACGAGAGAGAGGTTAAGATGAGACAAGATAAGGAAGGGTAGCATTCAGATAATAAGATAAGGGTAGCATAAGATAACGTACCTGTCGTAAATGGGAGACTGTGTAGATCCTACGTCCATCTCCCTCTGACTCCCATCTTGTTCTTCATCTCCCTCTTCTACTACTTGTTCTGCTATAATACTAGCGCTACCGGTAGCATCCAACGACTGATCTAGTCTCGTGAGACCCAAGTCCCGATCTTCCGGTTCATTTCCAACGACCTGATAGAAGGGGGAAAAGTTGACGGAGCGACGAGGATTCTCTTCATCGCCGATGCTGCCCAAGGAGGATGAGAACCGCAATAGGGAGCGAGAACTCCGTCGAGGTTGAAATCGAAACTGAGTCTCATTCATCAACTCGTCGTCTTCCGAGTCCATCTTGGCCGTTGTTTGTTGGATTGACTGCTTGTTGGTTTGCTTGCTTGATTACTAGCTACTGGTACTAGCTATAGATAGAGCTGACTAGTCTACTACTAGTATATTGGCTTGTTGGTGGCAACTTGAGAGTTTCTTGTTGTTGTTTGTTGTTTGTTGTTTGTTGTTACGATCAGCCTGCTGATCTATCTATCTTTCGCTGGTCCAAGCGGCACCGAAGATGCGGTGCCACCAACCGAAAAACCTGGCCACTAACACCACAGGCACTGGAAAGAAATATCAAAGCAATTCTCCAATGTCTCTACGAGTAGTGTAAAGAACACAAATGACTCAAGGACATATGCCCAACAAACAAAAAGAGTCACTTAGAAGCTACAGTACCATTACTCTCCTCGATCGCAACCATCTTGGGCATCTGGCATCCCAAAGACTTCTTCACGATTATCTGCAACATAGTGTTCATCACACAGAGGCGAGCTTGCATAAGTTAAGACGCCATGCAGTCACACACACATTCGAGCACAGCGCTTGCTCAGCTCAGCCACATACAAAAGACACCAACCTTGCATGGTGTCCAAGCCACGCTACGTGTAGATAGCTAATAGCTAGCTAGCTAGCCAGATAAGTCTTGACTTCATTGCAACCTTTGCTTTCTGACTTGTTCTTGTGCGTGTAAGACGCACTCAAAACGAGGAGCTTGTGCTTGGGATGCTGCCATATCTTCTGCTGCCGGGGCAGAGTGACAGTCGAGTCGAGACTTTTTGCTTTGCTTTGCTTTGCTTTGCTTTGCTGTCCTTCCTTGTTGATGGCCAACCAACTAACCACATCGGACTAGCTAATATGGGTGTCTGGCTACTGGCTAGCTAGATATTTTGCTAGCTAGCTGAATTAGCTTGAATAGAATGAAGGACCCAACGACGCCCTTCCCGCTACGCTACCGTACCCTGGTACTCCCTCACAAACAGTTACTCACCCACCTGCAAGACTGCCATGGCTGTTGCAACCTAGCTGGTAGCTAGCACCACAAGCCAACGAAACGAAGAAAAAGAAACACGGGCCAAGGTTGCTTCCTTGCCTTGCCTTCTGACAGCAACTAGCTACAGGTACACAGACAGTTCAATACCGGTAGCTAGCTAGCTAGCAAGCAACAAAGATAAGTTCATTCAAAAAGCTTTTTACATTATATTAGTCATTCATTGTTACAGCAAAAGTTGTTGTAGCACGATGAGATTAGCAAGACACAGAGGAAGTACGGTACCGGTAAAGTGCTGGTTCGTACTTCATTCAGACTGATCAACGGCGATTATTGCCATTGGAATTTCCGTTGCCATTTCCATTGGCATTACCATTATTGCTGCAATCACCATCACAATCCACAGTTAACGTCACTGTCAATGGTGTACCTTGCACCGATCCAATGTAAGGAGTAGCAATAATGGTAATATCTTGGTCATCCTGCCATTGGTTGGTGTTGCCCCAGTTGCCACCCATCTGTGAAAAATTGTCACGGCCATCTTCTTCACTTCCACCATCCACGATGAAAGTTACTCGATCAACGTTGCTGTCATCCACAACAGCATACACATTCACTTTGTTGGGGAAGTTATCATCCACTGTGATGGTCTCATCTCCATCAATGTTCGTGTAGCCACTCACAGTGTCATAGACATCGTCTGTCGGGTTGCCTTGGTCTTTGAACAGGACAAGGTGGGTCACCTCAAAATCAGTGTTGGTGGGAGTCGGTGCCCCGGTGGGTGCTTCCGTAGGCGTCTCTGTTGGTGTTCCAGTAGGACTTTCGGTTGGTGCGTTCGTTGATGCCCCGGTTGGCGCTTCTGTCGGAGGCTCCGTCGGGAAGTTAGTCGGTGGTAGTGTCGGTGGTTCCGTAGGCTGTGGAGTCTGGGCAACAGACACGGAAAAGGTTAACGTCAAGGGCGTCCCTGCAAATCCACCCTTGTAGGGAGTTGCAACAATCTCAATTGTTGTGCTGTCATCCCAATTCCCTGTGTTGGTGCCCCAGTTCTCGGGACCTACAAAAGGAGCACTGGTACTGGATCTGTCGTTGCCTCCATTGATACTGTAGACAACCTCTGTCACATCACTGTCGACTTCGGCATACACATTAACCTTGCTTGGGAAGTTGTGGTCAATGAAAAGGGTAGCCGATCCTCCAAAACCAGAAATGTAACAGCCACTGCCCAGCGGATTTTGCTTGCAAGGATTTTCATTCTTGAACAACACCAAGTGAGAAATTCTGAACGGAGATGGAGCAGGAGCCTCCGTTGGGGGATCGGTTGGAGGATCAGTTGGCTGCGGAGTTGGAGGAACATAAATCGTCAGGGTCAATGATAGTGGAATCCCTGCAATGGCACCCTTGTAAGGAGTGGCAGTGATCTGAACAGTGTGCCCATCAGCCCAACCTGCGGTATTGGTACCCCAGTTATTAGGACCTTCAAAGAGAGCACCTTGACCGTTCCTGTCGTTTCCTCCATCAATGTTGTACACCACATCCGTAACAGCATCATCAACGACGGCATACACATTGACCTTGCGAGGGAAATTGATATCCTTCGTCACTGTGGTATCACCAGTGATGTATTCATAGCCAGAGACAGGACAACTCGTGTCGCATTGGAAGTTGTTGAACAAGACCAGTCGCTCAACTGTAAAGGAGGCCATTGTGGGAGGATCAGTGGGGGGTAGAGTAGGTGGCTCCGTGGGATGATCCGTTGGTGGTTCTGTTGGTCCGTTTGTCGGAGGCTCCGTGGGGAAGTTAGTAGGTGGCAGTGTTGGAGGGTCGGTGGGTGGTGGAGTCTGGACAATGGACACAGAGAAGGTCAACGTCAAGGGCGTCCCTGCAAATCCACCCTTGTAGGGAGTTGCAACAATCTCAATTGTTGTGCTGTCATCCCAATTCCCTGTGTTGGTGCCCCAGTTCTCTGGACCTGTAAAAGGAGCACTGGTACTGGATCTGTCATTGCCCCCGTTGATACTGTACACAACCTCTGTCACATCACTGTCCACTTCGGCATACACATTAACCTTGCTTGGGAAGTTGTGGTCAATGAAAAGGGTAGCCGATCCTCCATAACCAGACACAATACAGCCACTGCCAAGTGGATTTTGCTTGCAAGGGTTTTCATTCCTGAACAACACCAAGCTAGAAATTGTGAAAGGTGCTGGAGTGGGTGCCTCTGTTGGGGGGTCGGTTGGCTGGGGTGTTGGAGGAACATAGATGGTCAGGGTCAATGATAGTGGAATCCCTGCAACAGCACCCTTGTAAGGAGTGGCAGTGATCTGAAAAGTGTGCCCATCAGCCCAACCAGCGGTATTGGTACCCCAATTATTGGGACCTTCAAAGAGAGCTCCTTGGCCATTCCAGCCATTTCCTCCATCAATGCTGTATACCACATCCGTAACAGCATCATCAACGACGGCATACACATTGACCTTGCGAGGGAAATTGATATCCTTCGTCACTGTGGTGTCCCCAGTGATGTAGTCATATCCGGAGACAGGACAACTCGTGTCGCACTGGAAGTTGTTGAACAAGACCAGTCGATCAACAGTGAAGGATGCCATTGTGGGAGGATCAGTGGGGGGTAGAGTAGGTGGCTCCGTGGGATGATCCGTTGGTGGTTCTGTTGGTCCGTTTGTCGGAGGATCCGTAGGGAAGTTAGTAGGCGGAAGTGTTGGAGGGTCGGTGGGTGGTGGAGTCTGGACAAAGGACACAGAGAAGGTCAACGTCAAGGGCGTCCCTGCAAATCCACCCTTGTAGGGAGTTGCAACAATCTCAATTGTTGTGCTGTCATCCCAATTCCCTGTGTTGGTGCCCCAGTTCTCAGGACCAGCAAAAGGAGTGCTGGTACTGGATCTGTCATTGCCCCCGTTGATACTGTACACAACCTCTGTCACATCACTGTCAACTTCGGCATACACATTGATCTTGCTTGGGAAGAGGTGGTCAATGAAAAGGGTTGTGGATCCTGTGATTCCTCCATAACCAGACACAATACAGCCACTGCCAAGTGGATTTTGCTTGCAAGGGTTTTCATTCCTGAACAACACCAAGCTAGAAATTGTGAAAGGTGCTGGAGTGGGAGCCTCTGTTGGGGGGTCGGTTGGCTGGGGTGTTGGAGGAACATAGATGGTCAGGGTCAATGATAGTGGAATCCCTGCGACATCACCCTTGTAAGGAGTGGCAGTGATCTGAACAGTGTGCCCATCAGCCCAACCAGCGGTATTGGTACCCCAATTATTGGGACCTTCAAAGAGAGCACCTTGGCCGTTCCAGCCATTTCCTCCATCAATGCTGTATACCACATCCGTAACAGCATCATCCACCACCGCATACACATTGACCTTGCGAGGGAAGTTGATATCGTTCGTCACTGTGATGTCCCCAGTGATGTAGTCATATCCAGAGACAATACAACTGGTGTCACACTGGAAGTTGTTGAACAAGACTAGTCGTTCAACTGTGAATGAGCTCAGCGAAGGAGTCCCGCTTGGACTGGAACTGGGGTTGCCACTGGGGCGGTTGGATGGAGCAGCACTTGGAATGGTGCTTGGACTCTTGGATGGAGCAGCGCTGGGGCTTGCACTGGGAGAACGACTTGGGATGACACTTGGAATGCTGCTCGGTGCATCTGTGGGTGGAAGAGTGGGTGGGAGTGTTGGTGGCAAAGTTGGAGAACCAGTGATTCGGTAGTCAATAGTAAAGGTGACCTCAAGAGGAGTGCCTGCCCTGCCTCCTTTGTATGGTGTTGCTTTCACAGTAATTGTCCCAACATTTGCCCAATCCGTAGGTCTTGCCCATGCAGTTGGCCCAAGGAAGAACGGAAATTCTGTTCTGACCTTATCAGCTCCACCATCCACAGTGTATACAACTCTGTCAACAGCAGGGTCATTAAGTTCAACATAAAGATTCACAAAACCTGGGAAGCTCGAGTCCACAATAAGAGCTGTATTAGCTCTGATATCTGCGTATGCGTCAATGATGTATTGGAGGTAGGAACCTGTGCGTCCTGGTAAGGAATCAATAAGCACAAATCTGGTTGCTGCAAATTGTGCAAACGATGGAGAATTACTGGGACTTGTACTGGGGCTGATACTTGGAACGTTGGAAGGTATGCTGCTTGGACTGCCACTAGGAGAGGCACTGGGGCTGAAACTGGGAAGGGTGGATGGAGATCTGCTTGGACTCCCACTTGGGATTCTGCTGGGAGCATCAGTAGGAGGTTCTGTTGGTGGCTCTGTTGGAGGCTCTGTTGGCGGATCAGTAGGAGGCTCTGTTGGAGGCTCGGTTGGCGGATCAGTAGGGGGTTCGGTTGGAGGCTCCGTAGGAGGTTCTGTGGGTGGCTCAGTTGGTACTGGTGTAGGGGGGTCTGTTGGAGGTTCTGTGGGTGGCTCCGTTGGATTTTGAGTTGGTGGTTCTGTTGGAGGCTCCGTCGGGAAATCCGTGGGTGGTTCAGTTGGTGGCTCTGATGGCCGAGGAGTCGCTGCAATCACCACAGTAAACGTAACTGCCAATGGGGTGCCGGGAAGATCACCCTTGAAAGGTGTGGCAGTGATCACAAACTGATCACCATTTAACCATTGATTTGTGTTACCCCAGTTTGGGGGGAACAGCAGAAAAGGTGCATCGTGTTGAAACTCTGGGCCACCATTAATTGTGAACACCACCTTGTCCACAACAGAATCATCAACAGCTGCAAAGAGGGAAATTCGGCGAGGGAAACTCACATCCCGGAACAGGTCTTTGTCTCCAGTTATGGTTTCGTATCCAGACAGGATTCTGTCTGGATAATCTCTGGGATTGCCTTGGTTTTCAAACACAGTGAAATGAGTCACTGCAAATGGTGCAACAGTTGGCAGATCTGTTGGTGGGTTGGTCGGAAGAGGTGTTGGAGGGTTTGTAGGTGGTTCTGTGGGTGTCTCAGTTGGCGGAGGAGTTGGCGGATCCGTGGGAGGTTCAGTTGGGAAAGGCGTAGGAGGATTTGATGGAGGTTCCGTTGGTGGATCTGTGGGGGGTTCTGTAGGAGGGTCCGTTGGTGGATCAGTAGGGGGTTCTGTAGGAGAGTCCGTTGGTGGATCAGTAGGGGGTTCTGTAGGAGGGTCCGTTGGTGGATCAGTAGGGGGTTCTGTAGGAGGGTCTGTTGGTGGATCAGTGGGGCGTTCTGTTGGAGGGTCCGTAGGCGTCTCAGTTGGAACAGGAGTGGGCGGGTCTGTAGGAGGTTCCGTAGGTGTCTCAGTTGGGATAGGCGTGGGTGGATCAGTTGGTGGCTCTGTTGGAAAAGGTGTAGGAGGTTCTGTTGGAGGTTCAGTAGGTGCTTCAGTCGGCAACGGGGTTGGTGGATCTGTTGGAGGCTCTGTGGGTGGCTCTGTTGGGTTTTGAGTTGGTGGTTCTGTTGGAGGCTCCGTCGGGAAATCTGTGGGTGGTTCAGTTGGTGGCTCTGATGGCCGAGGAGTCGCTGCAATTACCACAGTAAACGTAACTGCCAAAGGGGTGCCGGGAAGATTGCCCTTGAAAGGTGTGGCCGTGATCACAAACTCTTCCAGATTTGTCCATTGGTTTGTGTTACCCCAGTTCGAAGGGTTCAACAGAAAAGGTGCATTGCGTTGAAACTCTGGGCCACCATTCACAGTGAACACAACCTTGTCCACAACAGAGTCATCAACCGCTGCAACGAGGGCAATTCGGCTAGGGAAATTCACATCCCGGAAAAGGTCTTTGTCTCCTGTTATGGTTTCGTAGCCAGACAGGATTCTGTCGGGATAGTCACTGGGATTGCCTTGGTTTTCAAACACAGTGAAATGAGTCACTGCAAATGGTGCAACAGTTGGCAGGTCTGTTGGGGGGTTAGTTGGAAGAGGTGTTGGAGGGTTTGTAGGCGGTTCTGTGGGCGTCTCAGTTGGGAGTGGGGTTGGTGGATCAGTGGGGGGTTCTGTAGGAGGCTCTGTTGGTGCTTCCGTTGGAGGCTCTGTTGGGCTTTCGGTTGGTGGATCAGTAGGGTGTTCTGTGGGCGGTTCTGTTGGTACTTCGGTCGGGGGCTCTGTTGGGCTTTCGGTTGGAACTGGAGTTGGCGGGTCTGTCGGGGTTTCCGTTGGTGGATCAGTAGGGGGTTCTGTGGGGGGTTCGGTTGGTACTTCGGTCGGTGGCTCTGTAGGGGGTTCCGTTGGGACTGGAGTTGGAGTATCAGTTGGTGGTTCTGTTGGAATGTCCGTTGGGAGTGGGGTAGGCGGATCAGTAGGAGGTTCAGTTGGGGGATCTGTGGGAGGCTCAGTTGGTGTATTTGATGGGGAACTCGACGGGTTGGCTGTTGTGGGTGTTGCCGATGGTGTCCCCGGAGTAACGGTGGGATTGGGTGTCGGGGATATCGTCGGCACACGACTCGGTGATGCCGATGGACTAACTGTTGGCTTTAATGACGGCGACACAGAGGGATTCACCGACGGGCTTGTTGTGGGTTCTGGTGATGGTTGTGGGGTGGGAGACGATGATGGAGATCTGCTGGGAGATCCTGAGGGGATTGCAGAAGGGCTTGTGGTTGGTGAAACCGTTGGTGTGAGTGTCGTCAGAACAAAACGAACATACACAGCAGTAATCCCGGTAGAAGACGAGATACTGTTCACAAAGGGCTGTCGATCGGCTCCGGCGAGGAAGGAATCTTCCAGGGTCCTGTTTGTTCTAGCAAGATATTCAACTTGAGTGATTCCGGCTTGTAGCCTACGTCCAAAGGCGTACCTCTTAACCACCTGCACTTCCAGCAACAATGGAGAGCATCTTTCATCGGCAACTGAGCCGTATGCTTCCTCAAATGAGGTGACAAGCTCCTGGTCGGAGAGTCCTGAAGTGTCTCCTCGGTATCCCACGTACACAGCATCCGTGAAAGTCACAAATTCACAAAAGGACGCAAGGGTTGTGGGGCTCCCTGTGGGATCCATGGAAGGCGAGGCTGAGGGAATTGAGCTCGGGGTGGCCGTAGTTGGACTAGCTGAAGGCTTTCCCGGCGTGACAGTTGGAATTGCTGACGGAGATGTCGTTGGTTCCTTCGTGGGCGCTTTGGTTGGGTATAACGATGGTGATAGTGATGGGATGATACTAGGGGAGGTTGATGGCGACTCTGTAGGCGACTTCGAGGGGACGTATGACGGAGAGACACTTGGGTCCCTAGATGGGATACTGGACGGGACGACCGATGGCAGAGTTGTGGGTCCTCGTGACGGGGATGTCGTCGGGCCCTTTGAAGGTGATGTTGTTGGAGCGGAGGTGGTTGGACTTGCAGAAGGCGACCCGGGGGTAACTGTTGGAATGTCCGATGGCGCAGTCGTAGGAGCCGAAGTCGGATCATCGGTTGGTTCCGGTGTTGGTTCAAAAGTGGGGGGTGTTGTGGGAGCAATCGTTGGGTCTTCTGTAGGTTCAAATGTGGGCTCTGGTGTTGGTGCCCCTGTTGGTTCGTCGGTGGGCTCTGCCGTTGGCACACCAGTTGGCATTGATGTTGGTTCTACAGTAGGGGCAAAGGTTGGAACTGGGGTGGGCGCATCAGTGGGACTGGAGGTCGGACTCCCAGTGGGCGCAAAGGTGGGTTCGCCCGTTGGATTTCGTGTAGGTTCGTCAGTGGGACTCTCCGTGAGTGGAACAAAGATGGTTTCGGATCGAACGATGACCGGAGCAGCGGTGGGCTCCGAAGTCGGATTGGGAGTAGGTGCAATTGAGGGTGACGTCGAAGGACTGTCGGATGGACCATCTGTTGGGAAATGTGAACAGTAGCACTGGATTGTGGGTGCTGCTGAGGGGGCTTGAGACACAGAGGGGGGATCCGAAGGCATATCCGAAGGGGATCTTGACGGAGACTCTGACGGCGAATCACTTGGCAGCCCAGACGGCGCTATGCTTGGAGAGGCGCTTGGTATCTCGACGCATATACAATCTGAGGGCATCAACGATGGTTCCCCGGACGGCTGCAAGCTTGGTACCATGCTCGGTGCAGTGGAAGGCTCAACGCTGGGTGCGGTGGATGGATCCACGCTTGGTACCGTGCTCGGTGCAGTGGTTGGTGTTATGGTGGGCTCAGCCGACGGACTCAACGTGTAATTCCTTTGGACGACGTACTCAGACACAACCGTGCTGTTTTCATCCAACACAGCCCCGGAGAACAACGAGATTTCGTCAGCACTTTCGAGAAACTCGAATAGTTCCGTCGCGTTGCCACCAAAGACTTCTTCAAAGAGATCGTCCTCCACAAAGTTACCGTCATCGTCGTAGAAACCAAATGTTCCATTGACAAAAGTACCTCCCACAAAGGTTCCATTCACATAATAACCAAGAGTTCCATTAACATAGGCGCCACCAGCCGCTTCAGCGGCGGCCTCTGCAGCCTTGACGGCAAACTGATAAAAGACCAAATTCATCCGTTCCGTAAAGAGCAGAAGGAACCGAATAAAGAAATCTTCTTGACGAATGGAATCCAATAATCTGTTCCAGGACGACAGGGCCCTGTCGACCAGCCCTTTTCCTTCCTCTTCAGTCTTCTCGTCCACGCCTACTAGGGCCCTGTCGACGAGTCCCTTTCCTTCTTCTTCAGTCTTCTCTACATCCACAGTGCTGCTGCTGTCTTGTGGTGCTTGGTCATCCAACTTACTGACAGCAGTCTCTTCTTCTGGATCCTCCTGGATGGTCTCCTCCTCTTCCGTGATATTTGCCAATGTATGATTATCGGGCGTTTCAATGAACCACACGGTATCCGACGTGCGCGCCGAGAACATGGGTTCGCTATCGGGACAGTTATCGCACGAAACAATGGCCGTCCACTGGGTGGATGCGTACGACCCAAAAGGATCCAAGGGATTGAGGAAACTGGAAAAGTCACTGAGAATGGCCGATTCGAGTCGTCTTCCGTAGAGCGAGCTGCATCCGGCCAATTCGTTGTAGACTTCCACCATGATCTCTTCGAGAGTCGTCTTGTGCATCTGCAGCATATCCAGCGGCAAGTTTTCGAATACCAAATCGAGGTATCCTTCCTTGTACTGGACAATCTCCGGCGGGAAGCAAGCTTGGGATTGGACAATCATGGTAGGTTCCGACGGTTGGTTGACCACCACGGCAGTCATTCCCGCGGCCGCTGCGGCGACAGCCAATGCGAAACCCACTTGAGCTCCGGTGGATGCCCCCGCCAACGAAGACGTGAAGGAACTAACAATACCGGCTTGAGCGGCAGCCGCCGAAGTGGCGGCCGAGGAACCCGTGGCGGCAGACCCTGCAGCATTCTGCGCTGCAGCGGCAGCCATTTGATGTGCCACCCTGTGAAGTAGAAAGAAAAAAACAGTGTGAGAATCAAACAAGCCACCTTCATTGTGCCACTCAATCGTATCACTTCGACTTCGAAACAACAAAAAACGTACGCTTGATCGGCACCACCGGCATTGATGGGCATGGGTCCCGCCAACAAACTACTGGAAGAGTTTTGACTGGACTGTTGCATCATGAGCATGCGCGACGCGTTATCGGCGGCTTCGGTTTGTGCTTCATTGACGACTTCCGCAGCAACGTCAGCGGCATCATTGTCTCCCCCGGCCTTGCTAATCATGTTATACAATTTGCCAAACATCTTGGACAAGAACACCATCCCGATACACGACATGATGGCGAAGATGAAACTGGCTCTCACGTGTTTTTCTCGTTTTTCGGCCATGTCCACAGTTGATGCCGAGTAATCGTCACTGTCCGAGACATCGTCATTCTTGTTATGATCATTGTCATCGTCATCATCGCTGTCCTTGTCTTCCATTTTCTTGAGTTCTTGCTTGTCCTTTTGTTTCTGGGTACGTTCTTCTTCCATTTCAGCAATAAGATCGGTAAGCGACATGGAAGCATCACTGGCATCCATGAATTTCGTGCGTTTCTCATCGTCGCCTCCTTCCGTGTGGTCACTGTGGTCACCTTCGTCTTCTTCCTTGATGACATTCTTGCCGTCATCGGTAAGGAGCGACACATTGCTGTTGTTATCGAGAAAGTCCTTGGCATCGGCGGGTAGAAACCGCGATCGTTTGCGAAAGGATGCTTCGGGGGACAACGATCGAGTACTGCCGCTTGGAATGGACTGCGTGGAGAGCGTCGCCAAGACGGGCGAGGAGGGTGGCGAGTAGCGTCTTCGAGAGTGATCAATAGTGTTGTCACTATTGTCTTGCAGGTCTTGGCTCTGTTCGTGTGGCGTGATCTGAATGGCAGAATGCGCCGTATTGTCCATGCCAAAGGAGTGCGTAGAGCTGTCATTGTTGAGCCCCAGGGATTGATTGGAATTGTCGTCAAGGAATCGAAAGCTCTGATGTCCATTGGCATAGTAGTTTCCCGCCGTGTGAAAGCTTTCGTCCCTGTTCAAAACACACATACAAAACGAAAAAGAGGTGTGAGAAGGGTGGGATCAGGACAGGGTAAAGCTAGTCTAGTCTAGTCTAGCCAAGCTCAGCGTAGTTGTCTGCAACGACTTACATGGAATCTGACGACTCGTCTTCTTCGTCTTCATCGTCAAAGAGTCCTCCATCGAGAAAGTCTTGCGAAGGCGGAACAATCATGGCCGCTTCCGTGGTCACGGCCATGGCTCTGCCGAGAGACCCCAAGGATCCAGTACTGTTTCGTGTGGAAATGGTGGAATTGGTACTTGTGCGATGAAAGGGCGCGTCTTGTCGTCGTTGCTGCTGTTCGTCGAGTTGCCGTTGATACGCTTCCAGTTGCTGCTGTTCGTACTCGACGAGCTCGTCTCGTAGTGGCGATTGTCCACGTTCACTCGAATCCATTTCGTCATTGACGTCGTAGTCTCCCGTGTCGACCATGAGATCTTCATGCTCATGCTCGTCTTCTGGTTGATCGTCGTCAATGACGGTAATGTAAGGACTCATGGCAACGATGCGAGGTGTGGTGCGTTCACTTCCCACGCTGTGCCAACTCGCGTTCATCTGAGCCAATCGGTCTTGTTGTGACATTTGCGACGCGTCGTTCATGGCTTGTGATTCCACGGCGGCTTCCGCAGCGGCCACACGAGCTTCCACAATGGCGTACGACGGATCATCGTCATCGTCGTCGTCGCTACTCGACAAAGCGCTGCTGCTACTACTGCTCCTCGCAGTCCGTCCTTCCGTCGTCGTAGCTGGTGTTGGTGTATCATCCGTAGTGTCTCCCATGACAGTGACAAATGGACTCAAACTGACGGACCTTCTTCGTGCGGAACTACTTGAAGACGCAGTACCACTCCCGCTAGCAGAAGCACTAGCACTGTTGGTACTGTGCCAACTCGAATTCAAATCGGCCAATTGCTGTTGTCTTCGTGCAGCACTAGTAGCAGCAGTGTTGCCGTGCCAACTACTACTACTCAAGTCAGCCAGTTGCTGTTGCACCGACTCGTCATGGTCGCCCAACTCGGGATCAATACCGCTCCATTGGACATCATTGTCATGGTCGACCACTTCCACAATCGGACGGAAGGAAACGCCGCGGCTGTTGCGGCGATCCGTTTTCTTGTTGCGGCTGCTTCTACTGCTGCTGCTCATGCTGCTCATGCTCCCGCGTTTCTTCATCTTGGCTTGCTTTTAGCTACTGTAGTCTAGTAGTTGAGATGGATAGAGATGGGATTGTATCTTTGTTTGTTTGGTGTGATAGATGATGGTACCACAAGCAAACTAAAAGCCAACAGGTCAAGTGTAGTGTAGTCTAACTTCCTCAGCTAGGCTTTGGCTGGCTGTTGTTGCGTTGCCTTCTTATAACTGTTGTTCGTTGTTCAAAAAGCCCGACCTTTTCTTCTTGCTGGTGGCATCCATAAACCCACTCTACTCTCTACTACTCTGTTCCATCCGCACAGTCCACCAGATTCTGTAAACTTTGTTGACCACCCTACTAATAATAATTTGCATACTGTACAGTGCTACTGATGACTGATGATTACCAGTAGCTTTACCAGTAGAGGTGCGCTAATTCTACTGATAAATCTCACAGTGACCGAAATCGTCTCAATCGCCAGTTATTATGGTGGCCAACCTCTCGATATTACTTTTCCAACGGCAACCGTTCAATTAATACATTCCTACACACGCTACTTGGGTCAAAATTTCAACCAAACAAGTGACCTGGACATTCACGCGACAATGATCACTATATTTCCTGTATGAACCGTTCTCTTGCCGTACCATGATTGTTATGATCGTAAAAGCCGTTCATTCTTCTGCATCATGTACATTACTTATACTACTTCAAAATTTCAAGACTATCGGTATTGAACGGTACTGCCCGGGATTAGATGGGATCCAACCGAGCTTAAGTAGTGTACACAAGGTTAATAAGTAGTTCATAAGTCAATTTAAGATGCCATCCTGGATTATACGATGCGCCATCTTCCAGAAGTACGTTTTACATTCTAAACATTTGGCTTCTGTCGAAGAAGACTTGGCCACAGGACATAACAATATGACCATGAACCAACCAATGACTCAGAAAGAAAACATTGATCTACATATAAGCCCCAAGTGCCATCGAAATAGTTCGTGGACACTTGCTTGTTCGCGGCGCAAGCTACAGTCGTAATTGGAGTGTTCAAGACCATCCGAACTGAGTCATGGTGGAGCCTGATGGAGGGCACTAATCCTGGCGCATCCCAGGACTCAGCTTACATGTATTGGGCCATTCACTGGCGTCTCAACCCCGGCAAGAGACCTCTGTGGGAGTTGCTACAACGCTACAACCACTAAAAAAAACCACTGGTTCTTCACAAGGAACCACTCGCGATGTGTCACAACTGTGGTACATAACACAAGAAACAAACGAGGATTATGGGGCTGACTCAGTGACTGTCGTTGACTGTAGAATCCTCAGTGGTACTCCAGTAGTCAGGCCAAATAAATGGATTTGCCTTGTACCATACCGTGCATACATCATGTACGGGCGTACACGCAGGATGTTGGAGCATACGAAAGATTCTCCTTGATTTCCTTGCAATGGCCTTCTCCGAGTTAGTCGCGTCACGAGCCAACCGTCACCAACAAAAATTAATTGACGAGTGTTAAAAGAACTCGGAAGTGGTTCTTTGGGAGCATGGCTTCTTTTTGCTTTTGAAACAAAGCCCTCTTCGTGTGAAGCAGATTTAACAGCTCCCTGCTCTCCAAAATCCTCCCAGACACAGTGGATTTAACACTTTAGGCCTCTTGACACGTAGCACTTTCAATCTGCTTGGGCACATTAATCTTACATAAAGGAGCATAGCAGTCAATCTTTGCCGATCGCGACGACTATTAATAGCTATTTTAAAATAGCATAGGTACTGGTACTCTGCAGTAGAAGTATAGATTTATTATGAAGGGGGGCACAAAACCACCTTCAACGGCCCTTTATGTACCACTGCAAAGTACTATTGCTACAACTAGGTGTACTAGGTATACAACGAACAGTACAGTACTAGGTAGAATTAGAGATATAAGATGGTTTGCCACCTTCTGCATACCGATGTAAATTTTGGAAGCCCACACGCAGGAGCTCATGCAGGGTTGAGTTTGGATCCAACGCCACAGGTCCAGGTGCGGGAGGTGGGATCTCTGAATTTTTGAGTATGAAAGATTCGCCAACGACAAAATCAAGGGGAGCTGGCGACGTCCACATAGCTCTTTCCATCAGTTTTGTCTGGTACCGGTAGCAAGAGCAAGGAGGGAGGTTGTCTAGCCAGGCTGGCAGGTGCGAATTGCATAAGTGCAAATGAGCAACAGAATCTGGGACAAAGACCGGGGCTTTCAAGTTCAAATGAAGACACCGTTACTGGTACCTTTTACAGACGCAACAAGAGCTCATTCGAGTGATTCTCAGCAGCTTTCTCAGCCAATAACTCGACAAGCAAACTTGTGTACCGGTATTGCTTCCTGGCTGGTTGAAGGAAGGGTTTGAACAGTTCTTTGAACCTTTGGCACCGGTACGGGACCGGTACGGGGAATTTTGAACCACATGAAAAGAAGCCAATCATAGCTAGATGTGGCTCCATGAAATCGCCAAACTCTAAGTTTTGGTACCAGCAATGAAAGGTTGGCCGAAAAAGTGACGTTTACGGACCATGTGGGAATGGTTGCCACAGCCTGTAGACCGAGGATTGTTCAAGCAGACAAAACTTTTGCAACGGACGAAGCAACCGATGCCTCGTTGTCTCCATGCCCCCGGAAACTTCGTGAGCGCTGCCTCTGTTGCGTTTCTTTTCTGTTGCATGCATCTTCTTGCATGAGCACTCCGGGGCCATCTTGGACTTCACCTCTGCTGTAGTTGCTTGATGCTCCGAGCCCGCAAGGTCCATCGTTTTGAAAGGAACCGGGGAATGTTGCCTCAACGGCATCATTCCTGGGTTTGGCTTCGTCCGGGCAAAGAACTGTTGACTTGGAGGCAATTGCTTTTCATGTTCCACGAAGAGACAGTAAGCGAGTAACCACTTCCAAAACGCGACGGTGGCATATCGTAATGTAGAGTTTGCGCCACAAGAGAAAACCGTTGAGGTAGGTGCGGCGGCGCTCTGGCAATTGGGCAGCGGAGATGCGGTGGTAGAGGGTGAACACCATTGCTGAGGGACAATGTTCGCCCAATCAGTGAAGGCAGTCTCATTCCGATTTGATCGAATCATTCTTCGCAGAACGTACTTTCGTTGGCTTCCTGGTCGCCCTCAGCGTATGCTCGGCCGTTTTGTCTGCCCGGTCCTCGATTCTTCGCTCCTCCGTCGTCCACAGATCCATGGCCCTGATATTGTGGATGTGATGCCTCGGTGGCCTCGAGCGAAGTCTCGCCGTTACCCGTCCTAGAAAAGCGTACTACAGTCGTGGCTAGTAGAGAAAATCGCTTTTGTCGGAGCTGCATCATCTGACTTCGTCGCTCGCCGCTATGCACGCCACAGATAGCTCCTGATCATACAGCAGAGTTCGACGCAGGCACGGATCGATGAGCTTAGTCGAACGGCCCGTTTCAAGTCACAGCAGAATACGATAGTCAGATGCATCAAGCAACAAACATCGTAACACGCATCGCTCGTTGTTCGTTGTTCGTGAAACAGGGATTTCGCCCAAAAGAAAACGGTGGCGTGGCCCGGGCTCTTATTCCCCTCTGCGTCATCCATCCATCGCTCTTGGCTGGAAACGCCTACGAAGCGGTTCTTTTACCGTAGTTTTAGTCGTCTCCATTTCCAAACGAACATAATCGTGTCGTAGTCAATAGATAGACATCGATGCAGCGATGGGCGTGATCTCGTAACAGCGTTACTTTTTGAAGGACCAGATCGATCAACTGGCTGGTTGACCGCACCGGCAGCTACGTGGGCCAATCAAAACAACCCTGAACCGACCTTGACTCCGGTGGCTATCTTCTACCGAGCAGCAACAAGCAAACCAGGGCAGCTTCACTAACACTACCTAGTTGCTTGAGGCTGCTCCATTCAATAATACATGTAGTACGAGGTTGCAATGGCATCGCTCGGGGTTCATTAAAGCGTCTACTCATTTGTCGTTCCTGGTCCCACAACTGGACCAACAACCAGGTGCCAACACTAGCTAGGGTCGCCCGGGCAAACCATGGTCCCAATCCACAGCTATCACCTGCACCGACTCGACTCCACCAATCCTCGAGAATTCACCAACGAGGATCCACTAGTCTATCCGCACACCATATTCGTCATTGAACACATCTATGAACGCCAGGATTACCGAGCCCACTCCTGGCCAAACGCAGAGACCATCTCGAGGCCCAACCCAGCCCAAGGGCTGGACCCAAGCACCTCAAAACCATCTCCCAGACCAAACATGGACCCGCCAGCCCCAAAGCTCGGCTACCGGTACTGTTTGACGTTCCCTCGAATCTGTCTCAAACCAAAAATTACGGCAATACAGTGCAAAGAAGTCGGAACGGGACTCTTTGTGCGGATGACAGCCCAGCCATGGTCGAGACGAAGCCCTGCTGTGTCTTCGTGTGTGCGGTGAGCCCGGAAGCACAATTTTGGACCAGCTAGCTAGCAAAGACGAATGAATTGAATCTATTGAATCTATCCCCTCCCATGAGTAGCTGGCCAGATTCGATTCGTTTCCGACGTTAACGATGAATCTCCTGGGTGCTCTGGAAAGTTGAGTTTTCTTCTCGTTCCTCTGTCTCCACCAAGAAGTTCCAAAAGGCGACACCGTGTCTACAAATCCCAAGTTGAAGGCAAGTTCCGGTGCTGTTTCTGAAGCAGCTCAACAAGTGTGTCCAGTTTGTGCTCCATATCACGGTTGTCGTCTTCCAAGCTCTTGAACCGTGCTTCCATTCCACTCTTGAGACGTGCTTCCATTCCTGCCATTCGATCTTCCAAATGGGCTGTTTGATCAGTTCCTATGGCAGCATCCCGTTGTGTAGCAAAGGTAACATGGTGTACACTGGAACTTTGATCCTCCTCATACTCCTTATCGAACTGACTGCTTTCTGGCGGTTGTGGAACCTGATTGACCCCCATCGCCTCTTGTTGTCTTACTCCTCCTGCCACCATGCTCCCCATCACAGATAGTCGAAGCTCCTGACGCGATTCGTCTGACATTTGCTTGTACCTGTCATAGAGACGGGTAACAATCATCAATAGAATGGCAGCAACCGCAAACACCAGATGAATAAGAAAAGTTCCAGCCATTTCCTTCAAGGAACGACTTGCACTAGCCTCTTCTGTCTGAGAAGACATCATGGCAACACAATTTTGATCATGACTCTTGGAAGTGTGCTCCTTCCAGGCATCTTCCAGGAATCCATCAATCTCCATTTCCACAAGGTGCAAATTCAGCACATTGTTGATGAGACTGGAACAAAGTTTGCCCGAATCACCATTGACGCAAAATCCACCAGGAACATGTTTGATTGCTCTGCCAACCCAGATCATATCACAATATGGATTGGCACTGGTTTGATCTCGGTACAAATCAAAAGTGGATCGAGCTGACACGCCTACAGCACAATCTCCATTGCGAATTGCACGGTACATTTCTTTATGCTCGTCTATAACCTCCACAAATATTCCTTGTGGATACTGGGATGTCACAAACTCAGCACTGGCAGTGTTTGCATAAATACAGATGGGCATCCCATTTTGGATGGCTTCCTCCACTGACTGGATGGTCAGGGTCGGAGTGTTCTCGATTACAAAAAAGCTTGCCAGGTTGGCAGTATAGTTGGATGATATGAGGAGAGCCCACAACCCCATGGATGCACTAAATAAGCGGGAAGGGGCTGTGCGGGGTACAAATTGAAAGTGTTGTGTGAACAAAAGGCTTGAGAGAAATATCCCATCACCCATGGTATGGGCTCCTTCATACAGGGCATCAGCGGCATCATGATCAGTATTATTTGGAGAGCCCTTGTTCCCCTGCTGTTTGCGGAACTCATTGAATGTTGGCTTTCGTTTGTGATTTCGTTTGGTCTGTTTGGGTGTGGGAACATCCAGAATCTGGTACAAGACACCTGACGCCAAAATAGTGACGACAATGCAGATCCATACTTCTGCCTGGAATGGCTCGAGCCACTGCCACAAATTGATGGATGAGTCAGTGTTTGACGCATCTGTAGCTGCTCCAATCAGAATGTATGAGTTGTCATAGATTCCTTCTTGAAAGGAGATTCCCATTTGCAGTCTGGTCAATGTCTTGTCGAAACCTCCCACAAAGACATCATAGTAATCTGTTCCCCAGTCAATGAGTTCACTATATGTGCGGTTGGTATCTGGAGGAAGAAAGTCAGTGATTCCAAAGCTGTCTCTCCACGTAAATCCTGCCCGCTTGGCCAATTCATCGAGAACAAGAGTGTTGTAGCCGGGATTAACCGAGTCAATTTTGCTGGCATTATCCAACTTGAAACTGGTGTTAGGGATGACGACGACATGCAACTGTATCCCATCCAAGGCTTGTCGCAACTCGACTTGTCCTTGATCATATCGCTGGTAGCGCTGACACACGTTTTGTCGAGCGCTCAATGTGGTATCCTTTGTGAATTGAGGAATGCTGATGGAAGGGGCTTGTTGGGCCATGGCTCCACTGACAATGACAATCAGGGCCAGTAACAAGAACTGCACTGCTTTGTTTGCCTTCTTCATGGTTAACTTATATTGGATATACGTACACTATTGGATCCTTCGGTTTTTAGGATTGTGTTGTGTTCTGCTGCATGCATTTTGCATGCTCGAGCGGCTGACTTTCACAATGCTACAGTAGGGTTCAAGGTTTTACCACTGTTTCTATTGTCATCTTTGGATCGTCGGCCGTTTCTTCTCCCTCCAACGATAGCAGTGACAAACATCATCAGCCAGCTACTATAGTACGGTACTGTATCGATAACAGCATGCAACGCCAAACCTTACAGCAGCAGACATCAGGGTCTGCACCCGAGTCCATATCTCCTCTGGATGTAGAGAGTGGAGGTGCCACAGATGGCAATAGCAAGAATCATCCTTCCGTGTGGATGGCGACACTCACATCGGTCTTTACGCGGCTGGAATCCTTGCCAACGCCAAAATGGCTGCAGTCGAGTGCCACTACTACTAGCAGTACTGGTAGTCAACCACCACCGTTGGTTACGGGTTTGAATCGAGTGCTGTTGGGTACCCAACCTGCCTGTGAAGTCGTGACGATTGGGGGCATTCATCCACCACGGTATCTGTGCTACATGATCAGTGGGAGTCTCTGCGATATCATTCAATTCTTCATCGATGTGGCCTTGCATTTCTGTTTTGGCATTGACGATCCCAGTTTGTGTTGGGCATTGGGGTTTGGTGGATCTATTGTCTTTCGACATTCGTCGCATCGATATCTCGTCTTTGGAGACTACGTGGGTGGATACTGGAACTCACTCAAACGCATGTACGCCGGATATTCCATCATCATTGTTCTGTCCACCATATTTAACATTGTCATGACACGAATGGCCATGCTGCCACATTACGTCGCGTGGCTCATCACGCTCTTATGGACCGGCATTGTCAATTATTTCATTCTCAAGAAACTATGGAGTTTTGGAGGAACAAACAGCACAAACACAAACAATGCAGCTAGCTAGCTAGTGACACGGACAATGCAACCATGGTCATGCATCCACACAGATAATCTAGCTAATTATCGTGTCATGCCCGCCAGTGTTCCAAACAATGCTGATTTGGCTTCCTGGTGCAAGGTACCGATCAGTCATCGTCAAAGCCTCGTCGTTTTCATCCTGGTATCTACTGGTAGCTAGTTGCCATTGATGCAATGATTATCCTGTCATGAAGTAGCTGGTGTCGAAGCAGCCAACGTTGTAATTCCTCTACTAGCAGCCTTAACCCGTCTCTGCAATCCGTGGCAATGGATGTCGACTTTGATATCTGGCTACCGGTAGAGCCCGGTGTGCACGGCTACATTTCTTGATCCACGCAACATCTTACATATTGCTGCGGTATGGTAGCTACCCAACCGTTGAAAGTGACGATTTGGGGCCGGCCAATGCAACCTCCAAGAATCACACTGCTATGATATGATGTCACTGCGCACGCTGAGACAGAGACAAAGGTGGTCTTCGTGGACATCAAAATGGATGGATTGAGCAGATCCCGGGCCAGCTAGCTAGCTACTATAGTACCTTTGTCCCAAAACGCGTAGTCTTTACTTCTAACTTTATAATAACAATAGTAAGCCGACAGGTGATCCTTCAGTTCATTCATTCCGACCCTCGCAATCACGTGCCGTGCACCTCATCGAGCTCTCCCACCTTGGATGCCCGCCATACAAAACAAACAAATATCACATCTTCACACGCATTCATTGGCAGTACGGTACACACGTAACGTACTGCACGGTACTTGCTACCTTTGTCGACCCGGTCGCAATTGCTGTTCCTGCTGTTTGTCTCGATCGTGCACGACAATACGGGTAATGACAAAGGAATCTCCACTGGTATCGTTTGGATTTGGAGGTTGCTGTTGTTGTTCGGTCCGCATGACTTCTCGTACGGCCACTTCATCCGCTGCCAATCGAAACGACGACGATGTCGAGTTGCGCCGCAACACAATTTCATCTTGCCAATCTTGTTCCCAGGAACCATCGTCATAGTAGGACAATTCGAGGGCTTCTTCTCCACTCGTCCGAATGCGTTGTTCAATGGTAATGGGAGCATCGGCAATGGGTCGTCGTTGTTGTTGTTGCTGTTGTTTTTGGAGAATTTCTTGGACGGCTTGTTCTTCCACGTCGAGTTGGAGGGTATCCCAATCGTCTTCATTGCAATCGTTGTCGTATTCGTCATCTTTGCTGCTGGTCAACCGTAGTTGTTCGTGCTGCCGTCGTTGTCGTCTTACGACCAATGCCAATAAGAGTGCGGCAACGACCAACCCGACGGTAGTTCCGACGACGTAAGGGACCCACTCTGCTTGTTGTGGACTGGAGTGTGCATTGGTGCGTAGAGTACCGGGCAAGGATGCTCCTGGTTCTTGTTGAATGGAAATGACATTAATGCCGCCATTATTATTAGTATTGCCGAATAATTCATCTTCCGTCAGTATTTCCTCCTCCTCCTCTTCTTCTTGTTCAAGTGGTGGTTGTGGTGCTCTGGTAAAGTTGTAATCTCTTCCAATAAGAGTAATTTGTGGATCAGTGGTATAGTTAAGTGCCTTTGTAGGAGCGTATGATGGTGCCTGAGATGATGGTGTAATGGATGGACTAGAAGAAGTAGAAGTAGGTGAAGGTGTAGGTGTAGGCAATGGAGTAACTGGCTTTGATGAAGTAGGATATGGAGTGGGTGGTTTTGAAGTAGGATACGGAGTGGGTCTGTTGGTTCCAGCCAGTGATAGATGATATGATCCAGTGCTGGTGGTTGGCATTTGAGACGGGTTCCTTGTGGGACTTCTGGAAGGACGAGAGGATGGAGTCATGGTTGTGGGTGCTATAGTGGGAATAGTGGATGGAGTAATGGAAGGTGCTTTTGTTGGCATTTGAGATGGAGTACTGGTGGGCGCCATGGAAGGTGCTGTTGTGGGCATTTGAGATGGAGTAATGGAAGGTGCCATGGATGGTTGAGAAGAGGGCATGGTTGTTGTGGGCATGTTGGTTGGAAAGGTGGATGGCGTAAAGGAAGGAGAATGTGTATGTGCCGCACAGAATCTGTGACAAGTCGGTGGAGACATGTCTGTTTGTGTACACGTACAAGCATGATCGTATTGATGCGAAGGCATGTTGGGACAACAGGGATCAAATGCGGCTCCATTGGTTCCACAGAACATGTCTTGCATTTGTGCGAATTGTAAGTTGTGTGGTAGAGTGTCCCAACAGAGCGTATCAATGGTGAGACTGGATGCCTTGGCAAACATGCCTTGTATGGTTTGTATGGACTGCATATTCCAGGCACTCAAGTCTTGATTGAAATGGGACGCGCCGTGGAACATGTGCGCCATGGTGGTAACTTTGGCCACATTCCATTGATCGAGTGGAGTATTGAAGTGAATGGCATTGGTAAAGAGTGCACTCATGTCGGTGACAGTACTGACATTCCAATGCTGAATGGGTCCATAGATCATGCGGATGGTCTCCAAGTTATGCGCATCATTGGAAGTCCACAATCGAACGGCTTCGTGGATTGTCGCATCCGTTAAGCCAACATAGGAGCCGGATACCCCTATTACAAGAGATAATAGTAGTAGTAGTAATAGTACTGGTACCAATGACAGAAAAGATTGGAACTTCATCATCATCTTGTGCTTGTGGACTTGGATTTGACTTGACTTGACAATCACTGTGTAATGGTAGCTAGCTAGAAAAGTAGAGAAGTGCTTCTTGGAGTGAATCAATGAATCATATCCCAAAAGATAGATATTAGTAGACTAGTCTAGCTAGTAGTAGACTATTGAAGAAGATGAATGAGAATGGATGAAATCGAGTTGGCCGTTTTTGGATGAATGAGGAATTGGCGCCACATTTTCGGATCCACAGAAATGGGTGGGAAGGGATGTTACGACCGGCTTGCTGGTTCTAAATAACTCTCGAATTCCAATCTCTGTTGGTTTGAATTTGGAGAAGGGCCATTGTCTCTTGTCTACTCCCATTGTTATCGTTTCTAAGTAGATCAGATGGAGCATCTTAAAATAGTAGCTTGCAAGGCGCGTCACTCTGATGCGAAGTATATGTGACATCTTCGGTCAATGGGTCACAGTGCTAAATCAAACGGTCCACACGACGTGAGGCGAGACCAGGCATCCTCCATGAATCGATTTTTATTTTTTTCGCTCTTCGTGTTTCCCATTGTGCATTCCGCACCGTCGTCGTTGCTTACTTGTGCTCCACCTCCACTCCATTCAATCCATTCCATTCAATCCAATCCAAAGACTAGTAGACTAGCTAGTCTAGAAGTAGGTTTGCCGCCCTTTCAATTGAATTCAATTACAGCTACACTCTTGTCATTGGTGCAATTCAATTCCAGCTATTTCTAGTCTACTCTCATCTGAAGCTGTGTCTCACTTCTTTCTCATCTATTCAAATTCATTCAAGTTGAATGATCAATCAAATCATGACCATGGCTCTTTCTACTTTTACTTCTACTTCTAGTACTAGACTCCTACTATGTCTAGCGTTGTGTCTAGTGCTGACGGTGGTAAATGGACAAGGCCAAGATGATGCTGCTAGTAGTACTACTAGCACAAACCCATCTAGCCGCCCCGGCCGTGACTTTGGCAATGGCGTGCCCATGACGAACGAAGTATTGCGCTCCGCCGTGTCGTTGTATTTGGGCAGCGATCACAACAAGGCCGAAATCACAAATCTACGAGGCCCCATTGGCGATTGGGACACTAGTGAGGTAACCAACATGGCGGGACTCTTCAAAGGCGCCACGCAAATGGACGAAGACTTGAGTCAATGGAATACCGCCAAAGTGACCGATATGAGTGACCTATTCAATGGATGCGAAACGTTTCGTGGAAAACCATTTTTGGACCATTGGAATACTTCGGCTGTCACGGACATGACTCGCATGTTCAAAAGCGCTGCCAATTTTGTAGGAGATCTGTCCATGTTCAATACCAAGGCGGTCACCAGTATGGCGCACATGTTTCAGGTAGACTATGTCATTATTTTCACAAAACATGTGATTGTGATTCGATTCAACTCAACTCATCTTTTTCATTCTACTTAGGGAGCCACCTTTTTTGAAGGCGTGGGAGTAGAAACGTGGGATGTCTCCAAGGTCCAATATTTCAATTTCATGTTCTCCAGAGCCACAAACTTTAATGCCGATGTGAGAATGTGGGACCTGCAAAGTGCCATCTTTATGGATCGGTAAGCACTTCTACCTTTACTACTATATACATAGGTTGTGCTTGGAATGGCCCTTACTCAATCACTCATCTTGTTCTACATTTACAATTTCGTATGGTGCAGCATGTTCGAATCCGCCGTTTCCTTCAATCGCGATATTTCCAAGTGGAACATGAGCAATGTCGCTTCCATCGAAGGCATGTTTGAGAATGCGGCCAATTTTGAACAATCGCTCTGTTGGGATGAACTCAATACCCAAAACAACAATACCAATGTCGACAATCTCTTTTGTGGTGCCAGTCCACGAGCGCATCTAGATCCATGCTGTGTCACACAACCACACATTATTGCCCAAGCCTGTTGTGGGATCAATTGCGATACGTACTGTCATGCCACTGACAACAACGCTTTCAACTTTAACAACAAAACAAACGACATGGTCTCCAATGATACTCCCGAAGAGCAAGACACTCCCAACGACGAAGACGATTCCATTGCGCAAGAGGATGCGGAAGGAGTGACGGATGATGATGGAGTCATGGACAATCTCCCTGTACTCAACACTACCACCATTGTACTCGACATTTCCAGATCCACCACGGCTCCCAACAATGGTGATAATTCCGCAACAGATGCACCACCAAAGCCAGATGACAAAAACACCCCATCCGAGGAAAGCAACAACAACAATGGAGTGCAAGCCATTGAAACGCAACAAGACAACAGCGACGACAACACCAGTCAAAGCTACTGGAAACAGAACCTCTGGTTGCGCATTGTCGTCTACATTCTCATTGTCTGTGTCGCTCTCTTGATTTTTACGTACATTCTGCAAGCCACCACGGGTGGTCACAAGCATCTTCGTAGCGGAAACAACAACAATGGCAATGCCGACGAGGGACCGCACAATGGATACGAAGCCGCCGCGGCAGCAGCAGCCGAACATGACGACGAAGAAATGGGAACCAAGGATACTACAACAAAAGCGCCAGTGTTCACAACCGTCCTGACCAAACCAACCGACGAAGATACCAAGGACTACGAAGATGGACTCGAAGAAGAAGAGGAGGAAGCCGCATCGGGATCGTGTTCGGTTTCGTCCACCTCCACAACTCCCTCTGGAATCAATGTCACCACGGTCAACCTTACGTCCAACAATTCCGTGAGCAGTAGTGTGGATCAGGCGTCGACCGAAGAGGAAGATACTGTACCGACGGGTGACTTGTTGGATGTTCAAGGAGTGGAAACGTCATTTACCCAAGAGTCGACGACGTCTGTGCTGCTGGAGCAGTAAGAACGCTTACAAACAAAACGGGGGGCTCCTTGCATTCCATCCATCCATCTATCCATCCACTATTTCTTTGTCTTTATTTGTATTCATCCACATCCATCCTCTTCTCGTCCAAACCCTCAACCCTCCACAAACTTGGGGAGGAAGCAAGACGAATTTCCAAACATCTTCCGCCCACCATCCCCAAGGACTCGACTCTCACCCACACACAATTGCCACCACCTACTACAGTACCTTGAAACAAAAGATCACGCCCAACCACCCCACGCAGAAAAAATCAATCGAATCGTTGACTTGTGTAAGACCTTGATATCATGCCGAAGTAACGTCTGGTCAACGAACGCAATCTACAACACACAACCGTGTCATCAATCTTCAGAGAGATCCAATACCAGTATATCCAGTAGTTCAATCAGTAGGCTCTTTTATTCCCAGAACACACACACAAAAGTACACTTACAGTAAACCATAAAACTAAACTTAGATAAGGTAGTTGAAATTGTTACTTTTCCATCGAAAGCGCGGTTCCGCGCCACTTTTTTAACTCCCGCGGCTACCTAGGTACTGGTACGATCTACTAATAGCTAGCTAGTAGGCCACGTTTCAGGACTGCTTTCACATCGACTGGGTTCGATCACTTGATTGCTTGCCTTGCGTTCATGCATCGTGCCCTCCCCTGGAGCTCTGTCCCCATCCTCATCTTAGCTCTCTCTAATCCATAGTAACTCCCCATTCGTTTAGAAGAGTAGACCTAGCAAAGTTTGTCTACGGATGCCAGCACTGCTTCTGCTAGCTAGCTAGATAGATAGCCAAGGAGTCGAATCTTCCTGGATCCATCTTGGTTTGGAAAGTTCCTCTTTCTATGTGCTAGCTAGCTACAGGGTGAATATCCTTTCATTGTCGTACCGAATCTTGGCTGCAATCTTCAATTGACGACGGAATCGTTCTGATGCTGCCTCTGGTGTAGGGAGCATGTAGAACTGGTCCAGTCGCATGCCGCCGGCAAAAGTACATCCTATTTCGAAGTTCTCTTGCATCTCTGCGGGTATGGCCCTCTTGACGATTGGCAGGAGGACATTGAAGAGCATGGACGTGTTGAAGTGTTTCACGCTGTGCACTGGAAGAGGAAACGCGATGTGGAGCTCCGACATCAAACGTACATAGGCTTGCAAGTCAACCATGCCTTGCCCCCATTCGTAGCCACCACATTCCACCAAGTAACCCAATCCTTGACGATGAGCTTGCAAATCAGGCCTCATTATCTGGTTGATGTAGAACAGACTCTTGATTGAGGTGCAAAATTGTTCTGGGTTTTCCACACAACGAATGTCAAACTTGGCTTGATCGTAGACGATGGTGTATCTACCATCTTCTGGAAGATAGCTGAATGACATGAACATGTTGTAGCAGGTGCCTTCTATCAATAGGTTGGGCAAACATCTCATGGCTTCTTCGTATGTGTTCAGGATATCATACTCTTGCAAGAAGTCTTGCATGTTGTATGCACGGCGTACCGCGGCCATTGTGTCTCCCTGAGTGTAAAGGGCAAGCTGGGCATAGATGAGGTCCGAAAAGTTCCCTAGATCTACAGCACCCTCTATAACAGACTTGATATCCAAGGCCCATGCTCTCTCCTCTGGCGTCAGCTGCATTCTCCTTGGATCCAATTGCCCAGGAAAGGGCAACTCTTCATTCCAGCCCGAACTTGCAGTATCATCTTTTGCTTCCTCCACTTGCATCTGGTCGTGATCCGGCCTATACTCCAAATCTAGCTCAAACCGTCGCCCCTGATAACCTCTCAGAACGCTTCTCGTGGGGGGTTGTGTCTCGACATCGTCGACATCGTCGTCATCGGAGCTAGTAAAGGTTTCTTCGCTGGAATATAATATTGGCTCCTCCATTGACTTGCAGTTTATGTTCGTTCAGACGACACTTTGTCTTCTTTCAGATTGTGAGCTTGGCTAGCTAGAGTTGTTTTGATCAGAAAACCTATGTTGCCTGTATGAGCTATTAGCTTTGTGGCGGTCGATTTCACCGTCCACGGCCTTTGTGCGGTTTGATGGGGAAAACTACGAGCAGAGGCTGCACAACGAGTGGCTGATTGGAAGACGATTTCTACTGTGGGAAAAACAGTACTTACCCGGTGGTACCACACGATGTTGACGTAAAAACGGTACATACCATACCGATTCATCGAATTCAGAGCATCGCACCAGCGACTGGCTGTACTTTACAGTACTAGTACCGGTATTCATGATGGTTTGTCTTCTTGGCTTTGGCGTGGATACATGTAGCCAGCAGCTGTACGGTACAGGTACTTCATCAACGCTCGGTCGCGAAGCTGGCTGCGAAAGCATCAGCACTTGAAGCGAGTTACTTTTCTTGCGCAGCCACCTGCTCTACCGTACGGTACATCGTTCGCTCGTCCGTTTCTACTACTAGATCGCGACGTTACTTACAGTATCTCGACCAGTCAATCATCCCTCGCTGCCTCAGCTGATCCTTATATGTTGTAGCAAGAAGCCAGCCAAGCAACGCACTCTTGTGGTTAGAAAGGGGCGGGGCAAAATCCGTGGGTACCCGGTTGGTCCCTCCTCTACTAAACGTCAACCACATCCCTTAGAGGAGCCTCCATGGAAGGCTGTTATAGCTACTGGCATGTACCGATTGGTACCTGTTTCTCTTCTGACGCATCTCGCCTTGAAGAAAGAACGAGAGAAGAGCATCTGAGATCTTTTTGCTCATTGCTCCTGCCCTCCGATGGCACCTGTCGTACCAGGACTGCCGTACCATCCTAACAGCTCCATAAACCCAATCTGGCCCCCGAGCCCTGTGGCTTCGTAGTATGGACCCAGTCACAGAAGCTGTCACAGATCTTTTTGTGCTTTGTGGCATCATCATAATATCATCATCATCAGCAAGCAAGTGCTCTAAATCCAGCCCTCCCCAAATTTGGCCTGAAACACGGCAAGATTACACTTCCCAGCAGTGTCATGAGCAAATCTACAAGAAGACTTAAGTTCAAGATCAGTGATGAATCTTGGGAGCCATCTTTCTCACATGGGAATTCGATGGACCATCATCATCACAAGCATGGCACTATTGAGAGCAACGGCAAATCTGGTTGCTTCTGCCACTGTTCATAGAAGACCTGTCTACTAGCTAGCTAGAGCAGTCTGTTGGCGTTTCTCCCTCTTATCAATACAGTACTGTAAGGAGACCTGCATGATTCCCTTATTCAGCTGTGCATTCTCTTAGCAGTTAGATTGCAGACCAGCCAGATAGCATCGATAGTGGGAATCATCAAGCACTAGCCATTAGTCTAGTGTCTAGTGTCAGCGGCTGAAGAAACTCCCGTACCCTTCCAAGAATTTGCTCTCTCGTGCCTTACGCACGTGTTGGTTGGAGTTAGCTTCAGGAGAGGAAGAGTAATACGGAGGGGTAGCAGAAGACCCTAAAGAAGACCTGAAGCTCTATCCCTTGGTATATCACCGTATACCCACAGCTCAGTGACCAGAAGCCGTTTCTTCAGAGCACCAGAAGGTGTTATTATAGTTGGCTTCCTGATCAGATCAGGAGATATTGGTGCCCAGTTACCCCTTGGATACCCTTTGGCTTGGTCTTAAGCTGGACTTAAGCTGGACTTAAGCTCGGGTCAGGTCAGTTCTACCCATCAGTCATCAATTGGGAAGATAAGGCAGCATCGGATAAGACAAAATAAGATGATTGCTGAAGAACCAATTCGCGAAGATGAGGAGGAGGAGGAAGAAGAATCGGGGAGTGGGGAGGAAGAAGAGTCGAGCAGTAGCAGTAGTGGGGAGGAAGAGTCAGAATCGGGATCGGATTCCGAAGTGGAAGAGTCTGTCAAGGACTTGCAAGAAGAAGAAGAAAAAGACAGCGAAAGCGAGGAGGACAAACCCAAACCCAGACCAAGTCCCCGTCGCGCCAAACGGATCATTAGCGACAGCAGCCACCGTAGCAACAACCAAAACAACGACAACATGAATACGAGCCGAAATAGCACCAGCAGCCGAAATAGCACTAGTAGTAGCAGTCGAACCGATGCGCTGTCCCGACTGGGAAGCAGTCACAAACCCAAAAGTCCGGAGGAAATCGATCCCAATTCCGATCGACCCAGTCTGTTTCGAAGCAACACGGGGGATGCCATGAAACGTCCCATGCGAAAACCCGTCTCTCGAAGTCTCAGTGGTGACGGTGCCATGAGACAAAGCATGATGGCCAATCGAGCCATGAGTACCCGCGATTTCGGATCCGGTGGACGGGGACTCGGTGGACGGGGACTCGGTGGACGTGGACGTGGACGTGGACGTGGTTTTGGACGAGGCCGAGGAATGCCGGCCAAATCCATGTCGACCCGTTTTGTGGCATCCACACGGGCACTCTTCAAGTTGGGAGACTTTGAGGAAGATGAACCGGATCCACATATTATTGTCTACATGGGACGAGAAATAAAGGGTGAAGATCTATTTGATGACGAATGGATTCAAGATGCACTCGATGAAGAAGCAGGGCTCAAGAGTATGTCCGCCTCTCGCATGAGCAATAGCAATCGACGATCCAGACTCATGGGCAATAGCAGTCACAGTCGACAAACCAGACGGAACAGTGATGACAATAAAAATAATAGTGATAGCGACAGCTCCTCGTCATCGGACAGCGACAATGATGATGATGATGATGAAAACAACAACAGCAGCAACAACATGAAAGATGGATCCATGCCGGATGCTTCAAATGTATCGGCGGGATCTCTACAAGAAAGCAAAAACGACAACAATAACGACAACAGTAACATGGATGACAGTGATAGCAAAAGACGACAACAACGACGTGCCAATCGACGACTCGGCAATGGGTCCTCTCAACGTCGAAGACCCCAACGAACCAAGTCGTCCGATCCGGCCATTAATCCCGTTGCACGAGGAACACCCGAGAAACGAGGGATTTCGCGGTCCAAGACATTCGATGGCACAAAAACATCCGAAATTCTACCAAGACGGAGAAAACCAAAACGCAGTCGGAGTGCCAGAAACCTCATGAAGAAAAACAACAAGGAGGATTTACTACAGGCATTCCAAGAGTTCCTCGCCAAGGGAGGAGCTGTCGTCGCCACGGGACGATTGGACAACAATTTTCTATTCACACAAACAGAATTTCCAACAGAGTTGGAACCGCGAAGGCGGGTGCGGCCGACATCGAGTAAGAAAAGGGCACAATTCGAAAAATTGGATTACACTCCCCAGGATATCAACGATGTGCTGTTTGAAGACGATGAAACGTTTCAACGACTCAAGCGAGTGCTCACGAAAAAGGGAGCCATCACCAATGGTGTGCTCCAACAACGATTACACATTTTTCTCAAAAAGGCCAAAGATCGACAATCCAAACTCATTGCGAAACGAAAGCAGGAATCGGCGCTCAATGGAGATGACAGCGATGATGACGAGGATCCCAATACCAATCTGCAATCTACACAACCCGATTGGTTCGCTACCAGTATGATGGACATGTTCACATCGGTTCGCAAACTAACCAGCGACGGTCCGGAAGGTCTTCCCAATGGCGCGCCCAAAGCCAATGCTGCTCCACCCAGCTTTCAACGACGGGCACTGCCACGCGCTCAAATGATGATGGCAAAAAAATCCGGCATGGCAGGTGCCAAAAAGTCCAGTAAACAGCTCATGATTTCCGTGGAAGAAGACGAAGAAGACGAGGAAGACCTACCGTGGGGTGGTGGCAAGGCCAAGAAAAAACCAGCCACCGAAGACCTCCCCTGGGGCGGGACGAAGATTTCTACCAAAGACGACACGGAAGACCTACCTTGGGGCGGGACGAAAAAGACCACGACTACCAAAGATGACACGGAAGACCTCCCTTGGGGCGGGGCGAAAAAGACCACGATACCTGCCAAAGAGGAAACGGAAGACCTCCCTTGGGGCGGGACGAAAAACGCCACGATACCCGCCAAAGAAGACAAGAAAGACCTACCTTGGGGTGGGATGCCGATCTCGCCCAAGAAAACCACGCTAATGGTTGCCCTTGAAGAAGACGAAGAAGAGGACAAGACAGAACGCGACCGCAGCATGAAGGAAAACTCGAAGAATTCCACAGGCAGCAACCTGTCTTCCAGACGAAGCAACAATCATGATGACGACGATAACGATAACGACAAAAGAGTCAGCTACGTCGACAAGAATCAGAATCTGAGAGGGGATAGTTTGCTGGGAGGAGGAAGGTCCGTTTCGCCCGTCAGGAGCAATAGGCTTGCATCCACTCCATTGAGACGAAACTTCACTCCGCCAGCTGCGAAAACAACACCAGTCATGTCCAATTTGAGTGGCCACAGTGTGGGTAGCCAGAGCACCATGGGCGGTCACAGCGTTGGCAGTCAAAGCTTGAGCAAACCACCCTCCACCCGAAGGCACCCATCCACCAGGACCCAGTCCGTACGAGACAGCACTTCGACTTCTTCGGATTTGGACATGGATTTGGCTGCTCTCGTGCTTCAGCCCAAATGTCTCGATGATGAACTCTCGGCTAGTCAGCGTCCAATGGCATTGGACTTGAGTCAAACCTTTCAACAACCACCGCAAGGATTCGTCAAGTGTATTGATGACGAGTCAACACGGGGCGAAAAGCCCCTTCAGCTAGATTTGACAGGGGAGAAAACAGGAAAATTGCTGGTGGAACCCAAACACGATCCACTGCTATCGCATACACCCAACAACACCATCAACAAATCGTCACGGTCTAGCCGAGGCAGTAGCGATCGGCGGCGCAGCTCCCGAGCTCCTCGAGTCTCCTCCACAAATGGCACTGGAGCAACGCCTGACAGCGGTGGAAGGGATCGTCGAAGACGTCCACGGGCTCAACGAAGTATGGACGGGACGACGGAGAGAATTCGACGGAAATCCAGCAGGAGTCCCAGCGCTCCTAGTAGCGCTCCTAAAAGCGCCGAAGATCAAGTGCCACCCCTCCAGGTCAAGAGTGCGGACAAAGAAAGACCCAGACGGCACAGGAGCAGCACGCGAAAAAGCTCCACCGGTGGTGGTGGGTCGGGGAGCGGACCTCCGCCTCCTGGATTGCTGGTGGGATGGAATCATTGACAGGCATTCTTCCCTCAGTCCATCTTGGGTGGACGTGAATACTGCGAATACATGTGCTACTCGACAATGAAGGCTTAGCGTGAACCATGGTACATCGAGTCGCACCAATGCAATTGACTAATGATTATGATGGATCGAGCCAACGACTTGCCACAATACGCAATCAGACATCAGTCAACGGCGTTTGCATGGTGGAATTGATGGCATCGTTTCGATGATTCGCTTCAAGACAGCCAGTCGATTGCCTGTGGAGAATCCCGCCCCGGACAGAAACAAGAATTGTACAGCTTCATAGATTTTCAAAAAGTTCATAATGATGGGAATAGCCTGCTTTGAGCTACTGTACTTGCATCTGCCTGACTCCGTCTGGCCTCTCTTATTGCCATTCATACACTGCTGGGTCTGCTGGCTACTAGCTACCCGTAGCTACCAGGTAGGTAACGATTCCTCGTCAGGAGGGATTTCTCTACTAGCTAGCTAGCTACTAGACTAGTAGAGGGTGTGAACGGGGCAAAGCAAAAGGTTGTCAGAATTCACCTCGGCAGGTAAACTGCCTGAGTTCTCAACCCCTTTACCTCGGCAGGTAAACTGCCTGAGTTCTCAACCCCTTTAATAAATGCTATTTCCTATTTCCTATTTTCTATTACGTCTACTGAGACGATGCTCCTTTAGGTTACCCCCTCAGTTGCACTCTGAAATCGATTGGCTCGCGTTTACTGTGTAAATTAGTGTAAACGCACTTCAGTTGCAGAATCAACGGTCATGTGTATCGTTAAGTAACAAGTTCCCTTTCGAAATGTTTAGATTGATTCGTGGAATAAAAGTGTGATATTATTGAAGGCGCAGCACTGACTTCTCTCCCTCATTGAATTCCTATGGCAAACAGGAGAGAAATCCAAGCTTGGGCGACAACAATGGTGAGTGCTTTATCGAATCGATCGGTCCTAGTTGAATCGATCGAACGAACGATCGAATGGTACGAGGTAAGCCTATTATCAAGAGTGTTATTGAAGGTGCAGCGCTGACTTCTCTCCCTCATTGAATTGCTATGGTAAACAGGAGAGAAATCCGAGCTTGGCCGTCAACAGGTGAGTTGTTTTAATTATTCGAATCGAATCGGTCGCACCTCTGTTATCCAGGCCTCACTCAAGCCGGTCGTCTCCGGTGCAGATTCGAAAGCCATCCCTCATTGAATCCTATGGACCGTGGGATGGCAGTCAGTTCTCGGCCCATGACGGCCAAGTTGGTGCAATTTGAAAAACAATGGGAAGTCTCCGGTCGTCTGCAGTTGAGCACAGAAAACAAAACTCATATCTATTTGTTGTTTTCTCTGCTGTACTGCTGATGGCCGATGAATTACCATTGCCGTGGTCCAACGAACGATTGATTGCTCCAAATAACACGAGGAAGAAGAGGCTACCGCTACGGAGGTATGTGTACGGAGGAAACTGTTAACTCCAGCCCTACCAACAGCATGAACGGATCGTCGTCGACTCATTGAAAGGGAACAGGAGCAAGGCTAGCTACTTGACAACACACAAGAGAGTGGATCCTCCTACCGGATTCATCCCTTCTTGTTATTTCCTACTATTTTGGTGGTGATTCCTGTGTCGATACCCATTTTCCTGTATGCGCAAATCAAGTACTGTTGCCACTAGCTATACGGCAGCTGGCTACAATGGCTGGATTGACAATATTCCATTGTGCATGTATTCGTCATAAGGATCCAATGCGAGGTAACCGACTGCAGCGAGCAAAGTTGAACCTGAGTGTGTTCGGTACTGTTGCCACTGTCACCGATCGATGAACTCTATGATAGCTAGCTACGATGGCTGGATTGACAATGTTCGGTTGTACATGTATTCGTCATAAGGATCCAATGCAAGGTACCGGCAACGGAGTGTAGCTAGCAAAGCGGAACCTGAGCGTGTTCGGTACTGTTGACACTGTCGCCGATGTAACTGTACGGTAGCCGGTTACAATGGCTGGATTAACAATATTCGGTTTTGTGCATGTATTCGTCATAAGGATCCAATGCGAGGTAACTGAGTGCAGCGAGCAAAGTCGAACCTGAGTGTGTTCGGTACTGTTGCCACTGTCACTGATCGATGAACTCTACGGTAGCTGGCTACGATGGCTGGATTGACAATGTTTGGTTGTGCATGTATTCGTCATAAGGATCCAAAGCAAGGTACCGGTAACAGAGTGTAGCCAGTAAAGCGGAACCTGAGTGTGTGTTCGGTACTGTCATGGATCGATGTAACTCTATGGTAACTGGCTACAATGGCTGGATTGACAATATTCAGTTGTGCATGTATTCGTCATAAGGATCCAAGTAGCGAGCAAACTGAGGAAACAGGAGACGAACGCTGAAAAAAAGCCGAATTTCCTATTTCCTATTCCGGTGAAGCCAAAGTATAAGGATAGAGATAGGCATAAGCCAACAAAACTGAACATTGATGGTTCAATACAAGTTAGAGGTAGGAATAAATTTTTAATATTTAAGGTTAGTGCAATCAGCACAACAGCACAATAAGCCAGCAGGAGCTGTAAAGGTTAGAGTTACAATAAGGGAATGGCAGCTGGTAAATTATAGAGTAGCGGGCGGCAACACACGACGTAGTCGGGTGTTGTCGCCAGGGCTAGCTTAATAAAAAGAAGGTTGCAATGAGGGAATGGATGATACCGGGCGGCAACACACGACGTAGTCGGGTGTTGTCGCCAGGGCTGGCTTGAAAGATGGATGCAATCTCGAACATGATCCTTCTTCTTCTATCTGTCTTTCTGCCGAGGTATCGCAGCTCCCGCTGACTTAATAAATGCTATTTCCTATTTCCTATTTTCTATTTCCTATTTCCTATTTGGGTGAAGCCAAAGTATAAGGATAGAGATAGTCATAAGCCAATAAAACTGAACATTGATGGTTCAATACAAGTTAGGGTAGGAATAAATCTTTAATATTTAAGGTTAGTGCAATCAGCACAACAGCACAATAAGCCAGCAGGAGCTGTAAAGGTTAGAGTTACAATAAGGGAATGGCAGCTGGTAAATTATAGAGTAGCGGGTGTTGTCGCGAGGGCTAGCTTAATAAAAAGAAGGTTGCAATGAGGGAATGAATGATACCGGGTGGCAACACACGACGTAGTCGGGTGTTGTCGCCAGGGCTGGCTTGAAAGATGGGTGCAATCTCGAACATGATCCTCCTTCTGTCTGTCCTTCTGCCGAGGTATCGCAGCTCCCGCTGACTTAATTGAAAGACCAAAGCTATTGCTACATGTAACTCTAAACGCGAAAGCCTTTTCACCCCTACTCCCATTGAGTTAACTACTGTTATTTCTCTAATTCTCACAACTTCTTCTTGTCTGCAATCCGAAGAAGATCTTTAGATCTTTCAGTGCTGCTTCAAGGTCATTGCTCTATGTTAGATTTGCACCAGTTCGATGCCGTAAATGTACTAGTACCAATGAAGCTCCCTCAAAACTTCCCACAACAAAGCCGCAGAGAAAGAAGCAATGCCAATGGTGTCCTCTTATTCTGTGTTATTGTTGATACTGTCCCTCCTATCACTATCAGCTCTGAAAGCATCGGCATTTCAACCATCCAAGTTCCCCCTGAGCCTGAATCGAGCACTTGAGCCACTGCCACCACTAGCTTCAGCCACGCCAACACGATCTTCAAGACTGCTCTTTGCCGAACGATCATCACCCAAGATATCCAAGATGAATAAAAGCAGGCGCAATCCAGTCATGGCGTCACTTGTCCTTGCCACGGCATTGCTTCCCAAAGTGGCCCATGCGGCTGGATCTTCTGCTTCTTCTGCTGCTGCTTCTTCGTTGATGCGTACCACAGGTTTGTTCGCCAACTCGGCGTTGATTGGAATCCCTATTTGGGTCTTTTTTCTGCAAGCGCCATTGCTCTTCAAAATGATGGGACGAGACAAGTTTCTCTTTCCCATGATGTCCTTGACTCGATTGCTCTTTCGCTGGACGCTACCCGTCTTTTCGGCACTTTCCGTGGCATGCTCTGTTTTACTCGACTGTGCAGAATCATCCTGCCAAGTCTCATCGGCTACCAAGGCGGCTCTTTTGACTCTGGCGGCCATTCTCATCAATTCCATCGTCATTGTCCCAAAGGCATTGCAAGCTGGAAAGATGAATACGAAAAAGGAGGACAAGTCAGAAACCGTCACCGATTTTGCCGTCAGTGGAGGATCCAAGACCAATACCAAGACGCTTCATCAAACGGTCGTCGTCTTTGTCTTGATTCATGTTGTGGGGGCTGTCTTGCATTTGCACACTGCCACGTCTTAGCTCTATTCTAGTAGGCCTAGAAAGATGCCCGCCTTTTAGTTAGGCTAAGGAGAGTATACCAAAGCAAGGCAAACATGCAATTTCCATTTCCCAGGTCTTGATTCTCTTTGTCCTGCCTGGCCAACACTTCCATCTGGCGACACGCAGTATCAATGACACCAAAGCAACAGAACCTATTTTAAACGTAGCCCTTATAATGTCTTAATACTTGGTTTATGTCATCTAGCAAAGCAACACGTTTCATATTTCGCCTTCGACGGTGGGTCCCTGCATTGCTGTCGTCTGTTTTGCAACGGATTTGTTATGGTGCTGTTCTTCGGCTTTGAGAGGGATTCCCTTCCACCAAGGCAGATGGTTTCATTTCAAAGATTCATCACAGGGCGCGGTACAGGCAGGCAGCAAGGCCCCGTAGACAAAACATGTGGGCCGAGAGATGAGGTAGCTCGGAAAACGACTGCCCTGAGCGAACATTCAAGCCGGTCGGTCAAAATATTGCCAATCATTTCTTTGGCATTTGCAATAGCTAACAGCTGTGCCATCCACTCCACAACAAGGAGGAAATGGGTGTGGTCTGGGAAGCGCTGCGTTTGTTTGGGACTCGATTCTGAGCGGGACATCAGCAGCCAATGGTGGGAAACCGCATGTCGCCATCGCAAAAACGCCGAGGCGCAGACGCCCAAACGCCCAAACGCCCTCACTTTCTCGGCATACCAGATGATGAACTAACCACCAACCAGACCCGGGGGCGAACACAAGAAATGACTTGAACTGGGAAACCCCGGCGACAGCGAACCATACCGTAGCAACTGTAGCAATCTTGTCGCAACGAGAGATACATGTAGAAAGCAAAAGCAAAGTGAGAGCTGCATCCAGATGCAACGGTAATGACAGCAGGATCCTTTCGGCTTAGCAAGCGGCCGCACGAGCTCAACAAAGTGAATAGTATTATCTAGCTACATTGCACTGCCATAGGAAGAGTGATGCTCGAGGCAGGAAGAATCGAATCGGTCCAGACTGGCCTTGGAGAGAGCGAGAGACAACACCAATATTGAATCGAAACCGTCCGACACACCAGCCATGTGGCCCAATAAGAGAGAGCCAGAGAGAGATAATCGACCTTCCAACCGGATAGCTCAAGCACACCAGCAGGATGCAATGGATAGAGGAATCGCCACACACGAATCTTGACCACGGCAGGTCTTGGATGAGATTAAGAACTCGGAGAAGGGATCCGCTCGAACCATGCATCTTGAAGGAACCAAGCCGACCTTGACCACACCGAAGCCACAAAAGAAACCACGAGAGGAGAGACTTGGTCCATCTTGTACCGACAAGAACCACCAACAGGGACAAGGTTGTAGGGAACTCTTGGATAATCATTTCGAAATTGAAACCTCCGAAGAGACTTTCCGATCAAATCCAAGGGCCCCATGGAGCACTAGGCAACCAACCAAACAAACCGCAGGAACCACCAACTGGATCGAATGTCCAAATGTTGCGAGAATCGGCGACAAGGCCAAGGGTCACGGAGCACATGGCAGCCAACATGGAAGATGGAGCCATTGTCGATGAGGACCAGCCCCGGAAAACTGACCCCACCAGCTCCTCAAGGTTCAAACGAACTCCGAACTACTACGGTAATGACAGCACTGAAAAAGGTTCATCGTCATGCATGTCTTTGAGAGGAAGAAGAAGACAGAAGAAGTTGTTGTTGTGGTGAAAGAGACAGAGCTTCAGGGCACCTTTCAGCAACGGCAGTTTCAAACTGTCGTTTTAATTTTGATTTTACATTGCGAACCGTGAGGATCAAACGGTCGGCTCGTGAGTCGTGTTGCAACTTTGACTGTGAATGCCAGCAAAGCTGTCACACACCGGTCTCTAAGTTTCATAAAGGCAAGTGTGCGCGTCGATGACGCTGGAAGAAGGGAGGTCCGGGAGATGCAAAAAGGTTCAGCTTGATCATCCCTCCGCTCAATGTTAACTTAGGAATTACAGAGTCCCGGGAGGGATTTTAAGTTCTAATAGAATTAGATTTGAAAATGGTATGTGATGGCCTCTTGCTAGGGCCATCCTGTAACCGTTTGGGGGCATAAAGAGGGATTGTGTAAGCATGAATCCCTCCGCTCACTGCAAACTAGCCGATCCTCATCTTACTTCTGACTCGATGGATGTGAAAGTAAGCTTGCAAGTTCCAGTAAAGCTGATTGATCCGTCCACGAAAGCTAACTGCAGGGTGGATTGCCTTTTTAATTAAAAATGATGATTATTAAGAGAACTAGCTTGCTTGTGGTAAGGATCGAGCAAGAGTGTTTTGGCTGGAACGATGGAACCCTTCAAGTTGGGCGGGTCTGCTTTGTTTCAACGAGAATGGGTTGGTGGACCTCTTGATCACTCAGTTGTGTCTCTCTCAGAGGTTGGAGTCACAACACTGACCCACATTTTTCAGCTACCAGACCCGGTGCACACTATGCTAGCTAGGACAACCCGTGGTGTTCTTCCGTTCGTCCGCGGCCTACGAAAAAGGCTGATGATGGTGTTGATAAAGAGGTTGCTATAGTGTTGTGTGTGTTACTACTTGGTTGTTGTGGTTGTGGTTGATTTCTAGTAATCTGGTAACTGGATAGTCATAAATCGCTACCACAGGTCATTTTCGGTCCCCTCAAGCTAGAGGGGGATCTATCTCACGCTAGATTGCACTTGGAATGGGAAAACAGACTTCGGAAGTCTGAAACAGGATGTACCCTTGGGGCAAGGCCCCTTGGAGGCTCAGACCTGCCGTTCACCAAACGGCCCACCCTATGGTCATGTTGCCTTTTGCAGATTGTTAGTAGAGGACTTTCGAAACCAGTCGCTGTCTCACAGGCCCGTTCTGGATCTTCGTCAACATATCCGCCAAATTGCTCTCAGTGTTCTCGTATGTGATGTTTGCCATGCCTGCAGCGACTCTTTCACGGACATAGTGGTAAGCGACCGAGTTGCTCTTTTTCTTCAAAGTAGACTCCGGGATACTCGAGTTCTTGATCACGGACATGTTGTCCGCCTTGACATGAGCTGGACCATCGAGAGGGACTCCCATCATGCTGAGCTTGTACCGCAAGCCTTCCACAATCTCGATTCCAACCTTCATCGCCGCGAACTCAGATCCAAAGGAGGAAGTTTCAATGGAGCCCTGCTTCTTGCTGTACCAAATAATTGGAGACATGTTAGCAAAGACGAGTACACCAGTACGCGAACGACGTGTCACCTTGTCCCCAGCATGGTCAGAATCCACAAACATGGTGATTGGATTGGTTTGCCGAGAGGCTTCGGCATGTCTGGGGGCAAAAGCTCTTTGCATCGGCATAGAAATCGATCCAGTCAGGTCGCTCTGTTCCACATGATTCACATAGAAGGATCAAAAACAGGTGAGAACGACTGTGCTGTTGAGATATGCCAAGATATGAAACACAGCGTCCAGGTGCCAACTCGTGGGGCTGCACAGTACGAAGCCATGATTGAAACTCGGTGCAGATGTCAATTCTCCGAGTTCCACGGCCCATCGTAGCACTCCAATCTGCTGTTGAAAGTAATTTGTCCACTCGTCATCACAAAGGTTTGAAACATCAAACTCCGGGGTGTAATTGCTCGTAACACTGAAGTTGCTTTCGACTTGAGCGTCTTCCCACGTCGCTCGAGCCATGTCTCCACATTTCTGAAGCTTCGCTTGACTTACTGTTCAGATCCCATTGACCATACATGGTTTGTCAACGACGGGAAGATTGGTACTCTTGACTGAAAGCTCCAAGACTACCTGAGTTGGCTTTCCAGGGATCCTGGCTTCAAGCAAGAAATGCTGCTCCAGGAGCAGAGTAGGAGTATTTGGCGTTAGTGACAAGCAAAGAGATCATCTGTGTATACCAAGATTTACTCATAGTATTTCCCTTCCGTCAGACTGGTGGCTGCACGGAACCAGACATCATTGTCTTCCTTACAAGAGGTGAACCCCAGGTTGTCTCGCAGAACATCAGCTAAGTGGGCCTTCCATGCTGCTCCACTTGAATTGAGGCCATACAGGGCCTGGACGACCTTTGCTTTGCGTCTCATGGGCCTAATTCCTCCACCCCCACCACACCCCCCACCTCCTGCATGTGATGAAGATCTTCTCTGACTGGGGATTCAAAATGCATTGCCAATATCAGGGCCTAAGATAGTCAAATCGGTCAATGGATCAGAGGCAGTCGTACACGTCTTCGACTGAAACGCTGGGGTAGGTGATGGACGAAGGTGGATCGGTCATATGCCCCCAAGCGACCAGACGTGCCTTCCTTGTATAGTCGCTTTTAACATCAAAAACCATATGACAACGGATGTGAGTATGTCAAACTGGATCAGGGGCATCCTCATCCAAGATCTCAAAAGCTTCGCCGACGGCTGCCATCTCTATCTTAATGGCATCATGCCAAAAGTTTGTACCAGTTTCCTTGTTCTCATTCTCAAGGGCATGCTCCACCTTTTTGGGAAGCTCAACCCATATTTCTGTTCCTTGCTAAAGTAACGCTTCGCAACAGCAGAGATTATCCGATTCCGCTTCTTGAAGGTTAAGGGACCCACCAGAGAAAAGCTGTGCTCTGACCCAAGTCATTGTTCTGGCATACTCTGCCGTCTGAATAGGTAACCATCTTTCATGTCATTAAGGAACTGCCATGAGTTGTCCCATCCTTACCACTACACAAAAGTTCCACCCTTTGGTGTCCGTCGCAAATCTCCTCCATTCCGTAGAATTAGTGCTCGTCCCCTGAAACAGTGTCCATCCCTCGCAATGTGTCCAGATATCCGCATCAAACAAAGTTGGTAGCCGCATCATCCACCTGAGCATAAAGACTCAGCAATGATGTTGGCCGAGTAAGGCCTCGGTCTCGCCACTGTTCAAACTCCACCTCATAAAGAAGTATCAAGCAATGGAGTTATAATTCGAAAGACCAATCAATTTCCCATCTGAGATTCCTCTTCGCTTTGACTGT